CCTCTCTCTCTCTCTCTCTCTCCCTCCTCTCTCTCTCTCTTTTTTCCATGTAGAAATAATATATAATATTCTTATTTTCTGAGCTGGCCAGTCATCAATAAACAAATATTAAGAGAGTTAAGGTTAGGTCGCTTAGACCCAAAAATGACGTTCAAAAACTAGTGTCTCATAAATATCACGTGACACTTTGCAAATCATATCTTACCCAAGTGTTACTAACAAACCAGCTAAACTCACCGGCCAGATACTCAGCTTTATGTTTATGTCTATATCATATAATTTCTGTAATAATTGTGCTCGTATCGATCATCCATATATGGAATTCTCACTCGTTACCAAACCGTTGTGAGTACTTGATGCTCGAAAGTGACCCATGAAGCTGAAAACATTAATTTGAAAATCTATACCAATTGACGAAACTTAATACCTAACATCACTCTTTGAGCCAAAAAGAAAGGCCATGAATTCCCTTTGTCAGCGGTTGATTAGCCCCATCATGTATTTGATATTCAAGCACCCAACCGTCAATTGATCGCGCGTATGATTCACCATGTTCTGGCTTCCCAGAAGCCAATTCTGAAAAAACCCTAAAAGTTGAACTCCACTGCTGACTGCCAACAAATCAAAAAAGCAGTGATTAAAGCATACTAAGCAACACACTAATCTAATGTTCGGCAGGCCTCTTATTATCTCAAGCCATCCAGCTTCGAAATAGTATCACTACACACGACTGTGACATCGAAGAGGATGGTCATAATTTAAGAAATAAGTAACTCATCACCATGAGAACTTCTTTCCACCTTCAGCATGGATGATCCAAGTGTTCGCAGTCTGGTTAGGACGATTAGCACCGGTGTTCGAAGCCTGAAGGATGTTCCAAGTGTTTTGACAGCCATTGACCAGTTTCAGCAAGATCCATCCATTTTGGATGATCATCTGGCTAACTACGTCGGTGATCTGGCTACCGATTTCTTTTCGAGGTCTACTGAAGAGAAAAGCTCCATAGGCTCTATTTTTTACACTTTTTCTAAAGTGTGCAATGTCAAAAGAACCAAGAGGCATTTGCCAACAGACATTTTTCTCTTACCGCAGATTCTGGACCAACTTACCTTTTGGAACGGTATAAAGGACTGGAAAGTCTTGTCTATGCTGTTGCCATGGCTAAATATGATCCTGATGTCACCATTCAAGCTGGAAAATGACTTGGCGATATATGACAATACCCAAAAATTGAAGGTATATCCTGTTTTAAATCCGCTGGTTGCGGGAGTACATGCAGAATTGTTCGCTAAAAATCTCGATCTTTTCAAAAGTCGATGCGATGAAAAGGATGTCGATCTTCTAACTCTCAATCTGACTTTCAAGTCTATGTTGAGTAGAAAAACCCTGCACGAATCACAACAACTGCTCGATCCTTTGGCGCTAGCGCATTTGACTAAGCTCTGCATAGGGGACAGCCATGAGGGTGACGAAATGCAAAACATTCTGACACTCAAAATACTGCCTAAGCTATGCCACATTCATGCAATCCAAGAATCGTGGGAGGGAATTGAGGAAATTACCTCATGGGTGCTCAACAACATGACTCTTAGCTTTACCGATAGTCGAATACAACACGCGCATAGCTTCGCGAAAATCATTCAGCTACTGGCTACAATCGATCCTGCTTCTTCTCATGCCCTCGTAGAAGATGTTTTTGAGCATATGCAGGAGGAAGTCCAGACTCTGCCTGTCGACGCAATAGACGCGAATAAAGTACACACTCAGCTTCTTTTTTTTGCGGAGCTTGGTCGTCTTGGTACTTTGGATCAAAATCTCATTAGTCGCTTCGCGAGTGACGTCCTTCCAGTTACGGCAGGATTTCAGCAATTGAGACTCAACAAAATAAGCGGACATCAGATACGAGACGCTAGCAACTTTCTTTGCTGGTCTTTAGTTCGAAAACATGATGTTTCTCCTCAGGTTGAAAAAATTGTCTTTCACCTTCTCATGTGCTCGATGCTAGATTCAGATTTCACAATCCGACGATCCGCTTCAGCGGCTCTACAAGAGGCATTAGGAAGATACGGTAGTGTAATATTTGATGACGCGAGCGTTATGAAAATCATAGAACTACCGTGCCACAATCTTGAGCTATGTTACAAAGAAAATGTTCCAAAGCTCCTTGGGCTGTTCATGTCGAACGCTTCACATTTGAGTAGAGCTGTCATCAAATGGCTCATAGTCAACAATGTCATGCGAAATCATGATTTCAGAATTGTAGAGCTTTCTGCCCTATCTATCACTTGTCTCATGACTGTGGACAGCAGATCTGAAGTCGCGACAATAATTTTGCAGATGATACTTAACCTCACAGATGAGATAAGGAACGAAGAGTTGGCAGTTATCAAGGCCCGCTACCTATATTTGATTTCAGAGCGTGTATTTGTCGATGATGCAAGAGTGAGGAAAACATGCCATGAAATTTTATCCTGGCTCGCGGACCGCTTGAAACCAGAATCCGGCAACCCTCAGGAGCAGTTCATCATTTTATCGTACCTGAAAGCCCAAAACCTAGTTTTTACAGCGGGAGGAGCGGAGCTAGAAATCAACGCGACAGTTGTGGAAACACTGCTGCGTATTGCAAAATCGATATCACCTTCCGAGCCCCGCTTCGAAAAAATGAAAGACCTGTTCCTGCCAATATTTGAAAGAATGCTTTGTGATGGTGCCCATTTTGGTTCTAGTACTGTATTTCAGAAGTTCAAGCAAAGTTACGGGAACCTCGTCATTCAAAACAACGCTTTGTGCTGTGCAGCATTGGCTTACGAGACGCCACACGACTTTTTGGATACTTTCAACTTCTACTGTCCGCGTCTGAATTTTGAAGGACGTTTTCATCTCTTAAATGCGTTATCGCACACGCTGCCCGGCGTGGTGGAATCACAAGGTTCTTACATTCTTTCGCTTGTGGCCGAGTTTTTGGATGATTATACAGTAACCGAGCAAGGTGACGTTGGGGGAACAGTAAGAAGGTGTACTATCGATCTAATCGAGAAACAACTCAATTTATTTTTTGATGCGGGTACCAGTGTAATGAAACTAATTTGTCCGAAACTTTTGCGGCTGGCGGCAGAGCCTGCAGAGAAGATCAGAGAACGGAGCCTGTGCGTTTTAAGACAACTTTGCAAGCTTGAATGTTCTTCCAATGTGCAACAAGACGAAAGCCTTTTAAGTATTTATCACAACTTGGATGAAGCTTTTCATGATGAATTCTGGCAGGGCTTTGTCTTCTCCGGTGGCGCAATCTATTCCACTGACATTCAAATTCGCACCAGTATCGACAGTTTTCTTAAGCATTATGCTGAACAGTCGCTTGATAGAAGACTGGAATTGCTAAAGACGTTATTACGTATCGTTCCTTCCCTTTCTCAAGTGAAGTCCTGGCGAAGCGAAGCAACGCATGTCAATCGATTCGGATGTCAAAAGCAGGATATAATTAAACGTGCGATTGTATGCGCAAACTTTTGGCGACGCATATTAGAATCTGGACTAATCGTAGCTGAAACTTCCAATCTACGAGCCGCCTACGCCAGATTTTCCAACCTGGCTATGGTAAAGACTCCTAAATTGAAAATGGCTATTGCCAAATTGATGCCTCATGTAGCGGTGGCTTGTTCAACGAGTGAATCCGACTATGACAATTTGCAAGATGAAATTGTTGCTCGATTGAAACAATTGGCAAAGCCGCCAAAAAGTGACGATGTCCGCTACACAAGTTTTCAAACAGTGTGCCTGGAAGGGATAGTGACAATCCATTTAGCGTTCGATGAGAGGGAGAAGATTCGAGAGCTGGAAATTTTCCGGAGCAAAGCCTGAATGCAAAGTTATCATGGCGTCTTAGTTAGGCGGGGACAACTTTCTAAATGTTTTGCGATTGCATGTAATCTAGTGTGAGTCTCACGCGCTCAACATTCTCCCAATCAGCTAATAAAGAGTAGTGGCGCGGCGATGCTTCCGAGTTCACTTTTTCTTTTCGCCATTTTCCTTCTGATGACAAAATCCGTTTGGGGCTTAAGTGGTCCATGAAAAGATCTCCAAAAATCTTTTTAAGGATTTTATCTGAAATTTCAACATCAACTGCGGAATGATGACCCACATGCCAATCAGCTACTCGTCGCAGAACTTCGTCTATCTCAGCAGCCCCCCCGGCCATAGATCTCAGCTTCTTGATCACGGTTTCAACGGGTGATCCCAAATTCCAGGTTCGATCCCCGTCTTTGCTAGTCGTCAGGCGCTCTTTTCCAAACTCCAAAATATAGTGGCGCAGGTAGATGTATACCGTTTTCAAGTCACCGCCGTGTAGAGTAGAAAGCATCAAGTTGGCGTAGTCCTGTTCCGTGAGATTGTAGTAATTTGAACTTTTCATATAACAAAAGAGCTCATAGCCAGCAAGTTTAGCCGCAGACGATTTTCCAGCAGCGCGCAGAAGGATATGAATGCCATTTTTCCCATTGTGGTTCGCCAATTTATTCGAATTCGTGAATGCCTTGGTGCACCCATACTCCATAATCAACCGATGCCACAATAAAACCACGAAGTTAAATGACCTATGCGAAGCGACATGAGTTAAAATAGTATTGAAGTGGAACGCCTTGAGGGACGGGTGAGCGTTTTCTGCTGGCATTGTATGCTGAAAAAGGTTGCACCATTGTGTTACCGAAATAGGATCTGAAGGCAGCTTTGTGGATAGAAAATCCATGGGAAGCCGTTCTTCGAAAAACTGAACTCGTGCTTCTGCCAGTAGTTCAATGTAATTCTTAAAAGTGAGATCTCTCTGAAAGGTTTTCCACGGCACAGGTACATCAGTCTCTTGAATTTCTAACATTTTGTTCAATTGCAATTGAATTTTCAAAGCCCCGCATCTCTCAGCTAAGTGGTTGAGACAGAAAACTGTGGAATCATTCAATGGGTCTTGCTTGATCAAAATATTCAACGCGTACTCGGCGTCGTCATCCAGGCCCAGGCAAAGAAATTTATCGATGCTCGAAAGAACGAGACCTTGGGGTAGAGAGTGCAGTTCTGCGGGCCTTATTGCTCTCAGAACCGAGGAAAGATGTGGTATCTGATTGGTCTGTAGATAGAAGGCAATATATGCGAAAGAATTCGGTAAATCGCTATCTGCCAGCGCTAGTATACGTTGCAAATAATGGACCGAGCCAGTACGAGCCACCACATTGACACAATTTTGCCAAAAAACCAAATCAGGGGTAAGAGAAGCTCTTGTTTTGAGTATTATAGCATACTTCTGAACAAGCGCCAATGTAAATTTTGCCAGACATATAATGTCTGCACGATGGTTTGAGTCAGATGCTCTGGCTCGCAGCATGTAAGAAAGCTCACGATAGAGCTCGACAGGGGTTTGTTCAGCAATGTAGCTACCACTTTTGGAGATCCATCGAATTTGGTTGGACTGCAATCGATTTAGCAAGGTGAAGTAGGCTTCATTACCTTTTGTCAGGCGAAGATTTCGAAGCCTATTTAGCACCACATTCAGCGACAGTTCAGCTTGGTACTTGCTCGAGAGGTTCTTTTTCTGATACTGCCCGGATGACCGTAACCTTCGACCTGTTACCAGAGCCTCCCTTAACCATATATCCGTGGGAGAGAGACGCACGGGCGCTGAGCTTCTCAGTGGGGCGCGATCCAGCCTTTGTACCAATTTGTCACCACCGATGATTTTTGCAGTAAAAGCTTGCAAAGATCTTACAGGACCACGGTTCCGCTGCATTATGCTCTCTGCATTTCGTTTTGGTTAATTCTTTCCAATTCTACTGGGTTGAAATGATCAAGTAATTATTTGACTTTGTTTTTGGTCAGGCTCGATGCCCTGGCACATCAACAAAGCATCGAATTGTTGGTATGAAATTCTGACTGTTCTCAAGCTGGCACTTGGAACCAATCAAACTGAGACTCTTCTCATCCTTTGAGAAGATAAATGCCCAAGTTTTAGAGCGGCAGAAAGCGTCAAAAGGCAGCGTGAATTGTATTTTTTATTGTACGTCGAGCAACATTCAACAACTCCATCCCTGTGGCATCAAAGCTGAATTTTAGCCATCTTCTTCTTTGGCTCGTCAGCTAAACAAATGTTGACTGTTTTGGGTATTTTTCTTTTCCAAGTCACCTCTTCGGTTTTGGACGTGATGCCAGTATCCTGTACAATCCTTTTCTGATATATCTTTTCGAGCCTACCCTTATGTCTTGCAATCCAAGGATGATTGAAAGCTGAAAGACTGTCGAGACGAGTATGAACGTCAATCTCAAGGAGACGGCGAACAAAACTTTTGGCATGGTCGGAGACTGCACTCCATTGATTGGATTTGAAACTGAGATTACCCATCTTGGCATTATGGATTATACTGGCCTCCGATCCGTCGCCATAGAAGGGCGATATGCCAGTAAGAACGATATGTGCGATGACTCCCAAAGACCATAGATCACATTTTGCGTCGTACCCTTGCTGTTCGAAGCTGGCTGCTCGCGAAAAGCGCTTATACGCTGTTCTGTCTGCTTTAAAACCGACTTCAGGGGCACAGTATTCTGGGGTTCCCACAACTGTATGCATCCTAGCTCGTGGAGACGACAACGCTTTTGCTATTCCAAAGTCTGCCAGAACGATTCTGGAGCAGGGTTCCGGAGTACAAAGAAGTATATTATCCAGTTTCAAATCGCGGTGTACAATGCCCTCAGAATGCAAGTATCGAAGTGCTTGCAAAATTTGGTACACTATGAGCAGCGCTTCTGTTTCGGAGACTGGAGACAAACAGTCTGATGTGGCGAGGTACGAGAAAAGATCACCGCCAGTTATCAGGTCCTGAAAGATATACAGATTGTCACAAGGGCCGGCAAAAGTTTTGTGAACCTTGATAATGTTGGGCTGCTACGGTGTTAGTATAATTGCTGCCTGCTAAGACCAGTCGGTTAGTTTCCACAACATACATGTGAGAGCTTGAGTAATATTTCGGCCTCTTCATCCAACCTGCTGGGCTTCATTTTGATCACTTTGACAGCGTAATTTGGTGCCTGATGGGTGGATCTTACAAGTTCTCTGCTTTTGGCGACTAGGACGTGACCAAAAGTCCCGCTTCCCACGATTTTGGAAGTGATGTGCCAATCATCGATATCTGCCTGAAATCCCAATTGTTCAACAAGGTCGTAAGTCGTAAGTTTGACATGAGCCACAAAACGGTATACTGCTGCGTTGGGAACCGTTATGATATCACCGTCTTCTAGTAGACAGGTTTGACCTCGATTTAACGACAGCCCGTTGAGCTGAGTTCCGTTCAATGAGCAATCCTTAACGTAGTAAAGCGGAACGCTGTCATCGTCAAATCTTATAGCCCAAAACACACAGTGCACGCTTGAAACAGACGCGTGGTCCAATACAACGCTGCATTCGCGGCTGCTTCTACCCATCTTCACCAGTTTATTCTTGGTTATAGCAACCGCGGCTAATTGTTCATCTGGCTCGAACAACCACGGTTTTTTTGCAGTATAGGGTTCCAGACTTCCGAGAATATCACTGTCATAAAGATCCTTCGATTCAAAGCCCATTTTGAACGCCCAAGTACGCTAATTGAGACGCGTGGTATTAGTTTAGATGTGTAGAGATTGTAGAGCACAGCGGCAAACTCTTGAAACGTATATATATTGGCGCTTATATAGATTTATGGATGTCGCGATGCACGGGACCGTGCCCCGCGATACTATATTTCATCGTTAAAGAGAACGTCAGTGGAAAATTCGTGGCGAACGTAGCTTGGAATCATTGTAAACAAGCATAAAGTCTGGTTGGATAGTGTTGGATTCAGTTTTTGAATGTAAATATGCTCCGTAATTTGTTGATTGTGGTGTACATGCTTTTTTTCTATTGAGAAATAAACCTCATAATTGAGATTTGTTGGCTGGGAGGACAACGAAGTATGGTTCAGGAAAAATATGGGCCATAATCATGGATAGAAGCTGACTTTGAGACGCGAGACTGTTAATCATAACAATAGTGTGATACATTTATATCACCAGGAACGACAGTGTCATGTAAAACCTGTCTTACTGAGATCTGACATGGAAGTATGGTCCAGACGGCGCGAAAGATAAAGCAAGGAGACCTCAAGTGAACAGAGTGGCAGTACAGCTGCTATATCATTTCTGTCGTAAAAATACACAGCACACACAGCAAAATCAACTACCGTATTTAAGGATTACAAAAAATTTGAGTCATTTTCAAAAGCTAAGAGAGAGGAGAAACTGCTTAGCTGAGATTCGATGATAGCTAAATGGAGTTTTCAAAACCAAACACACACACGCTCATGAAAAGAGCTGTTTGCATGAAATCCCCATACTCTAAAACTAAGCCGATCACGTGACCACACACCACAGGTGTCAGCGTCGGTGTAAGAAGAAAGTTATATGCAATATTGATAAAATGTTAACTCAAACAATCCAGTCTTTAAAGCCTTCAAAGGAGTCTTACCAAGCCTAATTCCATATCGTTGACTGAAATTATTAAGGCTCTCCAAATGGAATCGCTACTAAGCACATCCTAAACTAAGCTTTCTTAACTATGTATTACTCACTGTGCACGAACTAAATATTATATCATATAAGTATATATATCCACATCTATATATGTAAGTTCACGGCATCGCGAAGGTAGCGACGGGCCTCATCTTGCCAACCTACACCTTCACATGAACTAGAAACACCAGAAATGTCTGCGATGCTTACGCCAGAAACTCCTCTACACACCGCTGCCAACGAAGAGCTAGATATCAATGACGTCAATGAGCTGGATGAGAGCGATATTCAAGGGCTTGATTTAGAAGAGGAACGCGATTCCAGTACAAGCGCTGTTAGCCATCAACCTGCACCGAAACGAGAAAGAGTGAATGAAGATTTCGAGACCACTTTCGATCCGCACGATGACTTCAGACCTCGTGTAAATATCGGGTCACCTTTTTCCTCCGGAGTCGATATGCATAAATATGCACATCGTGCCGAACATGTTAATCAACGTGCACTGTCAATGTCACAACAGTCAAAATTTATATCCTACTGTGATGAAAAGTTGATGGCAATTCAAAGAAAGTTTGTGCAGTCTCGAGGATTGAACGAACAATATGGTTACCACGGCCTAGGTCCGCTACTGCAAGACCTCAAAACGGTACTGGATTTCATATGGTTTTCCATTGAAGGTCTGACCAACACAGAGCTACTGCTAAAGACGGACGTGAATGCTATGAGCCGCGAACAGTTTGCAGGCACGAAATCCACGAGTTTTGGCCAGGTTTACTACCTCATACGTGTAGCGGACGATTTTTTGGATTATTTAACGAAGTTCGATATGCGTAACATGAGTAGCGATGAGCAGCACAAGACTCTTTCTAAGGCATTCAAGTTTATCATAATCTTGGATGTGTCATTTGCACGCCTTCTGGAAGGTCTGGTACCAGGTAATACCAGGCTGAACGCTACTGAGACTGTGAGGATTGCAGGTATTGCAGAGCGCACAAGAACTGCTGTTCCTCGTTTCCTAGAAGAGCAGCAAATACATGGGTATCATTACGAGGTAAGTAAAATTTACGAGGAAACGCTGGAAAAATGTGCTTAAAAGTATGCAAGGGAATTATGTAACTTATTAGAATTGATCAAAAGGATTTGACGCATGCACAGTGACCAGCGAGGGGGTGGACAGCGGGGTTACCAGCGGAGGATTTTGGGATTCCTCTGCAGCTGGTGGAATTTGTGAGTGAGTATGCTGTTGTTTAGCTAGAGAAGACTCAGCAGGTTGTTGTTGTTGTTGTTGTTGTTGTTGTTGTTGCTGTGCTGCTTGTGAAACACTCCTATAAGAGCTCAAGTCTAATATGACAGTCACGTCCTTCGTAATCTTTGCAAGAGACGCCAAATTCGGCCTCACCTCATTCAGGATTGGTAGGTCTTTCATTATTATCTTCGTATTGGCCAAAATGGAGATGATGGACTTCAAAAATGCGTTGATATGTTCCCAAGTTTTAACCTTCTCAACTGCGCCAGAGAAGTTATCCGACTCGCTTTTATGAATAAGCGTCAACCGTTCTTTCAACATTTTCGAGAGCTCCTTCGACTGATAACACGTATCAGTAAGATCCTTAATTTTGGCTGCGATGCTGCTAGTAATGCTCGAAGATTCGGCGCTTTTCGTGCTGGCAATTGCACTCTTCGTAATCGCGGACGTTAGTTGAGCGTAAACAACGTTCACCATTGTGATTACTGATTCCAGTGTATGATATAGCTGTGAATCGACATCGCTGTCAGGAGTTTCGTCTAGCGAAGGCTTCGAAGGAGCAGTTCCTGAAATAATAGGCGTTCCGCTCAAGGTTTGTACATCAGCGGCTCTCCTAGCAGCATGAGGTGAATGTTGTGAGGACTCCCCCTTCATTCTCGGAGACCCTTCATTATTCGGCCTTGACTCAGCTGCAACACCACCTTGTGCGGGAGGTGGAGTTGTCATGATCGACATGTTGACAGACCTGTGACCAGCAGGTTGTGGTAAAGGCGACGTTGCTGGCAAAGGAGTATTCGATGTTACCGATCTTTGCAAGGTGTTGCTCCTAGCGCGTGGTATATGTTTGTAACCATGTGAAATACTCAAAGAGTGCGTTCTGGTGACCCTTCGCTTAACATTAGCCAGATTGGTATGCGGGGTGATCAAAGTCCAGGCATTGAACATTTCGGTGTAAGAGCATAGTAAGTTCATGTAGAACATTCTTGCGAAACATATATCGTTTCCTTGAAAAAATGCTCTGAAGTGTTTGCGAAGCAAGACAAAAACCTGCTTGAAAGTCGTGATTATTGTGAGACAAAGCTGAATCATTGCCCCGTTTTTGGTGGAAGTGGGGTTCTCACTCTGCTCAAGAACTTCCACCAAGTTGTCGATATGGGATCTTACACTGTAAAGTAAAGAAATGGCGTTGACGGCGACAGCCTTATCTTCACAAAAAGAAGTTATCTTTCGTATGCTTTGTTGACACTCTGTAAAGCAGAAAAGGAGCTTTCGGCAAGCCACTAATAGCTCATCATGCGAGACGCGCTGAGATGTCGTTTCCTCCGGGAGAACGGACAAACGCTTGAAATAGTCGTTATACTTGTTATTGCTGTGAATTTCTTCCTGACGATTTTGCTCCTCCGATACATTGATGAAACCACGGCGTTTGGCGGCTTTGCTAATCTTGGCGTCTTCGAAATGTTTTCGCAGTGCGACACACCAATACTCTTCGTGAGATATAGTATCTAAAAGCGACGATAACGGCACTTCTGCTCTCACCTGATCTAGCTCCTCTTGTGAAATGGGATTGCCCTCTATTTCCAATATTTTCAGGTTTCGAAGTGACATTACAGCAGGGTAAAGCTCTCGAATTGTCGTTACATTGTTGTTTTTGAGGGAAAGAACCTGAAGATTGTCGCACCAGGTCTGTGGAAATGCATGTGGCAAGTGCGTAATAGAGTTCGAGGAAAGGTCCAGGATCTGGAGTCGCTGACACTGCAAAAGAACTGCAGGAAATTCTCGCAGCTTGTTGTTATGCAGATCAAGATATCTGAGCTCCCGTAGTTTACTGAAGCTCTCGGGCAGCTCCGTCAGTTGGTTTCTCTGCAAGGATAGTCGTTCAACTGACAGTAGCAGGTCGATAGTATCGTCTGTAAGGGACGATATACCCAAATCGATGAGCTTAATGGTTGGATCGCGCTGTGACAGCTGTGCCGACGCAACAGATTCCAGATTCGTTCGGCCATCGATAGCAGAAGTCTCGCTCCCCGCCTTTTCTGTTCTAGCATCCATCACAGCTTTTTGCGGTGGTGAAAGAAGGGCTTGGGTTGTGTGCTTACGGGCGAAGCTTGTCTTTGTTAAGCGATAGACACGCTGTATTGTTGGAAAGCTGATGATAATTGAAGGACGCCAGGGTAGCTTTGTACGGTAATCTCAAGCCGGCTCATACACACTCAAAAGGAGTAATCAAGTCACATGATATATGAGCCGGAATGGAGTTCATTGTGAGTGCAGCTCGGCGGCTAACCAAAAGGAAAAAGCGTTGGGACAACTTTTGGTGGATTCCACAGGTAAACTTAGGGAAAGTGCTGCCCTTTCAATAAGGAAAGAAATAGGGTGCTTATTCGTTCTGAAAGGGCTCCGTCATCCGATGGTGGTGTTCAGAACAAGGCTGGTCTCAGAGCGATCGATGTCTTGAATATCTCTATCTTTGGTTCCTTACCTGACATAGCAATAATTTCTTCTCTAGGGTCGCATTCTCTTGCTGTCAAGTCCTCAAGTACAGGTAAATCCAGGAGATAGACCCTTTCAACGATCGGTTACAGTTTTCTGAGTATGTTCTCTCGAGGACAAAAGTATCAAACATTTCGAGGAGAAGATTGATGTTTTTTAGCTGACACAATGTGGTTGGTTCATTGGTCCTTGTAGCATCCAGATGACTCCTGAACCTCTAAGCATTGAAATGTTGGAAAAGTAAAAACAAGAAACTGGTCGGGTACCTTAAGTTTCCAAGTCTTCTTTACTTCATCCATGTAGATAGAAACTCTTAATTTTCTTGTCAGAGCTCCAGTTGACTTTCTTGTCAATTATTTACTCATTTGCTCACTCAGTTTACTACCCAATCCTCCACTCATTCATCCACTCGGCGGATCGAGATCTTTTAATTGTTAGCTTCAACTTGGCAATGATTAAAGAAAAGTTTGATGCCGATGTCTTTCCAATGCCATCCCACAGAAGTACTTCAGAATCGTGTTCATATAGTCTAGATCTTCGCTCTTACACTCAACATGGGATGGTTATGGGCAGATCCGGTTAAAGTAAGTTAACTCTTCTCCAAAACTGCTCTAGAATATGCCTTCGATCAGTCAAATACTAACGTCTTTCTAAGTCTGAGGCTTGCCCCGTAAGCGGGAACTCTCAAGGATCTCAGTGTCCTGTCGCTCACAAAAGCGTTCCAAAAGGCGAAGAAACTAACAGCTCGGATGGCTGTCCGGTTCTTCATGGCTCGAACCCTCAAAACGGGCTGAACCCATTGAATAATATTCCTGCTCACTTGTCTCATGAAAGGCAACCACACCAGAATTTGGAACTACCCAAAGATCGTACCACAAGTTCGATTCCCAAGGGTAGCGAGAAAAACGGTGAATTTTGGGAGTACCCTTCCCCACAGCAAATGTACAACGCCATGGTTCGCAAGGGCAAAATTGACCCCAACACCGGAGAAGAAGTCCCTGAAGACGCTGTTGAGTCTATGGTGTTTGTGCATAACTTTCTAAATGAAGGCTGCTGGCAGGAAATCCTGGATTGGGAAAAGAAATACACAGAAGACACCAACGTGGAACCCAAACTTTTGCAGTTCATGGGCAAGCCAACTCAATACTCACCCAGAGCACGCTGGTTCAATTTTCTCGGAACGGTTTTTCCTACTTGGTTTTCGGGCGAGCTTCCTTTTGATAGACATGACTGGACTGTGCTGAGACCGGACCCTAAATCTACTGACACTGAGCATCCCGGTTTCAGAAAGGTGCGCTACGTGATTGATTTCTACGGCGGACCAGACGATGAAGAGGGCCTGCCTACGTTCAATTTGGATGTTCGTCCCGCACTTGTCGATTTGACAAGCGCTAAGGATCGTTTCACAAGGTGGACAGAGCCTATTCTCACCGAATATTTTGGAGACAACAAGAAGTGAAAAACTCATCATACGGCCCTCAGCGTTCAGTAGGGCTTGGGCATCCAGGACAAAATGTGTCAGATTTCGAGTTTTTGGGCGCCGGCGAGCGTCGCCGATCATTAAGCGTTGTCCTGGAATTATGTTACATGTTAAGTATCTGATATTTACAGTGAAATTATAAATTTTATTATTTGGATGAGGCCTTGGGCAAAGGAATCTTATTTTGAGTAAGAACGTCAAGATCTCTTTTGGCTGGCTTGAAGTTTCTCACGCCATACACATCTTCCAATAACTTGGCCACAGATTCACTCTCTTTGGCATTAAACCCACTTTTTTGGAACCTTGATAGTTCAGCCACCGTGTGAGTAATCCTCGAAGCCGCGTAAAACGTTAATGACTTCTGTGCCTTTTTGGCAAACGTGGCATAGACAAGAAGTTTTTCGAGGTACGCGGTTGTTTTGTCCTTCATACTCTGCTCACATACTGCGTCGATGATGGGGTCCAAAATGGATCTGGTTATGGTGGTCACATCCCGAGTTTCCTGAACAAAAGCTTTGAAGATTTCCTCGCAAGCTTCGATATTCCCTGCTTTCGACTCTGCGGCTATCATAAACCCGTACTTTTTGGCCCCAAGCGGCAGCTTGATTTCTTCGAACGCTTTCCGCACGATCTCAATGTCAGGGCAGATATCAGTGAATCGTTTGAATATATCGGTAGTCGTGTTGACGTCATTTTTGCTTTTGGAAATGCTCTTGTAGAACTGAAATTCTTGATCTTTGGTGAATAGGTAGTTTGCGTACATCCTTAGCGCCAAAGTTGTACTATTGGCTTTCAAAAGGGCACCCGGATCAGTGAACTGTTCGCGGTAGAATTTGTCGAACGCTGCTTCGGGCAATTTCTCCTCGAGCGTCTTACGAAGAACTTGATTGGCGAGTTCAATAGAAGCCAATTTTTCTGGTAATTGGCCCGCTATGCCCTCAAGGGTGAAGTCTTTTCTGAAGGACTGGAATAAAAGATACTCCTCGGTTAGTTTTTGTTCCGTTTTCAACGCAGATGGGATTTCATTGATCCAGAGCTGTTGCAATTGGTTGAAGTTTCTACTCTCTCCAAGCGCTCTGACCAGAGCGACGTACGAATCCACTTTGATTGAATCGGATGCATTGGCAAAGTATGTGTTCCAGACTGCTTCTATGCGTTTCGCCTTTTGTTCGCGAACATCTTTACCGTATACCGGAATGTTGGCAATAACAACAAGTAAAGAGTTTTTGACAGCTTCATCAAGTGTGCCGGATTGTTTACTCAAGTTAAAACACTGGAGAGCTTGCTGGGGTTTTTTCAGTTCAGTGAATTTGATCATAAAGGCAGAGATAATGTCACTGCGCAAGGGCTGCTCTAATAGCTTTGAAGCAGAGGAAAGACTTTGAAACAAGCTCTGAACGTCCTGAACTAATTCAAGCTCTTTGAGTTGTTTGTTGAATTCGGGGCCACAGGTCTGGGTAAAATCAAGCAAAAGACGTAGATAATTTTCTTTGGCGCTCTTGCGCACGGAAGAGTCCATTCTGGTTGTATCAAGCAAATACCTGAGTCGAGACATCTGCATTTTCTCGGGTGTATCACCTATATTCAGGATTTGAGTCAATTCCGACAGACGCGGTATGTTATTCGGAATCATGAGATAGCCGATCGATGCTAGGGCCAAATTGTTCTCGTGATGGGACCCGTATGTTATAGTGCGGGGGTTTTCGGCCAAAGTTTCCAGATATTTGACCCACAATCCCAGAATATCTTGAGGGGCATTTGACGCTACCAGGTACTCGAAGACCACCTGGAAATGCAAATCGCGAGCTAGTCCATATTGGCATAAAAGTGTCAATATTTCGTATGGGTTTGGAGGTAGCGATGCAGAAGAGTCTGTAGAGCTTCCCGTGGTACTTAGTTCGGCTCTTGACGCTTGAAGAAGCTGTTTTAGTACGGAATTGAGTCCAAAAGATTTTTGCAATGTGAAGCGGGAGTCATTGAGATTCTGAGAAACTTCATATACTTCATTTTTGAGCAGGTTGAAGGCTGCTGAGGCATTGTGCTGATTCTTGAGCTCGTTGCTGAGATTGATGTTGAGCTGAGCGATGGGATGAACTTTGCGCGCCACCTGGGCCGCCGTGCTATTCCAACAAGCCGCTATGCGGTTGCGAACATTTGTGGAGTTCCTAAGTTTGATGGAGCTCGATAGCATTGGGTCTGGATGTATCGATGAGATAGATGGTTTTGGTGTTTACTACTGGTGGATAATTTTTCAAGATGTGTGGGTATTCGTGCTAGGGCATGTGTAACGAAAGTTATATTAGATCGAACTTTTGAAAGACCAAAAGAGAAGAGAAGCGATTTTGAAGGTTGAAAGGGGTTGTTGTTTGCCTTTTTGAGGCCCTCAAAATGATGGTGGTGAAGAGGCCGGGGCAGGTTGATTAAAAGTGACGGCTTTTGTTTCTATATATCGCTTTATACGACACGGAAACAGAGATAATTAGACACGAGGGTTTGTTGAAACGCGATGAACACCTGTGAAGTCTCGATAGTTTTCAAGACTCTGAAGTTCGTTTTTGTTCAAAATTTCAGATCTTGTAAACCTTTGCAGTTTGAACAAAATGTCGCCGCAAGTCACGTGACTCGCAGCAGAAAAACACAGCTGATGTGAGAAATGTGATCCATCAAACAAGTCACACTGATCTTGACGCCGACCCGTACTTACACAACTTCTTCTTGTTCCCCAAAACCAGACGTGATCTCCCTGATTTCACGACATTTTAAAAAAACCGGCGAATGTCACGTTACACGAATGTTTGTCGTACAACACTACTGAACCGTTCTTGAAATATGTTTTGTACGTACAAAGTGACACCAAAGCGCAACACACAAACACAACAAGCCACTAGGTAAATTCTCGCGCAAGATGCGTTTGCGACGTCCGATACGACATCTTCTCTTCCTCTCTTTACAAATCTATCCTCCAGTTCCCACACACACACACACAGACACACAAAAACCTGTTTTCATTCACTTGCCCTTCCCTTCCCTTCTCAATGCCATCCGCGGATCTCCAGCCGTCTGGAGTGCAGAAATCCTTGGCCCACACCACCACCCACACACCCCGTCACAGCACGTGACCCGTAACACTACTCTTGAGTCGAAACGCTATGACATCATTTTAACCTCCCATTCGCAGCAACCTGTCCGGCAAGTTCTTCAACCCGTAGAATCTCGAAAATCTGTGCTCCAATAGCCTAGACGACTCCGACTTTTTAGGGGCGCATGTTACACAAAAACGTCAAAAGGCCAATTTCTGGGAATATAAAAGGCTAGGCGCTTCTGTGACAGATCTTTCTCCTCTACGCGTCACTTCTCATAAACACACAACAAACCACACATGTAAAAGTAGATACATAGCGACTTGAATTAAGTACGAGAAGTGTCCATCATCCCATACATAAGAATTTGTTTAAACGTGTACATAAAAAAATAGCGGCGTGTGGCGGATTATGTCAATTGGGACAGAAAGTGAGATGACGGATAACATTGCTACGTTATTCGTGACCGGGTGGCGTGCGTGCCCATACAAGTGTGATGAGAGCGGTTGAGGAAACAGTTGGGTTTGCACTGGAACGTTTGAGGAGAGCGTGGACTTTGAGAAGTAGCAAATAGGTTAATGATTGAGTATGAACGAAGTTGCCGCGTGTCGCTCGTTACCCGCTTTGTACCGGGTATTATATGGGTCTTTAACTTAAGAAACTGAGTTCATACTCAAACTATACTCATTTCATTTCACAATTTTCTCGCTCCCACAGCTGTATGGTGAAGAAATTTCGATACCAACAGATGTAAACCCGGCCCACATAGAACAGATCAGCACAGTCGGGTTCGACATTCACCAAATACACACCGGTTTGTCGACAAGGAGTGAAATCGCCAGCCAGTTTCGCAACCCTGTGGGCACGCGCCTTCCTTGTGTTAAAGTCGTTTTCGGTCTTTTTCGATTTCACCCACACACAACCCTGATTGCGTCATGGGATCCTCTGACGGCAGCAAGAGCGGTAGAAACGCACAGAACCTCAACCAAAACCCGGGCCAAGGCGAACGTGATAGCCATCAAGCTGCCAATCAAGGTCAAGAAAACCAGAACTCAAGCCAGAACCAAAGACATCAAAACAGCCACTCTGGTCGTCCCAGTCACGAACCCCTCACATGGATGACACCTACCGCTGTGCGATCAGGTACCGATTCCAAGAAGGACGTAGAAGACAAAGAGCCTAATCGTCCTCGCGGCCATTCAACTTCGGAACAGGCCCAGGGAAAGCCCCTCGATGAGGTGGTGGACAACTACCGACAGTGGCTAGAAACCATCGATCGTACCAGTGGGTCTTCGCCAGGCCAGAATCTGGCAGCAGCGGCCGTGGCAGCTTTCCCCATGGCATCTTCGATTCCAAACACGTTCCCGTCTTTTGACGATCTGAGCCAACAGCAAGGGCAACAAGAACCTCAGTCATCGAGTCATCGGCATTCGTACCAGCAAAGTCTGGATAGTCTGCGACAGCGCGGAACTGAACCGCAAGCTCACGGCCAAAACGATCGGCCGCAGCATCATGGGAACGACGACCCAAAGCATCAGCTTCGTGAGGATTACGAAGAAACTGACAAGATGACGCTCGACCCGGATCTTGACTCTGTGGCCTTTGCTCTCACCGAACCTCTATCTCAAACAACAGAAAGTGCAGCTCTTCGGGCCAGTGGTATCGTTCACGACAACTACGACGACAACTCGAGGGAGTCGTCTAATCGTTTCGAACCGATCAAGGCTGTTCTTACACCAAGGGCAAGTAGCACTAGCCATACAGAGACTCCTGATCAGGAACAATCACAGAAACAACCACAGCAACCATTTGCCACCTATATGCCTTTTGGTACTAATCTCAGCAACACAACTCGAAGCAACACTGACGTCAGGTCGCATTCGTCGAACGGGTGGATGAACCGCTCGCGTTTCAGACCTTACTTTAACATCTCTCTTGTAGGCGATTCCAAAATTGCCACCTGTATCTATTGTGGGAAAGACTATAAAGAAGGTGAATCTACTGGAAACTTATCCAAACACATAACCAATAATCATGCGACTGAGTATAAATCTCGCGAGCGTGCTGCTTCGAAGGAGAACACATTGACTTCACTCACCAGTAAAGAGCGGTCTTTGCGTCTCTCTGCAAGATTTGCTTCAGAACTCAATCGGGACAGTGGTACTTTGGCATCGGTTATTCTTATAACGGAAACGTTAGTGCCCTTTTACGTGGTAGAGTCTATGGGTTGGAAAATTATCAATGGTCTTGTTCCTGACGTTCCTCTTATAGAAACTCGCAAAGCCGTGGTTGAAAAAATGGACCATTATATCGAATGTTTGAATCAATCGCTCAAAGCAAGCTTGGAATCGTCCACGTTTGTCAGTGTCCAGCTTTACGTTTGTTCAAGAGAGGACGGGCTGAGATATCTTGCTGTTTCGGCTTCTTACGCTCCAAACATCTTGGATGAGGAGAGACTGGATAGCATTCACTCTCTGGACCTTTTGGTGAATAACACGGGAGACCCTGTGAATGGTCACCTACTAGATGTAGTGGAGTTCAATGACAAAGCTGATGACCATCCCTCTTTATACAAGGGTGTGTTAAAAATATTGGACAGGTACAATGTTACTTCAAAGGTCGCTGTGGTCACAGTCGATCAACTGAGCCATGCGCTAGGTTTGCATGATGACTTGATGAATGCCTTATTGAAAAACTCTGATTCGCGGGTAATGCGTTACCTTGGCAGTGTACGTCTGTCACGTTGCATCAATTCGGGTCTCGAGCTACAGTTTGAAGCTGTGGCCAACGATTTGATGAAGGACGGAGATTTCAAGCATGAGTACCAAAAGATAGAGAAACTTGCTCAATCTTGGGAGAAGATTCCTGCTCTACAGAGTTTTGCGGACGATCTTGTCAGACCGCCTCACTTTTCGAGTCAAGTCAACGAGGCTCGGGGAGTTTGGCGCCAGGTAACCAAATTTTTACGAGTGAGACAACGCCTAAGAGTTTGGTTAGAGAGCCCTGAAAGAGATGTTGAAGGGTCCGCGGTACAGGATATCGAAGAAAACATCTCTCACACATCGACAGCTCTAGAGCTATTCCGCTATTTCGTTGACTGTTGCTCGATTTTCGATAGATTGCGGGGCTCTTTGTTGAGCGACGGGATTTGCTTTCTACCTGAAGGATTGTCCATATATTACAAGCTGAATGGGTTTTTCGATTTGTGCGAACGGGCATCCAGGGGCGAGCAAATTCATCATGAAGAGTACTCCTTTTTGAATGGTTCAGACACACTACTGTCTGAGCACAAAGATAGGGTTTTGCGTGCCGTTTTAAGCAGCAGGAAACTGTTTAAAGGGTTTTTCGAAGGCGTTAAGACTAATGCCTTATTCTACGTGTCTGTTGCCTTGGACCCCTCAGCGCGGTTGGAAGAATTTCAAAAATACATGAGCGAAGACGAGATGAATTTCATCAAATGTGACGTGGAGGTCACTGTCCAGGAATATTTATCGAAATGCGATCTCTATGAACATAGCAGCGCCAAGTCCGAGGGTTCGGAACCTAATAAAGCTGCTAAACGCAAGAGGATGGGGCAAGAGCCTTCCAAAGAGGGCGTTTTCACCAGTAGCTACGACGAATGGACGCAATACAAGAGTGAAATCAAAGTTCTTTCGAAATCTCGTCGTGGAGTAATCCAATGGTGGGCCGAGCGTCGTGCCAAATATCCACACTTATTCAAGCTAGCCATGGCGTTGTACTACACGCAGATCAGTTCCAACGAGACCGAGAACATTTTTTACGTTACGGAACACACGTTGAAGGTGTATCAAAGAAGTGTTGGACGAGCCAACACGCAGAAGGTGATGCTTCTGAGAAACCGATTCAAAAACTTTGGCTTGTACAATCAGGCTCTGCGATTTGTGAACCCATCTATTGATTAAAACATACCTTTTGTAATTAATGTATTCATGTAAGAAAGCGTAAAACATTAGCGTTTTTGCGAAAAATCGTGCGTTGCTCAGAGAACCATAAAGGCTTTAAGGGAAAAACGATGAAGTCAACAAGGGGTTTGTCAAAATTGAGGTTTCTGCAATGCAAATGCAAATGCAATGCAATGCACGAGGTGTTGGTTGCCATGACATCGCAATAGCAAAAACAATGGACGTAGCGAGTGACGTGTAACCGTCAATTTATCTGCGGAAAAGAAACGAGAGCGAACGGGCTGAACGGGCGAACATTCTAAACTCCGAGTGGGTAGGTTTGCCGTAGGAAGATACCTTTCTCGAGAGACCATCAGCTAAAGGAAAGGGCACAACAAAGAGAGAGAGAGAGAGCGATAGATCCCTGTAACAGACTTCTGCCTTGCTCTGTCTTGTCTTGATCCTCACATGCACGCTTTTAGCCGTGCGATACTTGGCTCCTGGCCCCCTTCTCTCTCTCTCTCTCTCTCTCTCACTCTCTGTAATATTGCCCGATCCGGAAATCGTGCACCCGTTTTGAAAGAGGCCTCGAGCGCACCGTGTCGTCACAGACAGACGTCGTCACCAGCATTGCCAAGTTTTGAAGTGTTGTCAACCAGCCACCACGCACGCAGCCGGAAGACCCGGACGCTAAGACGCTAAAAACGCTAAACACGCTAAAAACGCTAAAAACGCTGCATCGAGAGGATCAAGCTGAGTGAGTGTATTGTCTTGTTTCTGTGTGTTTCTTTTTGGCTATCGCACGGTTGCAAGTAGCCATTTATTGAAGTTCTTACGGTGGTGGGCAGACAGACAGACGTATCGGTGTAAATAACGTGTATGTATGTATGTATGTATGGTATAGTACTAGATAGATCTCGATTGCATAACCCAAAGGGGCAACGAGACCCAGGGAAACGAGACCCAGGCCGGATTTCCGGTCCTCAAACAAGAATACTAATGACCAGTGTCAATCATTTAAGCTGCTGCTGCTGCTGCTGCTGCTGTTGCTGCTGAAATTTACGGACCCAGATTCCTTGCGCTTTAACTGCTGCTTCTTCCTGCTTCTTCTTTTGTCCTCCCATACCGCACGGTCGGCTCCGGTGCCGTTCGTGCTGAGATATGGAATCTTATGTATGTATGTATGTATGTATGTATGTTCGAGAATTCCGGTCGTAGCTGAGCATTCTCTCTCTATCTCTCACCGCTAGTGTCTGGAACTTTTTCAAACCTGTATAAGAAAGTGACTGGAAATAAAGAATAGAGAGAAAAGCCAATTGGAACTGGAACGGTTGGTTTCATAAACTCAAAGAGAACACCTCATCACACGGGTCGTCTTTTGTCTTACGTCTTACATCTTACGTTTTGTCTTTGATCTCTTGTCTTAAGTCCCTGTTCTTGCTGTGTAACCCTAGAGTAACCCTAAAGTAACCTTTACTCTAAAGAATCCTGCCCTGAGTGACACTAATCCCGGGGCAACAACGGGGCAACAACGACCCTAATATCAGATCTCATGCGCTCGAGAAGTGTATCTATCACCACGATCCAAAGCCCAATTTCTCTTGCGCTACGGCACTTACATACCCACGTACCAGCTAACCTGCCCAGTGTCTCTCTTTCAAACACTCACTCTCATTCTACTACCAGCTTAACTGCCCAAACGGGGCATAAAGCCCAGTGAAAAAAAAGCTAATGCACTCACACACAGGCTGGAAAAAAAAAAAGACACCACCGATTACAGAAGGTGTGTGTACGCTGAGATACGCTGGGATACGCTGGGATACGCAAGACTAGGCTGCTTTGGGCTGCACTACGCTACGCTACGGTGTGTTTCTGAGCTAAAAAAATTGAAAAGATGTCCCTGTCTCCATGGCCACTACTCACATTGCCTCTGTGTCTCGCTGGTAAGATTTTCGATCCTACTATAGTCTCATTAACCATTAACCCTAACCAGTAAGTATGCTCGAACAGCTTTTCTGCTTCTTCTTCTTTTTTTTTTCTACTTCCCTCTCGGTTGCCCATCGTGTGCCAGCCAGAAAAACCTTGATCCGGTTCTTTATTCACAGTCAGTAGAGGCTTCCTTAGCGCATCCAACGCACGAATTTCCTGTCAAATAGGGCTACGACGATACGGCAGATACGGTGAGTTGTTGGTGAGGAAACTGTGAAGATTGATGGATGGTTATGGTGGTGGGTTTTTTCGATGTATTTGTGAGTACTATTACCAATTTTTTACATTAGAGAGAGAGAGAGGAGATATATATATATATATATATATATATATATATATAAGAAGTAATGGGAAATGTATAACTTACACTTCTCCATCTCTTTCAATTACATCTTTTCGAAGAAAGAATAGCTTTCTAGAGTCCGTGAGCTGACACAATATAGAGCCTGGGCCAGGGTTCTTGAAAAAGTCAGATCAAACAGAGATAGAAGTGGAAGTTCGTGAGTTGGAAGTGGAAGTTCGTGAGTTGGAAGTAAAAGTTTAAGATTCTGTGATTGTCAATAAGAGTGTTAGTGTGTTAGATTGCTCAAATACATACACACACAAACAAACACACAAATCAGTCGTCTTTCTACTACTCCTGTCTCTTTCTTTCCTTTCCATTCCATTCCTTTTTTGGTTTCGTTTGTTGACCAATCCCCCTGATTGTGTGGTTTTCCCCCGTCTCTCTGGCTCTCCTCATCCACCCAGCCGCCCTGCATCGCGCTAATTTGAAGCGCCCAATTTTCTCATTATTCCCTGCATTTTTTTTTTTTAACCAAAAACCAATTGGTTATCGGCCCATCGCCAAAAATACTCACTCCACAAACACCTCAGAAATACCTCAGTAGCCAGCCGGTCTTCGCTACTTCAGTTCCTCTTTGTGTGTCTATTATTCCCCTCTCTCTGTAAGGTCCCAGTTCCAAGGTAACCTTTCACCTTTTTTTTTCATTTTTGTTTGGCTACCGCCCCCAGGGATCGAACACCCGTCGTCGCCATCTTTACCACACGCGTCCCATCTCATTTCCATCTCTCGTGTGGTTTCTTTCCCCTATCAACACCACTTCTCACCATCTCACCGCCCACCGCTCCTTCTTTCCTTCCCCTTCCTTATAGTCTGCATTTTTGGCCACACCAGTCTTGGAAATCAAACTCAATACACGGTGGAAAAATCGCCAAACTGACCCATACACGTTTGCTTTTTCCGCTAACTTGGCTGCATCCCTTACAAAACCCGGCCTCACAACCTCATCAAGTTTTCGTGCGTGAAGAACAAATTGTGAACCGCTAAGCAAAGCACTCCCCTCAACCACCCCACACACAACCGATTCGCCCTTGTCGAATCCCTGTGTTTATCTTTGGATCAGGAAAAAAGTAAAAATCCAGAGTCCCTGTTCAATTACGGTGGACCGGTATCGAGGAAAAAATATCGAAGCAAAGTCATCAACGTCAACTATCCAAGTCTGTTCAAGAAACTTTCACCTTCAATACTTTGCCTCACTCTTACCCATCCGTCTTTGCTGTCTCACAATTACGCGATATACCGTCGAGTACCAAAGATTGCACTAAACTACTACAACTACAACTATCATTTTCAAAACCTGAAAAAAACAAATCGAACAAATCGAACAAACTGAACTGAAAAGTGCCAACTCGAGTCATAATCACCTCCCTTGTGCTTTCCACCCACTTACCACACAATGTCGTCGTCGTTATCATCTTCGTCGGCTCATCTCTCAACCATGGCCGGCGTGAGACGCTCGGTCTGGAACTCAAGAGCTGCTCATCCAAGGGTCGTCCAAATGGAACTTTTGGCTCACCAGCTTGCCTGCCAGGACTACAGCGTCGATATCCTGCGACACCTTATCGATATCGAGCAAAACAGCAGACCCTGTCTCGCCAGCTTCCAGGCGCAACCGGAAATCAACACGCACATGCGGTCGCTCATCTTCGATTTCGCCATGTGCTGCCACACAAGACTTGCCCTGTCGTCGTCCACACTGTTCCTGTGTTTCAGCGTCATCGACCGCTACTGCAGTCGCATCGTGGTCAAAAGCTCAACGTACCAACTCGTGGCCCTTTGCAGCTTGTGGCTTGCATCCAAGTACACCGACAAAAAACCTCGTGTTCCATCTTTAAGATCCCTCCAGAATCTGTGCTGCTCGCAGTATTCCAGGACCCAGTTCCAAGAAATGGAACTTCACATCCTCAAGGCCCTCAACTGGACCCCTTGTAACGCCCCACCTCACGACGTGTTTGTCGATATTCTATTGAAAAATAAGATAAGCTCTCTAAGTTACCGTGGCCTCAACATCAACGACCTTAAGTACGCTAGTTGTGTTCTATGTGAACTTGCCTGTTTCGATCACGTCCTGGCGTTTGATTGTAACGCCAGTGCCGTCGCACTTGCTGCAGTCACGGTGGCCACCCACGCTTTACGTTTGTCCATCGACGGCGAGTTTTTGCATTACTCCGCTATGCTCAAGGACGTAAACTTGCAACGCGTTTGTGGGCTTATTTTGCGGAAATTGCGTACCCGCAACTTCCCTTCTAGCTTCAAGCTCAAATATTTTGGCCAAAGCTCGGTAGAGTCCAACCCCATCATCAAGAGCTTGATCGAGTATGACCAAGCCGTCTGCCCGCCAACACCGGTTTCTGCTACTTTGGGATCCGTGAACTTGGGTTTCCCGGGATCCCAACAACACGGTGACACCTCAATTGCATATACCGCTAGAGCTCCCAATCGTGTTGTTTCCCAACCATTTAGGTCTCCGCTTGCTAATGTCCCTCCGACTCCAAGCACGCCTTCTTCGATAGGACTGAAGAACCATGCTCGAGCGCCAAGTTTCATGGAAACCCCACAGTCATCTGCATCTCCCAATCCAACCAAGCCCGTGAACCCTGCTGCATACTTAGCCAAGAGTACAACGACAGGTGCACCGACCAACATGCACAAGCGATCTGACTCCAAACGCAACTCCGCATACATGGATTTGGATTTTTTCGACATGGCTGAAGTAAGTTGTAAGCGTCCAAGGTAATAGAAATTGTTTGCCGGGCGTTTGCGAGCAGGGATCCTTCAAAGCTTTTAAACCCTCGTCCAAATCACGACAAGCTCATGATATGGCATCATACTGCGAAGCTTACGAATCTTTTAATGACAAAACACAAATCTCTTACAAAATCACCATTGGTCTCTCTCAAGCATTGGAAAGAAACGGTCAACGTCCCAGACTCCTCGCATTCTATCCTTTGCCATAACTTCGAGCGGAACTACTCGTTCCCAAACTGAGATGTCCAAGGGATACTTGCTTCTTGTAAACCGGGACCCTGCCGTTGTCCATGCATCAGTTTCTTCCAAATTTTCGTGGGCGATACCCTATTTTGGGAAGGTTTACTGAGTTCCAATTAATTGGTAAAAGGGTTCACCCATTTTGCATCCTAGTCAGAGTATTACTTTACATATTTTTACGCATTTTACGCCGTTCTGTGATTATCAATTCGATGTTTTCGCACTCTTTGATGCTGTTGTTTTCAATTTTATCTCTGAATTAGCCGCCGAGATTCGTATGCAGGGTCCTGCAGAGAATTTACAGAAATATGCATGTATACATAATCATGCATATTGTGAACTTCCTTTACAATCGATGACCCGTCAAACGCGATGTCTATGAAAGAAGAGATTTTACACATTTTTAAAGCCTACCTACCATCACGCAACGAGACCTGAAAAGTTCTGAAAGTAGCACACTTCTCCTCGTCTTTTACTTCACAACACTCATCATTGAGATGGGTAAAAGACCAATCGGTTCGGATCCTCAGACCAATTTCAAGAGATCAGAAACTTTAACGGAAGCCATCAAGAATGAATACACTAATTACTGTCCCTCGACCAAAATCGAGACCATAGACGTTCTCGAGCTTCCGGATACCCCTGAAAGAATCGAAAGATTTCTGAAAGACTATGTGATCGCGAGAAAACCTTGCAAAATCAATGGGGTTATAGGGGGAGAACTGTTCTCGAAAAAATTGCACCCACAGCATATAACGTCCATTTTTCCGAAAGAACAAATTCTACAGGTCGAACGTAAAGTTGATGGTGGTTTTGGAAGTGGCGAGAAACGACTCCATATGTCCTTTGGTGACTTTATGTCGCGCTTGAAAATGGGTGAAAGCGACCTATACTTGACCACGCAATACAGAGGTGATAGTACGGGTACAAATGGGGCTTTAGCAGCCGCAGAGGAAAAGGAGCAAGAAGAAGAAGAAGAAGAAGAAGAAGGAGAAGGAGAAGAAGAAGAAGAGGAAGAGGGAGAAGAAGGCTGTCACGCTTTTGCCGATGGGTCGCTTTCGGATGCAGGCTCATTTATCGCTGGCGATTTAAGAGATGATTTTGATGACCTCAAATCTCAGGAAGAGGAAGTTGTTGCAAACCTAAAGTCCGGACCTCTAACATGGCCAGAAGCCGAAGAACGGATAAAAGAGCTATACCAGCCTCCGATGGACAGCTTGATTGGCACTTTGTCGGAAAGTCCAGAATTTCTGAGTGCTCTTATACCGCAACAAATCAACCTTTGGATAGGAGCAACATCGCAAACAAACACCAAGGCTCAGGATGAGTTCCTGTCGAATTACGATGCTCAACTACCCCGTCTTGGCCTGGGAAGATTTGTGCCCGGCGGTGGATCTTCGTCAGGATTACACCACGACCATGCCGACAACCTTTACGTACCTGTCAGCGGGCACAAAAGGTTCACGTTATTTTCCCCCAAGGACGCACACAAGATGTATACCGTTGGTACTATACGAAAAGTTTACGCATCGGGTGTCATAGACTACGCGAGATGCGAGAATTCGCCTTTGTGGCGAAATCTGCGCGACGATGGAGCGATTTTGGGCGAAGTGGCTCACCAGCAACTGAGTCACAACAAAAATTTGACTACGGAGGAACAGAAAAAATGGACAGATATCATCAAGCAGGACGAAGATTTTGTTGACCAGGATTCAGACGTCAAACTTGATCCCCCGTCCTTTTCGACAGTAATCCCCACAGTGGTGCATTTGGATAAAATTCAAGATTCCAGTTTACGACAGAAGATCCAAAACAAAGCTCTTGAAAAATGGCCACTTTTTTTCGAGGCCAACCGCATTGTAGTCGATTTGAAACCTGGAGAAATGCTATATCTGCCTGCAGGGTGGTTTCATGAGGTTACTTCATTTGGATCCCTTGATGCCAAAGATTTGAAGGACCAAATCCACATTGCGGCTAACTACTGGTTTATTCCACCCAATGGTGTGGACCTGGTCAACTTATATTCACACGAAGACAACTACTGGCACACGGACTTTGAGCGGACCCGTGCCGCTCTCGATATTGCAAGACAAGAAGTGAGTAAAGCTGGAGATGACTAGGTCGAAGAAGATCAATGTCAGTGATTTTCGAACACCACCAATTGCACAACAAGGGCTTCATGTCTAGGGCTTTCAACTTAGGGCTTGACGAGATATTGATATTACCCTTTGACTGCTTAATTTTTCTCAAAAATTTAAAGTTCAAAGGAAACAGTTCGAAACGCATAACCCCATCGCATGAAACTACTAACATGAAGGAAACGTCAAATCAAGTCCTACTTCGACCATGACTCCAAGCATTATATGACACATGGGTAAGCTAATTCCTCACGGTAATCGAATGCTTTGAGAGCTTGACTTTTGAGACCTACAATTAATCGTACAAAACGATACAGTTTCCAAGGTGACAGAAAGAAATTTGTGCTTTTACAATAACATAGTTTCTCTGCCAGGTCAACTCCAAACAATCTCTGCAACCTGAGCTCTCCATCTTGCTATCCTTTTGGACCTTTGGTTTTAGCCAATTCCTTCCACATTTGGAATATTCGTAGAAATGGCCCTACAACAAAAAAAATCTAATATTTCAAATTACCTAATTTTTCACCGCGTTTGAAATGATTCAATTGTAGGCCATCGCTTGATACCCAATTATTGACTCCAGCTCTGGAACGCCTGACAACGTACCATTATTTGATCGTTTCGGTGCATCTTACCCACCTGAACGTGTTTGGATAATCATATTCTCTTGATCGCCCTTTTTCCCCGGTTCAAATCTGTTCATTTTGGCGTTTGTTCGCTCAGGAAGTATACAAACATAAAACCTAATCAGTTACTGTTGTAGGTGACTAGTATCGGGTTGCCTTGTACCGATAGGATTATCTTCTTTCTCTCACTTGAAGGAGATCAGCAAATTTCTGGTTTGGTTGGTGATCGTTTTTGATTTTCAGTTACTCAGGGTCCACCGCTAACTCAACCATAGTTTTTGGTGCGATTTGATTCAGTACAGATACTGTTTGATCCAATCTATTCAACAGCATTCCAGACTATAGCATTTGGATAAGCACCTGTTCTGCTTGCATGTTTCGCGGACTCATAAAACTCAACTTCAGCAAGCTTTAGTAGTTGACGCAGATGGCTTTAACCAATTCGAGACCCTTGCAGATCCCTGCACTTGAAAACGAAACCCTCCACAATTCTGCATCCCCTATATTTCAGCCAAGCTCACTTAGTAGCTCATCGCAGACTGCATCATCAGAGAACTTGGCAGAACGAAGCAACTCGAGTGTGACTTCGGACTCCAGTAACGAAATTAACACTTCGGAAACTCCTATCATTCGCAAAGACCTCGCAGCGCTGAAACGGTCTAATACGTCGTCACCAGTTCCGTCTTCAGGCGGTGTTTCTGAACTATCCATCACAGTTCCCGTTACGGGACAACGTCCAAAACCCATTAAGAAGGACCTGTCCATGGACGATGACATTTTGCTGGCAATATTCGTTATACTCTACGAAAAAGATGCACAGCAGAAAGGTGTAACCGTGAAACAGCTCTGCGATTACGTGGCCGAGAAACATCCCGATATGGCGGGCGCTTCCACTAAGCTGTCGAACTTGATATCGGCCAAACTCAATGCCTACGTGAAAAAGGTCGAAAAGGGCGAAAAGACCTTGAAGTATGCTCTTTCGCGTCAGTGGTCTGAGGGTTCACCTCGAAGGATGGTCTACGTTTACCGCGGGGTGTTGGCGTCGGATTATAAGGCGCATACGCAATCCATGATGCTTCAAAGACAAGATTCGAAATCGAAAAGCGGAAAGCCAAGCGGAGTCAGCAAAAAGGGCTCAGGGTCCTCACAGACTAGCAACGATTCTAATGGAGAGGCCACGGGAGCTGAGACCAAGAACGGCAACCAGGGCAGTCGTGCGTTTGCGGTCAACAATACGTTCAGCATAAGCTCATTTGCGAGTGATTTCAACATCCCTTACGCTTCATCTCCTGTGACAATGAGACTTATCCCGCATTCAACCGAAAGCAGTAATAACGAGGTCAGCTCCAGCGATTCTTCCAGGGCGGACGTAAGAGCCAGACCTAGTTTCAGCGAGCCTGTCAATAAAAGACCCAGGATTTCGTCTTCTGCAGAAGCACCTCCGTTTGCTGCTGTCCCGTACGTTACAGCTGCGGCAGCTGCTCCCAGGCTCAGCAAGCTGAGTGTGAAGCGGAATGCTGGACTTTCAGAACCTGCCAATACAACAGGCGCATCGTCCAGTAATAAAAAACTCGCAGTGACGCAAAAATCGGTCGATACCGATCAATTTCTTTCCACCAGCTTCCTGGAACCATTCTCTCCTAGCTTGGCCTGTAGTTCCTGGTTACAAACCATACGGTCAGGATTTCTTCTAGAAGAAATTGACTCACCAGAGGCCATTTCCGTGGAAGAATTCGATGGACTTTTCAATTGAAAGATCTATTCACAAGCTACACACATATCGGGCGGGTTTCCATCCGTCATTCTTTCTTCAGTTCAGTTCAGTGCAAGGCCAGGTTATTAAGGCCACATTAGGGTTTGGTTAACATGTTAAAAAGGGCAAGTTGTAATATTATTTTAATCATTTTTTATTGAACATTAAGCAAGCTCTTGTAAGATCAAGTGCTCAACGTCTCGCGAGATTCTTAACGATTCGAAACTCAACTGTTCTTCCTTCTAAGTATTTTCGAGATGCTGTTAGTTTATGAAATAGTGATACAATTTCAATAATTGAAAAATATTGATGATGAAGTAGCTCATCGCAGAGCAGTTGAACTGAGATCAAGGCCATTTGCTACCTTTCCCAGACGCTAAGTAAGCGTTTGAAAGCTTTGGTATCCAGGGCTTCACATCATCTGCCTGCTCTAAGTTTTTTCATTTTGGAAAATGCTTCCGAGACTCCTGACAAAACAAACCATTAAAGATGTGTCTAAATTCAAAATATGTTCGAGACAACTCGGAACAGCCGGCTTAAGACCCAGCACTAGATGTCTTGCCAGAAGCTACATCGGCTGTAATGAAAGGCCTCTTTTCAGGGTTCAGCCAGTTCGTGAATTTTCAGCATCGCAAGTTGGTCTAAAATCAACTGAAATACCATTTGACAAACTGGACGAAGATCAAAGAGAAGTATTGACCGAAGAACGTGCCATTGACAAAGTTGACGTCTGTATTGTGGGTGGTGGTCCAGCAGGGCTTGCAACAGCGATAAAATTGAAACAACTGGACAGCACTTATGGATCTGGTGAACTTCGAGTCGTTGTGTTGGAGAAATCGCCTGATATGGGCTCACATATGGTTTCTGGTGTCATCATGGAGCCAAGGGCACTAAGAGAGCTATTTCCGGAAAGCGAGTATTACGACGAAAATGGGAAAGGTATTCCTCTGCCACCCGATCTGGTTACACCTGTCACTTCCGGAGAACTGAAGTATCTCATTGGCGACTTCGACGTGCCAGTTCCAGAACCACCGCAAATGTCAAACGAAGGCAACTATATGGGTTCCTTGAGCCAGATAGTAAGACATCTTTCTGAGAAGGCTGAAGAATTAGGAGTTGAAATCTTTCCTGGAATCTCAGTCTCTGAAGTCATTTACGGCGAAGATGGTAATTCTGTCGTTGGTGTAGCTACAAAAGATATGGGTATCACTAAACAAGGAACGCCTAAGTCATCCTTCGAAAGAGGTATGGAATTTCATGCAAGACAAACGGTTTTCGCGGAAGGGTGCCACGGCTCCCTCTCAAAACAGCTCATCAAGAAATTTAACTTGAGGAAAGACAAGTGTGCCCAGACTTACGGATTAGGTGTGAAAGAAGTTTGGGAAGTCAAACCAGAGAACTTCAAGAAGGGGTTCGCTACCCACACCATGGGATACCCACTTTCTAATGATGTTTATGGTGGTGGCTTCATGTATCACTTTGGAGAGGGGCTAGTTGCTGTTGGTTTGGTTGTTGGCCTAGACTATAGAAACCCTTATGTGTCGCCCTACCAGGAATTTCAAAAAATGAAGCATCACCCTTACTACAAAAACGTTCTCTCCGGTGGAAAATGCTTGGAATACGGAGCCCGTGCTTTGAATGAGGGTGGTCTGCAATCTGTTCCCAAATTAAACTTTCCTGGTGGTCTTTTGGTCGGAGCTAGTGCTGGCTTTATGAACGTCCCTAAGATCAAAGGAACCCATACTGCAATGAAGACTGGTATGCTTGCCGCAGAGGCCATGTTCGAAGTCATCTCGAAACTACCGCCAATTGAAAGCTTAGAAGAAGAGGATAGCGAAGCTTTGGTGGCCTCACCTATTAATCTCGAATCCTATGACAAAAACTTCAAAAACTCATGGGTATTTGAAGAGCTTTACGCAGTCCGTAACATCAGGCCTTCGTTCAACCACCCAGTACTCGGCCGCTTGGGAGGTATGGCATACTCTGGGCTAGACTCTATGCTTCTCAACGGACAAGTTGCATGGACTTTCAAGCATCACGAATCGGACGCCGCAGTCACTGATGCCGCTGAAAAATACGAACCCATTGACTATCCAAAACCTGACGGGGAAATCTCTTTTGATATCCTGACTTCTGTTTCCCGTACAGGTACTTACCATGATGAGGATGAGCGCTGTCACTTGAGGGTTCCTGATCAAGACCTTGATGAGCACGCCAATCGCGCTTATCCAAAATGGAAAGGAATTGAAAATCGGTTTTGTCCTGCTGGCGTTTATGAATACATCCCTGACGAAAGTTCCAAATTGGGCGTGAAGTTCCAAATCAACAGCCAAAACTGTATTCATTGTAAAACTTGCGACATCAAGGACCCTACGCAGGATATCAATTGGGAAGTACCAGAGGGTGGGGATGGACCAAAATACACTCTTACATAGAAAGCAGTGCTGTCTTGTAATTATTTATTCAAAAGTTTGACCAACCGCTAGTTGTATTTACCACCACATAGCTACAAACAAAAAATTTGGCTACATTGTAAAAAGCTTTCATCTTTTTCAGAACTTGCAGCCTGCACGTAGTGTACGCTGCACACACCAAATGTCTCTTAATTTAGCCGTTTAAAATAAAGGCAAGCTGGTCTTTGTCTGAGGTTTGAGTTTTGAATTGAAGTCTTGTATGCAACAGGCGCTAGTACAGCTTTGGGTGACCCACGATTGTTTGAGATTGGCCGGAGATTGGGACAAAATATTATGCAAATTCTATCAGAGCCTTCTTATAGCAATGGTGACACATCTTTATAACCATAAAGTACATGGAAGCCATCTATTAACAATTATAGCCTGGTCATACTCGAGGCCGTGAGTTCTAAGCGAATGCCCAAACATTAAGAATGCGCTCACTGCTTTCCCTTAACATATCTCTGACGACGTTCCAATCATCTTCGCTTTCTAGCATAACAAAATCGCCGTCCTCATCTTGGTACTTTATTTTGGAAATGCTGCCTGCATGTGTCAATTTCCTTTTGATGATGTTCAACAGGTTGTCAACGCCTGAATTAATCTCAACCAAAACAGTGTAAAAATCATTCTGAAATGCGATTCTGACCAGTAGCGTTGTCTCGGGTATTGATGACCTATAGCTTTCCGATATGGATCGATATTCGTTTTCGAAAGACTGATGAGTTTGATGTCTCGGCAGTACATCTGAGATTCTTCTATTTTGGTTGCTGGTCAACGAACTCATACTGTTATGCGGATAGTAGGTCGTGGACGAATATGATGAACGATCACTATTGCTACCATTGCTTTTCAAGGACTCGCTTCGTACTTGTCGCAAAAGAGTCTGGAGACAGTTATGCCAGTTATCTCTGGTCTCCTCATTTTTAAACTTTAGGATAAAATTCCCATGCTCTTTGGGGGATTCCCATATGATATTGAGAGCGCGGGCTTCCATTGGATTCACTTTGTTTAAGTTCACAATCATGATGCGACCTCTAAGGTCTAGTTTCGAGTCGTTTGGTCCTCCAGGAGAATTGGCATTACTACTGCCACTAGTTGAAAGATGTAGTGTAGATGACGAGGTGGTGCTGGATTTCTTCTTGAGCGATATGCTGTTGACCTTTTTTTGAACCATCTCGCTGAATAAAATGATAATCTTCTCGAAAAGATAGATTTCAAAGTCGTGTTCAGATTCGTTTGTATTTCCAGTCGAAATGGAGACTTTATCAAAATATAACAGCTCGCCAAATTTGGCAATGCGGTATCCTTTCCAGTTTACAACTCGATCATACAATTTTTTGACAACTTCGTGATTTTCGGTCCTCCTTTGATTTTCATTGATGCTACGTGCAATGCTCTTTGAAATATCCCAGGCTAACTCTAGTTCTTTAGAGTTGGCGCTCGACGTAGACTGATGTAGAAGCTCTCTGAGCAACAAAGGGTACTTGCAGAGTCTTTGCACTGGCTTCAGGAGAAAGGACTGAAGTTCTAGCTTATTGGCAATAACGAAATCCGACCCTTGCATTTTGTCGAAGCTCGAAGAAATAAAGTCTATGGCAGCATTTTGTCCAATAGACCACGGTTCATAAAGCTTGAAAAAGTGCTTCGAGTGCATAAACAAGGCTCCAATTCGTTGCTTGTTTGCTTCGACCTGTCCGTTTATTTCGAGAGATATGAGGAACCTTCTTTGGAAGTCTATAATATCTTTGATGTTTGGGAAGAGCATTTTCAGTTCTTCAGAGCTGATGATGCCTCTATGCAAAAGTTGATTTCGATATTGGTTTAAAATTTCCATATCGAAGACATATTTTCGCTCGGTCTCGACAAACTCGCGAACTATCTTTCCTTGATCTGTATTGGACCATCGTAGCTCCTCAAAAGGCACATGAGGAAATACCTGAGGAGCTGAGTTTATCAATGTCTCCACCACGTCTAGGACCTTGATAAAGTGATCTGTAGTATTAGAAAATACGTCGGAAATGGTGAATAGCTCTTCATCACTGAATGTGAAGTACTTCTTGCAAGCCAAAATGAAATCGTAAATCGATTTTTTGCAAATCTTCTGATCGTCCGATGACACCACGGGGAGTTTGAATTGTGGTTTGACTGCATTGAATATTATGCACAATGGTGAGCCTTGCTGGAAAAGATGTGCCAGCTGGGTCACTGGATCGCAGTCCATCGTTATAGGCAAAATACCCATACTAAACGTTACGACCGTTTCTTCAATAGTCAAATTCGACATATCCAAGTCATCAGAGTAGCTTCCATTGGAAATCGCACTGATACGTCTATCGCCCAGAGGTTTTGTGCCGTTGGAACTTGAAAGATTTCCCACACCGGATCCAGCGTTGGAATGCCTTTGATTGCTCAATTGTTGCTGCTGAGACAGCAGAAGTGCTTGTTTCTCGCTCAGTAGTTCACTGCTAGCATGTGCAAGATTCAAATACGGTTTTATCTGCGGAAGCTGCTCGAGCCGTTTCTTTACTGTTAGACATATATGGTAAAGAGAGTCCTCATTCGTGACCCGCCGGTTCAGCAGGCTTTGCGTCGATTGCGTGACCAGTGTCGGTAGTGACACTGTCGATTGCGATTGAATAGCCATGCGTGAAGTTTGGCGACACACGTTCGACCTAGTCAAAGGTTTTGTAGCTCCGAAGATCCTCGAGTCTTTCCTCTACCGGTGGAAGTGTATACCATTTTATAGAGAAGAGTTCGAGAATTTAACGACTGGGGAATAATATCATTGCGGACGAGCATCACCAAGAAGACGGGTCGACAACGTCCCGGCGTCAGTGTCTCGACCAGGGGCTTTGAAGCTGAATCAATTGGAGGATGACTTATATTGTAGAAAGAATTCAATGGTTCAAAGCTGAACTTTTTTCGGAGCTTCTTTTCATCAAATTTTCATGTCATTTGGCTTACTTCTCGAGCGTTCATTTTATCAATTTCTTATAATTACAGGTCAACGGATATCTGAATATCACAGCGAATGGGTTGTGCGTGCGTGCATGAGTCTCAGTCCTTCTCATCTTTTAGTTTTTTCTGAACTCTTAGGTACTTTTTTTGTTCCATAGCGACCTTTGAGCTTTATAGGTCACTTTGTCGACCACGGTACCAACGGCAAGAATACCACCAATACTAGTTATGCAGTTTAGTATGAAACCAGACCATGTTTGTGCGTGCTGCTCTTTGTTGATGACTTTGAGCGGGGACATCTCGAAATGCACGTAGAGGCTGGGGAATCCACCGCGACCGTGAAGCGTGTTAGGGTGATCCTCGTCCGCTCCGCCGTGAATAGGACGGGAATGGTACGTGGCACTAAACTGGGTAGTCTCTAGCTTGGACCCATCGAGATGCTCGAACCGTGTGGGCACAATTTTCAGAAAATAAGAAAACTGGTGTAAATGGGTGTCTATGTCGGGAGTCACGACCTTTCCATCCAATGGCGCGGTGGAGGCACTCGCTGAAGCACCTTCATCGAGCTCTTGGCCGAAACTAAAGTGGTTGACGATGTGGTTAAAGTTCAAGTTGAGGTTTTTTTGGTAGAGCGACATGTCATGAAAATGACCGCGTGTATCACGGTAACCTTTGCCTGGAGCAAAATGCAAGCTTCCTTCAATTCTGTTGAGCTTGGCTTTGCCCTTGATTCTACAACCTTCATTGATGTGTTTGTTGACTTTTTCGACGTAACCTTCACGTTCGCATTGTTCAATATTTTTGCCATCAAAAAAGGCCCATTGTGCATTCGCATACGCATCACGTACGTCCTCACACGTTTGACAGCAAATCCGCTCTTCCTTGGGCTTTCCCTCATTCTGAGATTGGTCTTTAGCACCGTAGCAAGGCCCACAGTAGTTTTCGTCGTTTGGTTGAACATCATCCTGCTCTCCAACCGTGAATTTTTCTGTACCCAAACTTTGCCCCGATGAATCTAGTTTTGTTTTGCTCCACCCACTATCCAAGAGGTCCAATTGAAGCTCGCCAGAGCTGTCCATGACGTCTAAGTTTAGCAAATAACAGGGCATGTTTGGGAACGTCACATCCATGTTTAGATCCAGTTTCAAATGACGGTCTCGATCCACAACCAGATCTGGACGTGTGACCACTTTGTGAAGTTGTCTCCACTCACTGAACAGCAGCATAAACGTTACCAAAACGCATGAAAGCGTGATAATGCCGCCTGTTCTAGTTCGGATTCTTACATCCTCCTCAGTCTTTGCAAAAGCGTCTACAGATAGCAAAGTAGACTTCTTCATCCCGATCTTATCAGCGACCTATTTGACCGTTTGAATCGGATCTCTGAAGTGCTTGAACGATTCAATGTTGAATAGTTGTTCATCGCTGCATACCATTCATTATTCATTTCTTATATGCAGTATTACTGACGATGTATGTATCGTGATACGAAAACTCAGCTGTTCAGTGAAGACGTCAATTCAAAGGATCGAATGACCAAGGAGTGTGGGCGACTGTCTATTAAAATTGCGTAGCTGCAGTGAGTTTTCTAAAATTTTCTGTCCTTTCTTTCAATGTCTCTTTACCCCACTGTGTGAAGGCCCAAATGTCGCGGAATCTGATATATCGATTTGACCAGAATACTTCAACAAAACTCGAAATTTAGAGCCTTTTGAGAGCCAAAAAACCATGGGTGGAGCGATCTAAATGGCTTGAATTCAAATTCTCAAGGAACCATCGATTGTAGTAGATGCTGTGACACATTAGTACAAAATGATCTGTCATTCCGACATTTAGGTTCAACAAGCTGCGCGGAATGAAGGAGTTTGCTCGACTTGACTGAGCAACCATGGGAATCGATTTTTAAGCATTTTTGTGGAATTTATTCTTTGTGATTCAAAGAATGCAAAAGACGGAAGCTCCTGCGAAGGTGGGTTCATTTCAACGGGCACAAATGGGATATTATATTAGACGAGACAACTTAGCAGAGGTAAAGCTCGCTTGGTCGTCATTTCAAGTTCCATAATCCGGTTTGACTCTATAGCCTGATACCTGCTCGCTGAAATCAAAAGATGTGTCTTGGCGACATGAATAGATCCGCGAAAATTGGAAAAAGGTGGAGGCTTGTCGAGCGGTAGAAGCAGATGTGTGTCACTTTATTCAAGGCCGCTAAAACTGAATCTACTTTCCATTTTGGGCTTTTGCATGTTATGTCTATCTCCAACAAGGCTCTGTAAAGAAAAACCAGGTATTTTTTGCGTCGAGCCTCCTTTTGGACATTTGATTCTTGGCTTTCAAAGTACAATCAATCAAATTTCATAGAATCAACGGCTTTTGGCAGCAGTTCCCAAAGATCAAAATTGTGTCTGTCGTCTTTCGTTAAACCAGGCTGTCATCGAGACTGTTTAGCGGCACGAAACGTCCATAGTTAGTTTCACGGCGCAATTTTGACTTGATCCGCCACTCATGTTTTCGCAGAGTTCAATTCACATTTGAATTGGTCTCGATGTTTTTGAGGGCTCCAATTGAGCTGGCAATTGGCGGCCTAATATTGCGCGGGAAGGTGTGTGTCTATGTATGTGAAGCGCATGTTTAATAGTTCCTAAACCTGAATCCATCGCACGATCGCAGTACTGCTCTAACCCGTAAATTTCCGATTTTCAATAAATCTTACAAGCACTTTGGATCCAGTTTGCAGTAGCGGGTGGTCTGCCACCGCATTCATCCACTTATTCAGATCCTTTTTGCGCTCCTCCACAACCTCGTCACTAAAACGGTTGCCCAAAATAATCTTGCCCGGTAAGTTTGGAACAACCACTTTAGGGTGGCTTGACAACGAAAGCTCCTTTAGTAGACATTTGCGGAAAAGCTCGAATTCAGAGTATCGTCTGCGAACGCTGCTCAAGCGTTGCGAAAAAGAGGGCAGATTGGTCCGACAGATAATTTCATAGTCTATATACATTCCGCGCTGATCGTTATGTGGTAAATGGGTTTTTGGATTGGCAACTTCAATTTCCAAAAAGTTTTCCGGTTCCGCATAAAGATCGACCGAATTGGCCGGTTTTTGAGGCTGTAGTGAGCTAGATTCAACGCTGCTACTGAAGGATTGAAATTTGCGCATTGTTGATGCGATATGGCTTGGTTTTAACTTGTTGTTCTCTTCTATGATATCTCCTTTAAATAAGTTGAGTTTATCAACATGATTAATCAACTTAAAGATATATAAATATAGTTGCACAGCTCATCGCTTGAATAGAAAACGACGATTGTTCAGTGTAATCCCACTCTATCAGCTTCAAAATGGACTCTCAACCTGATGAAGAGGAAGTTGACGTTTTTCGCAATGTCGCACAAGGCTTGGTTGGTAGTTACCTTGAGATTACTATACAATATTGGCAAGAGTTGATCAACGAAATAGAAATGACAAATGAGCCAGGCAGCGAATTCCAGGATGATTTCAAGTCACACTCGCTACCTCTGGCCCGAATAAAGAAGGTGATGAAAACAGACGAGGACGTTCGAATGATAAGTGCAGAAGCACCGATCCTCTTTGCCAAAGCGTGTGAGATTTTTATCACAGAGCTGACGTTGAGAGCGTGGTGCATTGCGGAGGAACACAAACGGAGAACGCTTCAGAAGAGCGATATAGCACAGGCGTTGTTGAAAAGTGACATGTTCGATTTTTTGATCGATGTCGTCCCCAGAAGCACCGAGTGATGCGTAGTTACGCATAACAGGCCTCTGTAGGGCGGTCGAAAAGGCTTGAAAAGGCTTGACAGGGCTTGATCTACAAAAATAGCTTAGGCTTCACGCAATACTGCAAGAAACAATTTGAAGCCCTTTCTTTTGGTTGCTTTTCAAAGGACTAGGAGCCAATGGTCTCAAATCCAATTCGAACGTGAGGAATTAGAGGCTTTTTCAGCATTGACTCTTGTACTCAATGGAAAAACGGTTGCGGATCCAATCCTTTGGTCACTTCTTCAGGTTTTGGCGCTGTAATGAGCAGAAATTTTGGAGTGATTGCCCAAACAAAGATAATATTTAAAACAGATTTAACCAGGTGCGGGGACTAAATGCGTGCGATTCCATTCACAGCGCAGAACTTATCGTTGAAAAGATCATGATGAGCAACACTTCATCAATTGTTATCGGGATTGAGTTGTGGTCGTCCGATCTACTCACATCTGATATGCAGCTGACGCTTATGCCACCCTAGGTCTCCATTTGATACGTCCCACATTGATTCACCCACTAACAACAACAGGCTTTCAAGCAATGGAAATTACTGACATCAGATTCGTTGACCGCTGGAGCCATGAGGTTTTTCCGACGGGCAACGTGCCAAAATAAAATAAAAGGAAAGGAAAAATAAAAGCCGCTCAGAGCGCTCAACAAGTCTAGCTTCGATTAGCCATCGACTCTAAACTACGACTCCTCGACGACGATACTAGTCCCATCTTTTGCCCCACTGTCACAGCCGTATAAAGGTATCATAAAATCTTTACCCATTTTTGATCCAAAAACATAACTTTAAGCTTCCACCAAAAGATTCTGCTTTTATCGTCTTTTTGAATTTGACTAAATCTGGTTTCTTCCATCAATTCTTGACTTTTAAAGCCTGGGATTCGGTTCCTCTGTTGATTCTCGTGTTCATTTTACCCTATCTTCACACGTTATGGACAATATATATAAATCATATCAAAATGAAAAGTTACTGTTTTGACGATGAGCTTCAAACAAACCTAATCCAATTCGAAGATATAGGATTGTTGCAAGCCATGTCGAATGAAGTAGCTCAATTGGCTCAGGCCACAGGGCTGGCCATGCAAAATAAGCCCGGGACAATGCTTCCGAAGGTTTTAGAGACCGCCATGTCAGTGTATCGATCAGCTGCAAATCCGTCAACTGAGTTGGGCAGAATATGTTCCAAATTGTTCATTGATGTACTCAATCATGATGAAGTGGTAACGAGCGAAAAACCATTTATATCGTCTCAGCATTTGGCCATATTGTCGCAAATGTGCCGAACTACAAAGGATCATGTCATAGTTCAAAATGCCATATTGGGATTCAGTCGATGCTACGGATGGCTTTTCGATCTGGTAGCCAAGACTTCCAATAAAGAGCTTTGGGATACTATGGAGCAGCTCAAGGGATTCATTTTATCGAAATGGAAAACGCCTTATCCGCTGTCAGCCAGCGAAGATATTCTAAATGACCACGCCCGATCCCTCGGAGTAAAATTGGCTGTTGTCAAATTTATCTCTACATTGGTTATTGTGCACACACAGGGGCCTCCGGGCTCTGGAGTAGCTGCGCTCCCCGATTCCCACCCTATAATCCCATCCAAGGCCCAACTTGGGTCAGGAGCTAAAAAATTGCTAGACTACCTGCTGAGCTATCTCTCTGAAGAACCTATGATGGTCTCAAGCTTGTTTATGGGCGTACTGAACTGTCTAGCCTTCATTATGAAGCAACGTTCGCAAGCCACAAGTCGTATCCTCAATGGTATTTTGAGATTTAACGTGGACAACAAATATCAGCAGGACGCCGAGAAAGTTTTGCAATATCGATTGGCCAAAAGGTTCGTGGAACGATGCTATAAAGTATTTGTTCAATTCGGTTTGAAATCACAGTTAATCAAAAACTCTGGCAGCTCCTCCCAATATCATGCTAAGTTGTCCAAAATTTCTCAGACTTTACACGTTATTGGCGAAGAGACTAAATCCAAGGGCATTATGAACTTCGAACCCAAGCAAGTGGAACGAAAAATGCCAGCACGCGAAAGAGCAAAATACATCGCTTACGTTAAATCCTCGAGTCAAGCGGCTGCTGCAAAAGCTGAAACTGTTCAAACTACATGGCTGTCCCCAGAGATGCAATTATTGAATAATTTACAGGAATACACCATGACAAAAAACTCGACCACCGGGTTTTTCAATACATCCCCAGTCGCTATCGATAACACCTATGCATCAGCGTTTTCTCTAATGAACAGTAAGCACTCGGAGATAGATATTTCCAAACTACCACCAAATGTAATCGCAAAATTATGCACAGAATCACTCTATCAAAGTGACATCAACAAGATCATAGCAGGATTGTCCATAGTAGCAGCTCGCTATACCGATCTCATGAACAAGGCGCCACGTCCTGATGTTTCAGTGAAACGTCCTCTTGAGGATGGCAACGATTTTACACAGCCGGCTAAAAGACAGGAAACATCGAAAGCTTTGGAAGATGAAGATATATCTGAAGATGAAGACAAGCAAGACTTTATTTTGGCCCCACCTGCCCCGATGTCTGAAGAAGAGAAAAAAGAACATTTTGCGAGAATCTTAACACATATACTTGATGTGAGAAAAGCAGACGAGGAGGAAGACGCTTATGACGAAGCGCCCGACAATCTACTGCACAAAGTAAGACTAATGAAGTGGAACAGCAAAACGTCTTGGTTGACACTGCTGACCAGATTGGCAACTCGAGGGCTAGTTCATAATAGTGAAATGAGTAATACTGCAAGACTTGCTATTTATGAATACTTTCTAGACGATTTTGGCAATCGTGTTGATGTTGTAATTGAATGGCTAAGCGAGGAATGGTACTTTGAGTCTTTGCAGAATGGCAGCAGTTCTAAAGAAACGCCAATTTACGACGAATGGTCTTTGAAAGTCTTGGACGCTTTGGTACCGGTCTTGGAACCCTCACATAGGCGTCTGTTTATTAGATTAGTGAGTGAGTTACCTCGGTTAACTCAGTCGCACATCGAAAGAATCAAATCCATATGCCTAGACCCGCTTCGAGGCTCTCTGGGATTTCAATCGCTCAAATTCATGCTAATGTTCAGACCTCCGGTAAAGCCATTTATTCAAAAATTGTTGGTTGCCATGCGGGACGAGGACGAATCGGTAAAAGAAAATTGCGACGCCATACTGAATAAATTCTTTTAAGAAGAGCATAGGGAAACACGAATCTTATAAGTATGCACAACAACGCATTTCGAATCCAATCTCGCAATATTCTAAAAAGAGCTGCAGCATTTCATCTCTCGATGGTTTAGAGAAATAATCAATGTGTTTCAAAGACTTGCTTGATGAGCCTTCCCCTCTGAGCGGCACGACAGTGATTGGCAGACTGAAGGATGTAGCCTACAAAACTCTGAACCTGGCATCTCAATGAGAAATCTGCCAATTTATTATACAATTCACGTAAATTTTACATAACAAACGTTAACTAGGGCAATTGATCGATCAAATCGATCAAGCAGGGTCATCCAAAACTAAAAGCTCGTTGTGACAGTCGTCCAGCCAGTAAATCTTCTTCTTTCTCTATACAGTCGTTGATGTACTCGAGTAGTTCACGTGAGTCCAGGGACTCATCCTTGTACTCGTATGCGTACTCGTCTGCGTACTCGTCTGCGTACTCGCGGTTTTGGATACTTTTTGTTTTCTTTTTTTCCACTTTTCTCATTTTCGATTTTTTCTTCAATCGCTCTTCACGAAACGCTTTCCAGAAGAAAGTGAAAAATTATTCAAATGCTCATCTCGTCGATTGTAAAGTTAACGTCTTTACCAAATCTAAAGAAATACAGCAAGATCCACAACAATCAGCCTGCGTGATAGATTTCCAGAAGAAACGCTTTCTCCACCGTTGAATAGTACGCTGAAAAATAGCCAGGAAACTAGGACGAAAAGGACGGAGTCGCGCGCGAAGTGGTGACGAAAAACTGAGAAACAAAAAGTTGACCAAGACTGCCGACTTTTTATACCTAGTTCTCTCAAATCTGGGAGGGTAAAGAAGATCAAAAGAGACCAATCTAGAGTTGTGGAAACAGTCTTATTGACAGCGTGATTTTTTCCACCTAAAAAAATTCTTAGACTTCACTTCTACAGGTAGAAGCGAAGAACAAAAGAGAGCAGGTCTTTTTTATCTGTATTTTGGTTTTTCATCTGCCAAGACCAGCGTACTTGTTGGAGAATTGCCCACTTGTACAAACAATTGTGTTTGTGTACTCTTCTGACTTCCAGCATAACGGCTTAAAAAAAGCTAGCAATTGTTGTAAACTGACTAACCCGGTGTGTTTCTAGGAAGCTTTTTCGGATCTGATCGTACTACAATTGAAATATGTTCCAGCAACAAGAAAATCTGGGTCTTCCCACACGGGTCCACTCTCCGGTCAGTGGAATGCCGCGAAGAGTTCATCCTGGAGCTGTGCTTCTCTCTCCACAGTCCACAGCCATGAACAATATTCATAGCACTGGAGCGTCTGGTGAAAAAGGCAATGGCTCGCATATGCCTCTCAGCCCTCAACTTTCGTCTCAGCATCTTTCCCTCAACGACCTGTTGGATCAGCAACAAAATATGCTAATGGATCACACACAACGCTCAGCAGCCGGACCTGCTGTCGTATCTCCATTATTGCAGCCTAATACTTCCATGTTTTTGGACTCGTTCACAAGGCCTACAAGCAGCATGGGTGCATTGCCCGCTCCTGCTCCTACCAACATGGTCAATTTCACTCACGACGTGAACCAGCTTTGCTCGTGGATGCTGATGCTGTCGTCAGCACAACAAAACTCAGTTATGGATAATCTTTTGTCTTCGTTGAACGAGGAAGTTTTGCAACACACCAAACTGAAATTAGACAGTCTGATCAGCTCGGGATATATCTCTCCCAGTGTGAGATCGCCGCAAGTCATAGCGCCCATGCCAGATAGAGGTCTCACACCACAACCTTTAACGCTGGACTCTCTTTTGAACAATAACCTCGACCACAGCATGAATCGACAATGGTCTCCTATACCTCAGACTAACACAAACGGGCAGCCAATCTACGACTACATAAACGACCTTACCCACAGGCCACGTTCCGCTGACCCACAGCTGAGGAAAAAATTTGGTACTCCTGGAAAACAGATACCAAAAAAATCGTCCTCACAACCGAAAACAGCTCCTCACAATGGTATGAGTTCTCCCACTGGATCTACAGGATCTTCGTCCTCATCGTCGATGAATCCCAAGACCTTGACAGATCCTAAACTTTTGAACAACATCCCTGCATGGTTGAAATCTTTGAGACTTCACAAGTACTCAGACGCTTTGAATGGGAAGTCTTGGGTTGATTTGATTTACTTAAATGACGATTCGTTGGCCGCTTTGGGTGTCTCTGCTTTGGGAGCCAGAAGAAAGCTTTTGAAGGCTTTTTCTGTAGTGAGAGATCATAAAGAGCGTGGTCTTATTGACTCTAATGCATTTTAAAGTTATATATCTAACTCAAATTCGAAAAGACTAGAAGTTCCTTTCGCCAAAATATCTATCAACTTTCTTCTTACTACATACAATCCGCGGCTTCAAACCCACCATTTTAAAATAGTTGGGACTAATCGCCGAAGGTCGACAACGTGAATTATATCTAGTTGTTGTGACCGTTTATATGATATGAACAAATAACACCTTATGTACATTTCCCTTCCCAAAATTTCTTGTTTGCCTTCACATTATTGTGCAAGAATCTCAACTCTTGAAAACATTCTGCTAAACCGGCAAATAAGCCTTCCGCAAATGCATTTATGAACAGAAGCTGACCCTTGGGTATAGACGGATATTTGATCAAAATGCTTTCTATGCAATCCGGAATAGGGTCGTCGCAATCTGGCATATAATGCCCGTAAGTGTCGCCTTCCTGTATTCTCTTCAGCAGAGAAGCACATTCGTTAAACTCGCAAGTGATCAAGACTGCCCAGTTTGTAGAGATGTGAAGGGGACGAGTAACGTTAGATATATCTGCGGCCTTTATCACTAATGACAGTAGACTTGGTGGCTCTGAAGACCCGGCGTCCATTCGCTGCACGTATTGCGAATGTAGAGCCATGTCGGTGGCCAATATAGTGTCCGATAATATCGCTTTTTGTTCCAGAATCTGAGGCCAATGCTCTTCGAGGAGGTCCGAAAAAACTTCGGCATGGAAGTTTTCTAAGACGGATTTCCTATCGTATAACTCTGCAATCGGTGATATTGGGTCGCACATTAGCGCATTGTTCGTGCCTGGATGACCAACGTCGTGGCCGATGGCTGCGACACAGACGAGAAGTATTGACGAGTCCTTTTGAAAATGGGTCTTCAAACGGCAACATAGCTGCCAAGTGGCTTGCATAACGTCGACCGCATGTCTGAAACTGTGAAACTTGTTGCCCTGATGATACGAAGCTTCCAACGTCAACAGAAAAAGGAATAGGTCGTTGTCAGAAATTAGGAAATTCGCATCACGAGCAACTTTTTGCAAGATCAGATAGCTACACCATATGAGTTCTGAGGTTGAAAGACTCATGGCACAGAAATCCCAAGTTGAAATGAGATCCCAGTAATGATCGCTCGAAGCTTTACCCTTCGGTAGTTTTATGAGGTCTCGAAGATTGAGGGCTGAAGATATCAGTTTTGAGCATGACAGGCCTGTATGTTCATTTTTAGGTTTGCGCACGCGTGTGAGGTGGGATAGCATTGTATACACGTTTGCTGAACAAGTAGAAGGCTTTGAAGTTTTTTCATCCAGTTTGCAGGTAGAGGTGGTCTCCGGGCGCGTGCAGAGCTCGTTGGAGCCAACATAATCGTTGTACATCCAAGTGGCAACTCTTGCCAAACGACTGGAGTATAAATCAGTACACTCACGTAGATGTTCAAGGGCCTTGGGCACTTCTGCTGGGGTTGTAACGCTAAGACTGAAACAAGGGAATTGTTTTTGAATCAAGTGCGCTAACTCTGCAGTGGTGATGAAATCCAATGCAACGTCCGAACCGGCGTTTTGGGATGCACTCCGCGGTTGCTGGTGGACTACCAACGACAACGTGCGCTCGTAAGTGTCTTCGCCTGAGAGTCTATGAGCATACAAATACACCAGTAGCTCGCTCACGGATGAAAGATGTACCACGTTGCACCCTGAGAAATGCTCAAACACTTCAGAGCACAACTCGGGCCCGTTGACAGCGAAAACCGTTTTCATGATTCAAATTTGTCGTAAGATTTGTCCTGGCGAAGTCCCAGAGCGGGGCGTGGGGGGGGGGGGGGGGGGAAGGGGAGTAGGAGGTAGCGGTGGGTCGGCTGCGAAGTCGCCGTCCGAAATCTTTAAGCGTTTCCCTTAGTTTGGGCTTCTCAAGAATAGATGGAGTCTAGTGTATCTCAAACGTGGGGCTTTGGGGCTTTGCAAGATGCAAATAGAGATATAGTTAGACCACCGGTTTGTCTTAAGTCTGCCAAGTATATGTGAACTTGTCTTTCTCTCAAAATTGAATATCAAAATTCAAAATTCAAAATTCCAGACATACACACACACACACACACACACACAATTAATCCCATGCAATACACACTTTCTTTCGAATTGTGTGTGCAACTTGTAGGTGAAGCCCTAAAAAATCCCGGCTTCTTCTTCGGCAAGCTTTTCTCCCCCGAGTGCGTAGAGCAGAAACGAGCCGGGCCCAAAAACCCAGGGGGAATAAGTTAAGAAAAAAGAAAAAAACGAAAAAAAGAAATGGAACGTAAAAGCAATTCTTGAAAACAATGAATGCTTCTATCCGTCCCCCCTCTGGAGTTTTCCTCCCGTCGTTTCTTTTTTTAAAGGTAGCTGAGCAAGATAGCGCCGTGCGGAAATTCCCGCTTAAGTCCGAGTGTGTGGTTGCTGTTCATCTGTCACGTGAAGAGCTGGACGGAAGGGAAAAGGTACATAACGGGTAATTAGCCGAGCACGGAAGAAAGGCCGACTATTGAAAACACCTGGGCGGCTGGAAGGAGTTTTAGCCGGAAAATAAAAAATAAAAGAAAAGAAAAGAAAAGAAAAGCAAAGAGCGATGGGCGGTGCAGCGGCCAATGAAAGGGAAAGCCAGGGGGGGGGAGGTCATCGAGACTAGACGAAAAACGTAAAAATCGTGAACCCTGAGCGCACCACGTGGCAGGCCATAACTCCGGAGGATTGACAGAGACAGGGGAGACAAAAGATCAAAATGTAAAGGAAATATGAGGAATTGAAAAATTTGAGTGTTTACGTTTGGAAATAGTTTCTCGGCGATCTCAAGTAAAGCCAAGTAACGTCCAAAATTGCTTGTTTTTTCTTCTTCTTTCACCTTCAATCTTCCTTTTCTTCTTTGAGTCCCTGCATATGCGCGAATGTGCAGCTGCCACGTGCTTTGTTTTAACTCGTCCAATGTGATTATTGTTCGTGTAAAATGATCTGTCCTTTTTTTTGTTTTTGTGGTTGAAAAACCAAAAATAAAGGGTGTTGTTTGACTAGAGTTTTTGTTTTTTTTTAAGCGCCCGGGGCAAAACGCAAGGGCACTTGAGAAGTGGGTATTCCAGACCTGATTAGCCATAAAAATCGATTCTCATTGGAGCTCCAACATTGTTCCCATACTACTCGTATGCCACTGGGCTCCTAAAAAACTAGCGCTAATCCCACCCACCCAAAAAAAAAAGAATAACCAATTGCGTACTAATTAGGCACACAAGACACAAACCTCGCCTAAACAAGATCAGGCTCCTTGTCTGACGGCGGGCGGCAATTCATGCCGCCCAGCAATTGCAACTCCAACCGTCATCTTTTAGTTTTTGCGCGCTTCAATTGCACTTTTACACACATTATGCATACTCTTGAGAGCCTTTTTTCATCTGATGTTCATGAATGTAGTCTCTTGATTTTAGTAAATGGTATCTATAGGATTCCATCTTTGCCAGCTCGAGTCTTGGCTCCTTTTATAGTCCGATTTTGTGTTTTTCCAGAGGCTCCCCTAATTTTCTGTGGGATAGTTTTTTTTTTTTTCTTAGGAACACACCCAAAAAAAGCCGCGCTTGGTGAAAAGAAACCTTATGGAATATTATAGGGGTAAAGAAAAACAATTAAATTATCTTGGCTAACGCGTGTGTATGTATAGCTATACGAAACGATGGCGATGGCCAGTATTAGAAAAGAAGTGACGTAACTTTGAGAAAAACGAGTAGAATGTGTGCGTATGTATGTTGAATATGTTGTGTTGCTCGTTAATAGCACACACGCCCATGTGATCGTTGTTTTCCTTTTATTCGTAAGTTCGGAATGGGTCGTTTTCCGCTCGAATCTTCTCTATAGAATCGGTTTTAGAGCCGGAGAAGGGGCCAATTGATGGCTAAAAGTGTAGAATGTTTGGGTCTTAATGGGTGTGGAGGTAAATAAAAAAAAGGGCGGCCCCTTTTATGTATAACTAGATAAACTCGCGGTTCTTAGAGGTGTCGATTCAAGCTTTGTTGTCGTGAAATTCTATGACTAGGACTGTCAAGTGCATCAGTCTTTCCGTATTAATTGAGATTTGTTCTCAGATCCGTTTGAACGGCGAGACCCTGGTCGAATAGACGACAGTTGTTCGTGTATGGTGACTGAAGGGGTTCCTTAAGGGTCTGTAAGGGTCTGTATGGGAAGATGGCAATAATGAGCGGGAATTGGCCAAATTGTAAATCCAGTTGCGGATGATGGTGGAAAGAGAGAAGCGCAATTAGACTGGTAAAAACGTGTGGTGTGAACAGGTTTCAACGTACACGTAGAAGTGAGTATAAGAAAAAAGAAAAAAAGGGAAAAAAGAGCTTACTGGTCACATGACAGAGCCGTATGAACGTACATCCTTTTAAACGTACGTCTCACAGATACACAGTGATAAGCGTTCTTCTTACTCAGAGGAGCCTGAGTTTCTGTTTCCTTCCACTTGGTACGTTTTACGGGGGACCTCGGCAAAATGCAAACGCCATGGTTTTTTATCGTGATGGCCATCTTCCACCATTTCCTCAGCGCGCGAATCACACGACAAAGCGCCAAATCGAAGTGGGCCAATTCTCGATATTCTGGCCGCCGAACGACAACACCGTGTGGATTCTTTAGATTTACAACATTCGCAATTCAACACCAAACCGCTTGAAATTCCCGAACCCTCATCTCCATCAATTATCCACAGGCCAGGCCATGCGCACCATATGGTGGTGCTCTTGATCATTTATTATTCATACTCGTACAACGTTAAATCAGGGATCCACGTGATCCTTTCTGTACTTGTCGTATTTTCGTTTTTATCCCCCCTCCCCTTATCCATCACGTGACCTTATCGTGCCGGCTCGTTTATAACGTCCTTCTTTTTTTTTTCCAAAAATTTATGTGACTCCGTCCCCCTATCTTCCCCTCCCGGAGTCACATTGTCAAAGAAGTCACATTTGATTCGTGTCACGTGTTTCATCTTTCACACACATCTCAAATTAAGATAAAATCAGCTACAATTCACATAAAACACCAACTCATCTTATCTGATCGCATCGATTTCAACAGGTTGTCCCAGGTAGTTTTTAATTCACCAACCCAGTTTTTTCGACGCCAAACTTCCTTAAAGTTTTCCTTCCTCCATCTCCTCTCACAAATAACAAAATGCTTCGTTCGTGTGCGCAATCAATGGTGAGGCTTTCAGCTGCTCGTTCCACACCTCGTCTTTTCCTAAGAGCTCAATCGACAAACGCTTTGAATAACGCTCAGATTCCTTTCACCTTCTCAAAATCCGGTCCATCAGCCGTCAAATACACCAGTCAGCACGAATGGATCGCTGCTCACCAAGATGGCACCGCTTTTGTCGGTATCACTAAATACGCAGCAGATGCTCTGGGCGATGCCACGTACGTGGAACTACCCGAAATCGATACCGAGCTCGAGGCCGGCGACTCTTTGGGGTCTTTGGAGTCCGTAAAGTCAGCATCGGAAATATACTCGCCAGTGGCTGGTACCGTGATCGAGGTCAACGAGTCGTTGAACGACTCCCCACAGCTCATCAATGAGGACCCAACGGGTGAGGCCTGGATCGCCAAACTCAAGGTCAACAATCTCGAAGATTTGCAAAACGAAGACCTCATGTCGCTAGCACAATACGAGGAGTCTCTCAAGGAAGACCATTAGAAGGTTTTGGCATTTTCGAACTCACTCACACTCGCTTTTTGGGACTGTTAGGCGTAGTTACATAGAAGAGAGAAAAGAATAAATAGCACCCGTATTTTGTATTAACGGAAACATAGCCGAAAGCCTTTTCCAACACACCTTACTGCTTCCTTGCTTGTTCGCTTAGTGTCCTTGTCTGCAATTGGAGTGCGTGAACACCGTTTTGTAGTTCATCTTCTAGTAAGTTGTAGATAAGCCTGTGTCTTTTTGGCAAAGTCAAGCCCTGGAAACCATCGCTTACAATTTCAAGCCTAAAATGCGACTCTATCTTGTTCTCTGCTTCGGCCATGCCGTGATGGCTCGCATGCTTATAAGAATCGTTAAAAATCGTAAAATGCTGTAGATCTGGGAACCTTTCGCGAACTTTTCGGTTGATGCTTTGGGCAATAGGGCCGTCAATGCTTCTATTAGCCGCTGAACTCATCTGGCGAACAACTTGCCTCAGCATCAGCTTCTTTTGGCTTTGATTTGGAACCTTAAAGCACTTCTCATCGAAGAGATGATTATATCACATATTTTATACACATTGAAAATTTCAGTTAGAAGAACTACACTCATCACATCGGTCAACAACATAGTCCATAACTGAAACCCACGGCCAATACGATGTTTACGCTGATAGCCCGTCGATTACTGTCGTCCACTCCTGAAGAGAAACTGATATTTGATAAGCTGTCCAAACAGCTAAGTCCTAAAAACATGCATGTTCAAGATGTCAGCGGTGGTTGTGGATCGATGTTCGCAATCGACATCACTAGCGATAAGTTTAAGGGTCTTACAATGGTCAAACAACACAAGCTCGTCAACAAAATCTTAGAAGACGACATCAAAAGATGGCATGGACTGCAGCTTCGCACTAGAAGCGAGTAAGTCCTTTTATAATAAACAATTAGTATTTATAAGAAATCATGTATAAAGATCTACAAAATAAAGGTTAGCGAAGTTAGCGGTATCCACAGGGGTTTATATGTAAAAATGCTATATCGGTGACGGAATAAGCCTTGCGGTTTTTTTAATTGGCAGTTTCGGCCTCTTCAAAGCTGTCAATTTGCTCCTCCTTCTCTTCAAGAATTTCTTCTTTGATCTCTTCGACAACCTCAAAGTCTTCATCAACAGCAGAGGTCTCGATGTGGTCGTAGACCTCGTAGTTGTATTCTTGTGCCATGCCGTTGGTAATGTCTTCTCTGTAATTGGACCATTCCTCCAATAGGGAACGACGCAGCAAGATTAGCTCTCTCAAGGCACTGTCAGCTTGCATGGCGTCCGACTCGTCGAATTGAGCAGACCATTCTCTCAAGTTCTTTCTCACCTTCTTCTTCTCCGCATTTGTCAGTAGAGAGGCGGGTCTAGGTCTCCAAACAAAATTCTTGAAATTTTCAATGAGCTCTTCTCTCACTACATCACCAGTGGCGTTGAAAACCTTGTAACCATTTTCAAGCTTGTGCTTGACAGCGGAAGACCACACGGCCACGAAACGACCAGATGGATCCCAGCTTACATCTGTAGCGCCATAGAAATCTGGATGGGCAATGGCCTTCACCTTAGCGGTCACGTCATCACAAGAATTGTCATTCTTCTCTCCAGTGTAGTCAAGGTCGTAAAAGTCGAAATCGGCTTTCCGGGTGTCTGGTGTCACTAAGGTGGCAACCATAACGAATCTGCCAGCTGGACACCAAGAAATAGTGTTAGAAAACTTTCCTGTAACAGTGGCACATGCCTTCCATTTTTGGCTGTCGTCCTTGTTGTTCTTGTCCTTCAATTCTGGAGCATAGAAAGTGATGACATTCTTGGGGATAGATGGATTGTCATCTGCGGTTTCGGTATGTGAAATTGTAATGAATCGTTTGCCGGTTGGTTCCCAGGCAAACTTCAATGCTAGATCCTTCATTTCAACCTTCTCAACAGGGACATCTTTCTCGGTAAGTTTGCAAATTTCCAAGTTTGTGAAAAAGGTCTTACCAGATTTGGTGTGACGATCGACCTTAACACATAGGAATTCAGCTTGTTCTTGCCAGATCAAGCTGACATCAGAGACTTGAACGAGATTGACCATTCTGAGCACTCTTCTGGTAGGAATCTCCATTATAGTGGCTTTACAAGACTGATTGTTAGATTCTGGGGTCCAGTACGCCAAAACAGAAGAAAGTTCATTGTTTCTGTTCACGGCCAACTTGACACCGGCGGGTGCAAAAGAAAAGTCCATGATGTTTTCAATCTTGATAATCTTACCACCGAGCAATTCAAAGTTGTTTTCGACATCGTAGACAGCCAAAGCGTTTGGACCCAACCGGGCACAATATTTGTCGTCGAAAGACCATTTGATCATAGGCCAGTGCAATGCTTGAGCTGGAGGCAAGGCAAAAGTCTTGACCGAAACACCTGTAGCAATGTCCCACACGCACAGTTGGTGGCCGTTCGATTCAGGGCCAAATGGAAAGTCTGCTGGTGCGTTCTCTGGAACCGAGATAGGTTCTGGCGACAAGGTGACCAAATACTTTTCGGTAGGGGAGACGTCTAGGGCCTTGGTTTGAGGATGGAAATAACGTCTCAAACGTTCGAATTTCTGACCACCCCACGAAGCAACACCCTGGTCATGGTAGGAGAACAGGTAAGTACCCTTTGGCGAGAACTTAACTGTGGTGTTCGACCAGTTGGATCTTGGCTCGACGGCGTTTTCTGGCTGCTGGGTGTTTCTGTTCCAGAACACGCCGATCACGTCGTTTTTGTGCAAGACAAACTGGTCTCTTCCCTGTTCGTCCTGCAACCACGATTGCAGATAGTCCGTAGGCTGGAATTCTGGCAGTTTTGGTTCTTTGAACTCGCTTTCAAAGGATTCCGAGCCGAACTTGTCCATGTCACTCAGACTGTTGACAAGAAGTCTATGTTTCACATCCAACTTCTTACCATTCAGTAATTTGATGGCCTTTTTGGCAGAGACCGCAGAGTCGAATTCCACGAATAGGTAGCCCTTGGTACACTTTTTGGCATCGTCCAGAGGCAAATTGATGTCCACCACTTTTCCGGCTTGCGAGAAAAGTTTTCCTAGCACTTTGGAAAGTATTGGGACCTTCGATTCTGGCGCAACAGGTGCGCCGTCAACTACAACGAAGTTGTCAAAGTTGACATCGGAATCAACTTGAAATTCCTTTTCCAGGTCAGAAAAATCGATGTCGTCGACGGGAATGTCTTCAATCTTGATATCCTCAACCGATACAGCCGCCATCCTATCTTAAGATATAAACGGGCGAGTGAATCTAGTGGTAGTTCTTGGTTAAAGCTTTCAAACTGTAGTCGAAGTATCGAAAAGTTAGATGCTCTTGTAAAATTTTCCAAGCTAATTGTCAATAACTTTTTTTTCCCGGATATTTCGAGGTATCACGTGACTGATGATGTCGAATTCGAATTGTTTCGATGAGATGACAGCTCTCGAAAATGAAGATCACTGAAATTTCAAAAAGACTGTAAGATTGAGTTGTGTTTAGACAAGTAAATCACCAGATTTGATGCCTTAAGTGCTGCGTCATTAGATTGCGGAGGATAACGTGGGCGTCTGGTAATTTTCAGCTTTTCTTTCCGTTCATTTTGGTTTTATTTGGGCCTTAAACCCATCTTGGAACCAGCTAACAACAGAGTACACTTGAAACGAAGCTCAGGGAGTCAAAATGGATAGCGAAGACAGTGATTTGAGCAATGGGTCGCTTGGGATGCATTTAGGTGCAGAATTCGGTCCGGAAACTACTGAGTTTCTGTCCAAACAACCCTCATCTTACATTGCGAACAGTCCGGGAAAGCCGGAACCAATGCCATTTGGAGGCGACATCCCACGTCTGAGCGTCTCCATGACGCCTTGGCGCATCTCGAAGCCGAAGGAGCGCAGTTTTGATGAGTTGAAACATAGCTACCTCGACTCTCACCGTGGATCAGAACCCCCACAAGCACTGCCCACACTTGAGGCTTCGCCGCTCAATTCAAGGCCCCGCACCCGTAACTCTCTCTTTTCTGAGGACGGTGTGTCCAGCTCTGCTACTGCGGCTGCGTCTGCTTCTTCTTCCACAGAGATCGAGAACTTACAGAGACAATTGACGACATACAAACTTAAATTACGCATACTCACAGAACTACTGCGAGAAATCAACTACACGCGAGACGGCTGCACTGAGAACAGTGGAACTCGAAGCCAGACTTATGCAAAACTCATTGAAAAGCTGCCTGCTCACGACAAGGCTGGTGAGATACCCAAAGAGCTCGAGGAGCTTCGGCAAACGCTAGACGTGAAAAACAAAGAGATTATTGAGCTCAAACAAGAACTAGTGTCGAGCAATGAGGAGTACAAAACGGTTTTAAACGACATTAACTCGTACCTTGAGCATTCTGATGTGATTGCTGGCAACATTGACGAACTCTTGGGCATGTTTTCTGCCAACCTAACACTTTCTGCTGAAGAAGCGGATGCGCTTGAAAAGGCTCGTGGTATATCTAACAACTTCCTAGATGTCAAAATGAATGCGCTGGCCTCAACTATACGAAGGTTTTTGGACATATATTCTACTTCTCAGCACCAGGAAAGCCGAGAATTCACGAATTCAACCGCACTAGAAGACTCACATACTACCTCTCACTTTTTGGACCCCCAGTTGGAGGGCGCAATAGAAACAATGCACGAAGAATACAACGGTTTCCTGAGAGGTTTGCAGGACAAAATGATGCATGGTGCTGAAACAGAGAGAATTCTAGATCAAAAGCTTGAAAAGCAAAGAGACCTTTTAGCTCAATTAGCTTTTTACTTCGAGAATCAGCCGCCGCAAATTTCTGGTAACAAACACTTGCATAAAAATGGTGTCGAAGATCGCCCTACAATCAATGATTTTGAGAACAATTCCCGGACCTCTTTCGATTATGGTGAACGGGACAGTGAAGTGGTACACGACGGGCGAAAAGTTTATGAGGAGAATGAGACTGGCGAGGGGCATTCAAAGCGCGTCAGTCGCAATGAAAGCTCAGCAAATCAAGTGGCACTCGACAGCTGGCTAAACGAAAGGCAAAGTCTCATGGACAAACTTTCTGTTGCTGACGCGGAAGTACAGCAACTCACCACAGAAGTCGAGTTGCTAAGATCAGAAATTTCACTTTCTAAAAGTGAATCGGAAAATGCGATTGCCGACCTTGAGAAAACGCTCAAGCGGGCGGTCAGAAAATCGGGCCTTTATATAAGTGAGAACCGAGACATGCATTCTCACATTATGGCAATGGAGCATGAACTGCAAAACATCACAAATCATAACCAAGAGCTTCAAAAGGGTGCTCTTAACATTAAAAGGGACTATTCACTGCTGGAAAATGAATATCATAAATTTCGAAGCCATTTGTTACTGCATCTCAACAAAGTGTTTGACGTCTTTGAAAAGATTTTACAGACTCATTCAATCAACCAAGCCAAAGGTAAGCTCAAGGCTTTAGAGGATTTTGACATCAAAGATAACCACAGACCCTCACATGCTAAGCTCGAATCATTGTATGTCTTCATCGAAACGGCCATCAATACGGTAGTCGAAGAACACGCAAAGATTTTACTAAAAGAAAAGGAGAAAAGATCATCGCGCTTGTCGTCGCAAGAGGAAAACCCTGATATCAGCTCTAGCCTACGAATTGAGCTTCTGGAGCGCAAATGGGTGGCAGAACGAGAAAGAAGGAAATTGGATGCCGCTGCTGCGGAATACCGGATTTTGCACTTGGAGGATGAAAACAAGCAGTTAAGACAGCGTCTCAGACAAAGCTATAAAGGTGAGAGCTGAACGTACAGTTTGAACGGACGACAGCTTTCTATGCACTCAAAGTTATAGAGATCAGGAATCGGGGTTTTTGATACGTAGCGCATATTTATCTACTCTATTTGTACGTCACCTTCGGCATCTTCCTTTTCGTTCTTGTTTTCGTTGCCGTCGTCATCACTGGAGTCTTCACTGTCGGAGCTGTCGCCATTATCAGCCTTGGCAAAGTTGATCGCTTCTTCCAGTAAATCCTGAGGTACTGGTTTATGAAGACCGTTTGTTTCGGACTCTGAGCACCAACTCACTTCTAGTTCGAAATCCTTTTCCTTATTGTCATCGTGGGCTAGGAAAACAATTCTGGCAGCCTCCTTAACAGCCTCCCTAGCATCGAGGTCGGGTTTTGATACCAAAATTTTTTCCAATTCTGCTTTAGCAGATTGTCTGCCTTTTCCCGTAGCTGCACCCTTGTAACCCCAATAAGTCCCGCTGGGCTCAAGCATATAAAGATGCGCTCCTTTCTCGTCAACACCACCAAATATCGCAGTAATTCCAAATGGCCTTACACTGTTGTAGAGTGTGTGTGCTTGCACGTATTGTCCCAGTCTGTCGGCTAAGGCCGATAGTGGTATAGGGCTGCCATATGTCTTTCTGAAACTCTGTGATTCTTCACGCGCTCTGTCGACCAGATGTCTTCCATCAGGCATCAGCCCGGAATAGGAGCACCCAATGTGGCGGTCTATAGTTTGGATCTTACGGTTTTTGCCGGGAACCAGCAGTTTTGATGTGATCAACTTTTCCACAGCAAATACTACACCGTCTTTGCATTTGATACCGACCGCAGTCGCTCCATTTTCAGCGGCTTTCAACGCATACTCGACTTGGAAGTTTCTTCCATCTGGTGAGAAAACACTGTTGGAAAGATCGTAGCCCGTTCCGATAGAAGTCTTGGGTTAAACCGTGAAAGGCTTGAAGTTAGTAAAAAACGCTATATCGACCATTTCGAAGCGCTAGAAAATGCATGACATAGCGCAATTGAGCTAGACATACCATTCTGTATTCAATATAGATGAAGTGAGTGACTCAACAGGCTTAACTTAAGCTTACTGCTTGAAGTTCGGTGGTCAAAGGTTCGCCACCGTGAAGAGGTTGTTAAGGCTTCATTTCTGAAATTGACAGCCTTTCGTAAGAGATGAGAACAATTAAGAAATTGGTCACATGATATATATATTTGACTTTGAATGAAATATTGCGTAGTAAGACAGGACTTCGAGCTATCGGTGGTATTAGAAGCTTCAGAGGTGAGCCATATTTTGGAGGAGCTCGTCACCAGCAGCTTTCTCTATCTTTTTTGGTTTGTTTGTTGAATTTTCAATTCAAATTTTGGAAGCCGTTTCGATTCTACGGTATGGCAACATATCTCATGGAAGTTCAAAGAAGATTCCGATACATCATTCAGTGCTTAGAACTCAGACTTATTCTATGCTTGAACTAAAACGTTTTTGAAAACCTGTCAGCGATGAGTGTGACCGGTCTTCCACGTGACCTGTGTCTATGGTCAACAGTGTTGTAGTACATTTTTATAAGTCATGATTGAAAGAATGAAGCTGGATCGATTTCTTCAACATTGAACTTTCACAGAGCTTCGTGAACGCTCTAATTCGTACTCAAACAAAGATGTCAGTTTCTTTCCCAGAAGAAATTGAGCCACGTGACCAAAAACCTCTGCGTCAGAGTAAATGTGAGGCTACCACAACCAAACGAAATCTTTTCCGCTCTCAACAATTGAGCTAGTCTCACGAACTTTCAATGCTAATTTTGTTCACGCTTAATGGAATACGAAAATGGGGAATGCTCATATTTTTATAACAAGTAATTTTCGCTTTAATCCAAGGGCAATGATTCACAGGTAATACAGAGAGCTATCCACAACGTTATATTCCGAAGATTCAGCTGAAGACTAACAACGAGTATAAATAAAGACAACGCTGATCTTATTTGAAAGAAGAAATGTGTCAGCAAGCACGACGACTCTGACGTGCTAAGTGATCTTGAAATCATTACAATTGGCTAGCATCTCAGCTAAATCGAGGCCGGACTAAGCTCATCGACAAGCAACGGCGCCGACCAATCTCTTGGGTATACAACTTTGTTCACGTTCGCAACTGTTTTCTGTTCTCAATTGGAGGTCATATCTTTTATCTGTGTGCACTTCCCGCTAACTGAACAACATTGATCGTCTTCTGCGAAGTATATCATCATTCTCGTTAGCCGGGCATTCATCAGAGGGTTCACTTAAGTCAGGCTCTTAAGGCTTTCAATTGCATAGCTCTCTACATTTATGGTAAAAGAGCAAATTAAAGTTGTTGTTTGTGGTGATAATGGGGTGGGTAAAACTAGTCTAATAGCATGTCTGGTGAAAGACCAGTATATTCCAAATCTGCAGGATTGTTTACCAGCAGTCACGGTTCCTCGAGATTTTTCATCCAGTCCGTATTGTCCCAAAACCACTCTTCTGGTAGACACGACTGGCTTTGAGCTGCCGTCTTTACATCGAGAATTGAAAACTGCAGATGTAATATGGCTGGTCTATTCAGACCACGAAAGCTACGACCGCGTTGCACTTTATTGGATGATGATGTTCCGCTCTCTCGGCGTAAATCTGCCCGTTATACTGTGCAGAAACAAGTGTGACAATGTATTGGGAAAAAGCCAGACCGTTAGTGCAAATGAGTTCCGCGCTGAGGACCAGGCTTCGGATAGCACCAGAATCGAAGATGAAGAATTCATACCAATACTAAGAGAGTTCAAGGAAATTGAAACTTGCATCAAGACTAGTGCTAAAGATAAAATTAACATCAACCAAGCATTTTATCTCTGTCAAAGAGCGATAACTCATCCTATAGCACCTCTTTTCGACGCTCGCGTGGGAGAGTTAAAGCCACTCACTGTATTGGCTCTCAAACGCATTTTTTTACTCTCCGACAAAGATCAAGATGGATATCTCAACGATGAAGAAATTTCAGTGTTGCAACGACGCTCTTTTGGCAAAAGCATTGATATACATGAATTGGAATTTATAAAGGAAGCTTTGACCAACCTTTCCACTCCACCTCAAGAGTACGCTAGCTATACACTCTACGTCTCAGGAAAAGGTATGACAAAAGACGGATTTCTTGTTTTGAACAAGCTCTATTCCGAGAAAGGACGACATGAGACAACCTGGGGTATTCTTCGTGCTTTTCATTACACAGATTCGCTTTCCATCAGTGACAAAGTTCTTTATCCCAAAATGGACATTCCTAGCACAGCGAGTGTAGAACTGAGTCCTATGGGTTATCGTTTCCTGGTAGAGCTTTTCTTGACGTACGATAAGGACAACGACGGCGGGTTAAATGACCAGGAACTTGAATTTCTTTTCAAGACAACCCCAGGTCTTCCAACACTTTGGACAGAAACAAACTTTCCCTATTCCACAGTCGTAAACAATCAGGGTTGCGTAACGCTTCAGGGATGGCTTGCTCAATGGACAATGACTACTTTTTTGGACTACAGGACCACTACAGAATACCTAGTATACCTGGGCATTGAAAAGGATGCTCGATTGGCTCTGCAAGTGACTAAATCTAGAAAGAAGCGAAGGCGAAACGGAAGATTTTACAGAGCGCCCGTGACTGATCGCAAAGTGTTCAATGGTTTTGTTATTGGAAAACCACATAGCGGAAAGAGCTCTCTGCTAGAGTCATTTGTCGGAATGTCCTTTTCTGAGCCTTATACTCCTACCATCAGACCCCGAATTGGAGTTAACAGTTTGGAGTTGAAAGGAAGCAAACAGTACTACCTCATTCTGCAAGAGTTCGGAGAGCAAGAACCTGCAATATTGGAGAACGTTGAAAAAACGAAGAAATGTGACGTTTTGTGTCTCACTTACGATTCGAGTGATCCAGAGTCTTTCTCCTACTTATTCGATCTCATCAATGAGCATAAACACCTATTAGAACTTCCGATGGTGTTCGTGGCTCTAAAGGCTGATCTTGATAAACAGCAGCAAAGGTGCTATTTACAACCGGATGACTTTGCCGATCAACTTTTCGTTGATCACCCACTGCATGTATCATCGGCTTGGTCCAGTTCTTTGAATGAGCTATTCATCAAACTTACGGAGGCGGGCCTCGAGCCCGGAAAGAACACCCCAGGGCTGGCCCCAGACGTGCTCAGAGAAGATGTGGATTACTGGAAGTACGCTCTGGTTGCTACTTCTGCTGTTGGTTTTACGTCTCTTTTTACCTTCGCATTCTTCAAATTGATACGAAGTCTACGTAACGAATCTTGATGTAGTCGAAGATGAATTAGAGTGGTCGAGTTATAAAATCAAGTGCAAAAATGTGTTCGAATTAGCAGCTTGACCTTAAACATATGCTAATGCGTAAGTATTATTAGATTACTCTTTGTATCACAAGGGCCTTGGCTCACATACCCCCAAGAAGGAAATCAAAGTCGAAGTCAAACAACTCAATGTGGTTGAAGTCGAGTTCAGAATTGAAAGGTAAAGGCATACAATCACCAGGATCCTGACCATCATTCAATTGCCCTAAAGACGACGATGGGGTCATATTCACAGCGTGAGATCCGTTATTAAAGTGATGTATACCATCATGCATGACGTCCTTTGAATTTGAGCTCGCAGAGTATTTATCGTCAGGACGAAGTTGAAAAGCACCAATACGATCAATGCTATGCTGTATATCCCGTAGAACGTCCGGTTTTAGTCTGGACAACGATACTGTATCCCTCAAATCGTTGAACATTTGACTTGTCTTTTTAACGTCGAACCCAAACCCACAGAAAAGGTTTCTCTTGGTTTTTTCGGTTAGGTCTAATTTTGCTAGTTGACGCATCGTCTTGGTCATCTCTTTCTTCTTGACTAGTTGTAGAATATGATCAAAAAACAGCAACATCTTGAATGCTGAGAAAAATGTCAATCGGAGATGATTAGTTGATAAATGACACAGTCTGTCAAAAATCATCTCAAACCTGTTGTTGATGGCGTTTAGAATTTCCAATTTCTTAGTAAGTTCGTACACTGTTGTTTCCGTGCTCTTATCTTGAAAGTACTTTTCACGAGCAATCCTGTCTTGGATGATTTCAATTGCATGAGTAAGCCTCAACATCATCGCGACAGCCGTGTAAAAAATGGTGCCCATACTCATTTGCATAGCTTTGTCAATTACAAACGAGGCTGATGGGATAAAACTTTCGGCTAGCTCTCCGCTATAATACTGACAGTAAACTTCACTCAGTTTCAAAAACCTTTGTATCACATTAACGAAGAAGGTCTCATAAAAAGGGTAAAATTCCTGATAGGATTCCTTGCATTTCGTTTCAAAATAGATGAAAAAGGTGAACGAAGTCCTTGTTAGAATTAGCTGCGCTATAATATAGGCCTGAAAGTTTGAAGCTTTTTCGGTGGCCTCAGCAAAAATTTTCTGTCTGTCCTGCTCGCTGAACACAGTTTTGTTAAGAAAGGATTTCTTTCCATAGTCGAGTTCAACAAGACCAGACAGCTTGTCAATATGATCTTCCACGTCTTGTACCAAAGTATCTATGGAACTGAGAGCTATCTCGCCATGTGAAGAAGACCAAATTCTCTCAAAGCGAGACAGCAGATCGTATGTTCTTTGTTTTGTAAATGTCTGGGCGTACATTTTCTTGTGATCTTCACCAAAATCTACCGAATCTCTGACCATTTGACTCATATATGTCGGCGATGAATAGTCGAAGTTTGAGGAGCAGATGGAGTCTTTGATGGATCTCGGACACCTTCCTTTCAAGGCCGACTCTGAATTTAAAATGGTTCTGAGACCCATCCATAAAATTCTTCGATAGTTCACAAGCCTTTTATCGACCGCGGAATCGTCCTGGAACTGACGGAATTGTAGCGGATCCCGATGTAGACCTATGTTAGTAGCGAGAATCGACGTCATACCCAGCACAAATTCGGTGGGTTGCCCATAGTAGAAATCTCCCTCCTCTGGTGAGAAGGCGTAAAACGTCCATAGGTACAGAAGACAACAAATGGTGTTCTCTGTAGTAGAGTTCATAAAATCGAGTGCTGCAATGCATTGTTGGGATAGCAGTATTGTCTCATCTGTTATAGGATGTTGATTTATCAAAGCTTGGTTTGCCATTGTATCATAAAAAGCTGGCTTTAAAGTGGACGACATTCCCAGCTCAAATTTCATCGAGTTATAAGAAATCCCGATCATCACCATGAGAATGGCCAAATTTTCGACCTTTAGTCGGAGATTTTGTTTTCCAAGTCTCAGTTTTATTTTTTGAGGGCTCTGGGGGTTTATCGTTATAACGTTTTCCAAGGCTTCCTCAAAGATGCCTCGATCCACAAAGGGGAGATGTGGGAAAACGCACATGAAAAAGTGAGACCTGTACGCCATAAGAACCGGATAAGGAGGAAGTTGGTCCTCCATTTTTTTGATCAACTGGCTCAGAGCCAAAGAATAGACGTTTTCATCGGCACTGACGTCTTCTATCAAGTTTCTAGACATTTTGGAGTTTAGAAGATTCAAAAAAATACCGTTTCGCACATCTCGAGAGCCTCCTAATTCCTGCATGATTCTTTCCGAGAAGCTCGTCACTCGAGCCTGTTGTACGGGATTCGTACATTTGCGAAGCATGCGATCCTGCAAACTCATGAGATCGGATCTCAAGTTCAGGCGTTTAGCGTAGGGCACACCGTCATTCGAGGAAATCGAGTTAATCAGTGTGTTTTCAGATGCGGCTGCGAAGAATGAGGCGAAGAAAATCGCCAAAAAGCTGTCCTGACGAACCTGGGCCATATCTGACGAGGGCTTCACATCTCGGCTTGTATTTTGCGTGATGATCAAATTGGGCTGAAATTGTCGTAGATCTATCATGACGTCGCACAGGCCTTTGAAACGGCCCGAAGTGAATGTTGCTCTTGGCGGGTATGCCACGGGAAGCGTCGTTGTCACCGGAGACGGATCTGGTTTGATGCCATCGTTTTGCGAGCTGGAATTGCCGTTCATAGTCTCTTTTAGAGCCCTGGTTTGCCAGTATTCTATTTCCCGCTTCAATCTTGCAATGGTAGCATCCTTATTTGGGTGTTTCGGTGGGGTTTGTCGCTCAACGTCGTACACGCATTCGATGCCCTGTTTGAGGCATCGCGAGCAACTGGGCTTTTCTCGATCGCATTTAGTCTTTCCACGCCGGCAAGCCTGACATACAAATGACAGCCTGTTCCGCCGGTTAGCCTGCGTCTCCAAAGGCGACGAGTGTCTCTTAAGAATCGGTGATGCTCTTTCCATTCGATCTTTCCACCCACACCAATGAGTTGCGATTTCAGTCTATTGTTTTGAGTTTAGCACCAAATTTCACGCAGTTTTTTTGTCCCTTATTTGAAAACCTGTGCAGAAAGTAGATCAGCTGAACTGAAACGACCTTCGGAGCATGCAATGGACTATTCTTGTACGCTTGTTTGTAGAGTTCAATGCTTTAAAGTTCACCTTGGCGACGACAACCTTGCGTTAAATTATTGGGTAATTATATGAAAGGCTGCGGATCCTTTCGTACGTCGCGATGGGGTCTAATTTGGCTTTTAATTTTCTTTTTTGGACCGATATTTCAATATCACGTGCATCGGAGATGAAACCGAGCGAAGATCATCAGATCTGATAAATAACAATAATTGTTAACTCCGCCAGCAAGAATGAAGATGAACAGGACGAGACTAACAGGTTTGGCAAACTTTTAGGTTTCAAGATCGAGTCTTAAGAAGTCCGCAGAATTTACAGAGATTTTTTTTACGTCCTCAACAGTCTTTTTTTCTTGCAAAAATTACAATGACACGATATAGTTTAGTAGTAAGTACTGTACAGAGAATATAGTATGAGGGACGAAAAAGTTGAAGCAACATAATGCTTATAGATACGATCTGCCGTTGGAATAGGGATTGGACGCATCTGCTACGTATCCTTGATAACCCGTGTTGTTGTTGAAAGAGGTTTCAGGAGCACGCAAATTCTGAGCACTGCGCCCAGCAGGAGCAGTGGGCACTTTCTGGTAAGGGTTGGTGCCGAATGTGCTTGTTCCCAGCACCGCAGAAGTGGGCTGCAAAGCCTGTGCTTCGCCGCTGTAAGCGCGTTTCTCTCTAGAGCTTGAGTGGTCCTCGAACTGCGAGCTTTCATCGACTTCGTCGTCAAACAGCAGTTTTCGCGAACTTTTGTTTCTAGAAGAACTGTCGCCGCTAGAAGGATATTTGGTTGCCTCGTTGGTGATCATAGCCGCTTTTCCAAGCTCAAACAGTTCGGCCTCTGACTTTGAGGCAGCGCCATTTGTCTGTATCTTGGGAATGAACGACACCCGGTCGTCTTTCATCGGTTGGTAGCGAGAGTCTGGGTTTCTGTGGACCAGAGCAAGTGCGCAAGTCACAATGGTAAAGATGAGAAGGAATAAAGCAAATACCGCGTTTAAGACAAACAGCACAACGGCCATGACCGATGATACTACCTGTGGCTGTTTGAAGATGTTGGAGAAGAACAAAAAGAAAATGGAGTTGAGGAAATTCACCAGGTGGATCACTATGTTGAACGCATTGGTACGTTTATCCATGTACGGCCTTTTCCAGCAAATTGCCACAAAATAAATCAGCTCAGTGGCAAAAATCACCACCGCCTGTGCACGGCCCATGTCTTGTAGGACAGCGACGAAGATAGATCTCAAGAGAGCGTAAGCCATGAAGGGAATCAGCCACCAATACATGTCAGCTTTGAATTGGACATATAGGAAACCGTACCTGTTCAAGAAGTTGGCATCACCGTAAAGCATGTAGGCAGGAGTCTTGTAGAGACGATTCGACTCACGACCTCTCAAAATCACCTTGACGATACCGTAAAGTAGCACAAAGGTAACTATGAGGAAAACAGCAACGGCATCCACGACAACAGCTGGAGAATCGCGTTGGGTAAATTCCCAAATACTCAAAATTGACAATTGAGGGAACGCGATAATACAAAGTCTGAACAGCGTACCTTTGATAATGTTGCTCCAGCTCTTACGGTACTCGAAGAACTTAGAGGATTCGGCCATGACACGGAACCTGGTGAGCAACTCAACGATAGCCTTGAAAAACATAAGGGCAATCACAACAACAAAAACGAAAAAGAAGGTAAAAACGACACCTGTCAAGAAGAGATTGGACAGCTCAATTCTCGCTTTGAAGGCGACACGTTGAATACCGTGTAGCACAAGAGTCTTCGACGCGTAATTAGTTGAGTTCCTCTCGTTTGTAGTGTAAAGGTTCGACTGGTTCATGAAGGCACCCACGTCAAAACTATCACTGGTGGCAACAGAGATTCGCTTGTAAAGTTTCTTAGCGCCTTCTGCCACAGCTCTTTTCAATCTCTTCTTTTGAACAGAGATGGACAAAACGTCCTTATTGGCTACGACAACTGTGGAGTCACCACCTGTGGCCTGGACGTACCAGTTGAAAATATCCTGCATGAAACGCACGTTGATGATACCCATCGACCACTGAAAGTTCTGTGACCAGGCTGCTGCGATTGGGGGTACTCTGGACACCCCCATCATCGAAGTAATGGCCAAATTTTGGAAATAGATGAAAAGAGAAATAGAATTGGACGCAATATGAGCGGCTGTTGTGGAGTGGCCCAGTACAGAAACGAAACCAGACGTTAACACACCAACACCTGATATGGCAGCGATCGGCCATGAAGCGTATTTTGTTTGCACGGTGATCCCATTCGTCAGAGGTGCCACTACACAGGCTAATGGTTTGTCCTGTTTGGTATCGCTGGTAGAATATACCACGACACGGACCTGCGCATCCAAATCTGGAATCGTGTAGGTCACCGCTGGCAGTTGATTTACCAGATCTGTATTTAATTGCTGATAGGAGTTCACGTCAATTCGGCCTGCTTGCAAAGGGCATAGGGCTTTTTGGCCCAGTTTGCACAGATCCACCTTCGTCTCCATAACGTTGAGCCCATATACGATAACTTCAACTTGTGCAGTGATGTTATCCTGTATTGTTGTGGTTGCATCAATGTTGAACACCACTGTCTTGTTATGAGCCAGGTACTGCACCTCAAAAAAAGACGCTGTGAATTGCGAGTTTTCCATGCATGTTAGCAATGAGGATGTTCCTATGAGTTTGGTTGTGTTTGAGTTGTTGGAAGCTCTGACTGACGCCAGAAACACCGTTTGGATCAGGGCCCATAAGAATACGTTAATCCGCATTTTCGCAGCGTCCAACGGCAAGTGAGCGATTGCAGTTTATTCACCAAAATCGCAAGCCACTCTCAAATGCCCCCTTGTGTTAAGTCACAACGCGCGTACGGTACCTATACTGAATGGGTACGTTTCTTATAAACTCTGGTGAGTGAAGGATTTATTGGTGCAATTCGAGGTAGGCTTCGCTATTCTCTAAAAATAGTGCAATATCCAGAAATTCTCTACGTCTGGAATGACTATGCGGAGAACCCAGACAATTGACTACTTTTGAAAGGATCTGCGTATCAATGAAGTCACAAGTCAAAAGCTTTGAACTAATTGAAATTTCTGACTTGCAGACAATGCCATTGCTTGCTTTATTTTGAATGGTTTGTTCTGTCCCCAAAATCACGCATTGACACAAGCTGAGTTTTAAAATATTTATTCTACTGTGCTTTGCCACAATAAAAGCAGATTTGGGACTTTAGTGGTTTTCCTCAGATGCTCCTATACTCGACATAGCTCAGCTTCAAATTTGTAGGTCAGGGTTGTGAATGCTAAGTTCCATTGACCATAACCTGAAATGTCATTGTCACTTTATACTAATGTGACGTTTGAACTTTTGGAACGTGTACAACACTTTAGGAAGGGTGGAGTAGACACGAAAAATAAGATATGATCGATAAAGGCAGTTACAGGTTTATCGGGAGGTACTTGTAGACTCTGCCAACCAAAGCTGATCTTCTGGGCCTGAGATTTTTTTGACACGATTTAATATTAACGTTTTGTCAAAAGTTCTTGACATTAAGTTATAAGAACACTTAGGTCAAGCTGAAGAGGGATAAAAGGTTGGAAAGGGTTCAGGCCAGCTCAATTTGGCATCATAACATGAGTTTAATGTTCCTCATTATTTTATTCACTTACAAAACGTACTTATGGGCCTTGACACAACTTTTGTTCAGATCACGTGCTCCGATAAACCAGACTACCTTGAAATAATCCTCCAGTGAGTTACTCAATCGTCAAGGGCTTCAAACTAAGAGCTTATTTCGAAGACGATGGTTGCTTCTAGTTCCAACGGTGCAGGAGACGCAACTTCGCTCGATCAGGATTTATACGAACTCAGACGGAGTAAGTTTTCGGACAAGGCTGTTCAGGAAATTAGCGACTGGATATTCATTACGGTGCTAAAGGAAAAGTCCAATACTCGCGATGCAGCTCAGCTCTTAGACACTCTTAAAGACGGCACTGTGTTGTGTCAGCTGGCAAACACTATAATACAAGGTGACTCTGCCTATTACAAGCCGCTGAAATATAAAGCTTCAAAAATGCCATTTGTGCAGATGGAGCAGATCTCTCAATTTTTGTCATTTGCGAGGCTCTATGGCGTGCCCGAAGACGAGCTTTTCCAAACTGTGGACTTATTCGAGGAAAAAGATCCCGCTTCTGTTTTCCAAACCCTTATATCATTATCGCGCTATGCTAACAAAAGACATCCTCAAGAGTTCCCGGTCATTGGACCACAATTAGCGACTAAAAGGCCACGGCCCCCAAAGGCTGCAAAACCAGCGCATCTGCAAGCAGCGCAGTGGAATGCAATGGAATACGGGTCAATGAAAGGCGCCTCGCAGTCTACCGAGGGCGTTGTTTTTGGCCAAAGAAGAGATATCGCCGGATGACGGATGGTGAATGAAATTCAAAAGTTCATGGAAGCTCTGTGACCAGCTCGGAGTATCTGTGCACATCTGCGGGTACAGAATTGAAACTCAGCGGGCTCACCACCACGATGTCTTTACGTAAGTGTCTTACAACGGACCAGACACCTTCCTCGGTACCGCAGCGAATTAGCTGGTGGGTTGGGAATCGGGCAACAGCCGGGCTGGCTGTCGTTTTCGGTGGCAAGACCACCACTGCTTGCAACGATAAAAGTTTTTCCCAATCCACTTCGTCCTCATACATATCATCTGTCAAAACTATACACACAGTAACGGCATTTTCGTCCTTTTCATTCACATTTGATGATGACGACGACGAAGTTGTACCTTTTCCCCAGACATAAAAGGCGCCCAAAACCAGCGCTGTTAAAGCACCGGCAGCCAAAAGCACTGCAGACCTGTTTCTAGATCTTCTAGCTCCCATCGGTCTGGCAAGAAACGACTCGAATTTTTACAAGGTAAAGAACGTATGAAGATCTGAGGCTTCCAACGTCCCTACCTTTAAGGCATCACATGATCCTCAAGGCCAATTTAGCTATTCACATCACTCTGTACTTTGGTGTCGTCGAATAAAGTATAAACATGATTTCTAACCTGAACCGCCCTACTGCTTAGGTTGAAGATTCAACCGACTTTATTTGGCAGTTTTTTAGACTAGAAGCTCTTTAGAATACTCTTTTGTCAATCTTGTTGACTATTGATTTGAAGACGGCCTTCGTGAGCTAGAAACTCTGCTATACGTCTCGAAATTGGCCAAGAAAAAGTATCACCGGTCCAGAATCTTTTTGAGTCAAGTACAGTCCTAAACTAGCTATATAAGCATCTACTCTCGTCACTGTGCTTTAATTCTTGACTTTTCTTCGTCTCATCTCATCTGTCACTACTGTCTATACCCAATTTATTATCAAATACCATCATCATCACAACATAAAATGCATCTCATCGAACATTCATCTCGTTATCTAGAGCTACAGTAGATTCGATGTTCGATCAAGGTGTGTTATTTTCGGCATCTACAGTCAATCTTGAGCATATAACTACCGCTCTGAACTGCCTCACACCTTTTGGAACGAAGGATGACGTGCTCATCATCATCGATAGAGATGGCCTTTCATTCGCGAGACAGAACAACAAAGTAATCAGCATACAACTCTACTTGTCCGCTGAGCTTTTCGTCTCCTACAGCTATAACCCTCCAGATAATGACCCCGATGCTCACCACAAAGTGTGCGTGAAGATTCATCATATCTTAAACAGCGTAAGTGTAGCAAGCAGAGATAAAGACGACGTCGTGGAGTGCACGTTCTCGTACAACGGAGAAGGATCACCGTTTGTACTCATCTTTGAAGACTCAGTTATAACGGAAAAAGTCGAGTATTCTACATATTTGGTCAAGGAATGGGACTCGACCGGACTTGAGCTGGAGGCGGATGCAGTGATAATGGAATGCATGTTACGAGGCGAGGTGTTCTACAATGCACTCCAGGACATGAAGGAAATAGGCTGCAAAGAGTGCTATTTGTATGCGGTCGCTGGTTCGAACGGAAAAAACGTCCTGGCGCTAATATCGAGAAGTCAGCTTGGACTATCAAAAATACTTCTGCCGAGCGAAAAGTCGATCTTGGAAAAACTTGAAGTGTTTGATCCCACAACGTTTCAAAAAACTTTCGACGAGCCTGTGATTGGCGCCTTCGATTTTTCAACCTTGGACAAAATCAGATCCAGTGTCCACATTGCGAGCAAGGTGTTACTACGGAAAGATGTACACGGACTCATGAGCGTCAACATTTTAAGCCAGACTGACGATTTCATTTTCGGAGATGTTAAGAAATCGCGGCATGCAAACAAGAACGGCGCAGTGCAATTCTCAAAGGAGTATCCCGGCATTGTGATTGACGTTGCCATATTGGAAAAAGCGCGTCTTGACGACGCAGACCTCATTGATGTCCGTCTACTGATGGAAGCTGGCGAGCAAAGACAAAATCCGAGCTACGGACCTCTCCAGACACACGGGCCTAGCGTTGAACGAGATGTTACTTACACAACGCATCAGGGCGGGTCCCTACTTTTTGGCGGCAAAGACCACTCAGCAGACACAACTCATGGAGATAACGAGGAATACGTTCCTGCCACAAACGATATCCCGCTATTTTTCTGAGGGCCAGGAAAATCCAGGGCCGCAACAAGCAATGAACGGGAATGAAAAGTGTCTATTTTACCTACAGATTAAATATAGCTAGAAAACGCACTTTAAGACCACGACTTTCTGTAAGCAATGCGCTTACTGAGAGAAGTGCTCCAAGATCATTTGACGCTCTTCGGTGTCAGCACCCCAGTTCTTGACAACAACGACGGAGGCACCAACGACCTTTCTGGCGTTACCCTCACGGTCGATCTTACCCAAACCGGCCCATTCACCTAGCTGCTTGGCGTCAGCAACCTTGATCAATGGAACCTTGTTTTCTGGGTCGTTGGCAAGACCTTCAACGAGCTTGATGATGTTGTCTTCGGTGACAGAGTCGACCAAGACGGCCAATTGGGCCTCACCTCTGGTTAGAGCCTTAGCGGACTCTCTTAGACCTCTGGCCAAACCATCGTGAACCAAAGCGGTTCTCAAGACAACCTTCAAAGCGTCTTCAATGGTGATGGACTCAGCTGGTTGTTCGACAACTGGAACTTCTTGGACTTCTTGAACTTCTTCAACGTCAGACATTGTTGGTGTATAAGGAGAGTCTTGGAGTGAAAAGTGCTGGTATGACTTCTTCGACAGGGAAACTGCTCAGTGGAGAAGAGAAAAAGAGACTAAAATGAACAAAACTAAGAAGAAAAGTGAAGTGAACATGGTTAAAATTCACATCTCTTTTCCAAAGTTATGGATGTGAAAAATTTCTGAAAGAAAAAAAATTCAGTGCTTGGGTGCGATGAGCTCTCGTCTTTGATGATATTAATTTGAAATTGCCAGGTACACGTGAAAAACACGCGATATGCGCGTGATTGGGACGTTGTTTAGACTTTTAAGACTCGAGAGATGTCTGAGTAGTATTTTCTTTAGCTAATTGGTCGATATGAAGACTCTGTATGTGCCAGAGCTAGTTTCTTCACTTCACTTGTGAGGCTGTAGTCCAATTGTTAAACTTGTTTCCCGTTTGTTTCCCATTTGTTTCCACTTTGGCATGTTTCCAGAATGAGGTCAATAAAGTGCCATTTTCATAAGCTCCTTCTGCCGAGCATGTTGGACGAGAAAGAGCTTTCAACGACACGATTTTAGTGTGTTCAGCAAGCAACCGGACCAGCCTGATAAAGTTTGTGAGAGCTCTTTATTTGTGTGTAGTTTAGCCTTCCAAATTGATGGTTGCTGGGTGGGCTTTTTTGGAAAATATGGTTCTTCTCACGGCGTGCTGTCGACCGCTAAAGGAGGAGTTAGTTGCGACAGAGGAATCATAAATTAGACAGCGGGACGTAGATACTAGCCGAGTCAGGTTTACCGTTCTCTTCGTATCACATATTTTGTATTTGCACTAAAATTCCACTCAAAGAAGAGCATCGAGAGAAGAGAGCGTTTTTGCACCTTGGTACTCATGTTTTGACCTCTTTTGCTCGATAATACCAAATTGGTTTGCCATCCAGAGGCGCCAGTGTTCAAGCAAAAGGTGAACAATTTTCTCGACAGGCTCACAGAGTTGTCGTCGTAATCCCAAAACATATACTCAATGCCTTCATGCGTCGTTCATATTTCGGGCCTTTTCCCATCCCTTCCACGAACAAATGACGCTCGTTATGCAGTGGATATATCATGGTACATCCACTAGCTTGCAAAAATAGTTTTCAAATGCAACACAGACATGGCTTTCATGCTCTTTGTGTTCTTACCTGAACTTCAAGTTCATGTGAATACTACTAGTCTTGTCGAAATACTAAATTTCTTCTAGTACTGAATTATCTAAATTTACACGTCGTTGTTTGATTCTCGACTAAGTTTTCGTCATATTTCCATTTCGCCTGCGAATTCTACCGGTTCCACACTCATCTCTGAATCCAAGTTCATATTCATTTTCTCAACATCGTCATCGTCAATAACTGCGGATTCATCCATTTGCACATCCTCGTCCTCATCTTCAAAATCCAGGTCGAAGAAGTCGTCATCGCTGCCAACAATTTTCTGAAACAACAGGCGTGCCGCTGTGATGGCCTCGTCGTAAGATATTTCTGCCGAAGGGAGCGAAGTGTAAATCACGCCATTGTCGCTGGCTCCAGGCACCAATTTCCCGTTCGCCGCTCCATCTAGGTCAAATATAGACGGGTCCACGACCTCGAATGGAGGAGTCGAAGTGAACTGTTTGTAGTACAGCTTCACAAGAACCTGTAACTTCTCTCTTTGAGAATGCTCCTTGAAAGACTGTCCAAGTTTAACCGAGTTCAACGTCATATGCCCCTGGTTGTCCACTTCCAATATTCCTTGATCGTTTTCTAAATCCGCTGAGGACTCGCGCATTATACTTTCCTCTAGGGCACCCAGCGCCGCATCGAGATCCATTTCGCCTCTAACGCCACTTTCCGTGGTACTCAAATACCACACCGATGTGCCCATAGGACAAACATCACTTCCTGCTCCCATTATCACCACTTGCACTGCTTGACGATTGCCCGATTTCAGAGAATCAGGGGGAAACACCACTACGGCGGCATGCTCACCTTCAGTAAACCATTCAGAACAGGTTTTATCGACCACACATGTTAGTCGCTGAACCTCATATTTCTGCTCAGGAACATTTTCGCTGTTTTTCGGACATTGTGTAGGGGCCATAACAACCTTCTCCGTCACGCTAACTTTCGAACCGTCGCTAAAAACTGCTATCCTGGAGTCTGGATTGTAAGAAATCATGCGCTCATTGAGCTTGTAGGTGGCGCCAGCGACGGCAGCCGAACGACAAAATCCTTGAGATAATTCCCCAGGTCCTCCGTACTTGGAATATAGAACGGGGAAAGGTCCATACACATCAAAACTGGTGAGGTATCGCCTGATTCTTTGCAATGCCTCAGGAGTTTTGACATCAATGTTGTAACACAATCCGATGGAAAAAATCAACTCATACACTTGAGCACGTTCTAGCTTAAACTTCTCCACCAGGAATGAAGCAACCGGCTTATCCTTGTACGCTTCCCAAACCTCGGGCTGGTTAGACCAGTTCAAGACGAACTTTATAAATTTCATGAGATTTCTTTTTGTCATCAGCGGGAGAGAGGGGTTGGTAAAGATTTCTTGTTTTGTGTTTGTGAGCCTTTCAAAAGAATCGTTTTCGTAAGTGTGGAAGGTTGATAGTGACTGGAACTCTAGATATTGATGCACGCGCGACTTCAGTAGAATCGACAGCAAGTCCGATTTCGCAAACAGAATTTTGGGCGAGAGGTCGATGCCGAAATCCCGCGACTTGTAAGAGCCTCTGCCGACGAGGCCTGATATGTGAAGTTTAGCGTTTTCGTAGCATTTGGATTGGCCATTGTTGGTTTCCTGCACCCACTGCTTCAATTGGTCAATTGTCAGCGTAGCAGATGTGTCCCCGTAGTAAGGGTTGGCGTCGATTTGCAAAACACTCGACCCCTGCCATGAAAGGGCCGCAGCCAAGATGCTTTCGACAAGACCTGTGCCCACTAAAACCACGTCCACTTTTTCGGGGGTAATGTTGGGCAACGGATCTTCAATTCCTGCCAAGTGAGGCACCACCGTGCTAGAGCCCGTCCGTTCTGCACTGAACGACGACCGATTCAGTGTTGAAGGACGTCGTTCGGCCATTGATTTCCGCCTTTCGGCTTGCATAATGGTCAACTTAGGTAGCAAACTGCTGAATGACCCGAAACTTTTAAAATCGCTTTAACTTGGCCGGCACGTAAGACAAAAAGCTCGTTTTTGGCTCTTTTGATACGTAATTGGCCCAACAAACGCTAATGAAGAGCTTGAAACCGGTTCAAAACTAATCGAAGCAACTGCAAGCCAACTTTATACCCTGTTGCTTGTTTGACTAAAGTTCATTCTTCACACCTAAAATTTTTCGATTGTTGACTGCGATGAATATTCAATTTTTTTTGAGCACTGCCGCGCCGATGAGTACTTCGTTGACATTATCCATGAGTACATTTTAAAAGTCGCGATAACCAGGCGACACTGATGTCTTTGGAAGCCCGTGAACTTTCGATTCTATACTGCTTGGCTTGAATCCTATCGATATTCCAGAAATGCTTGATACTGTGATGCCAGGTCTTTGAAGGCTGCAGAAGGGAAATTAGGCCTTACGTGAGAAAATTTAAAGTTATTTGTTCTGCTGTGTCAAAGAGCGATGGATTGAGGTGTGGTGATCAAGGGAAGGATGCATGTGGTAAATGTTCCACGCAAATATGCATTTTCTAAATTGTGAGCGCTGCACAAAAGTCCGCCAATAAGCTGCAAAAAGCCGTTTCGATGAGTCGCAGACGTAGAAATCATCCGGAGTTGTTCGTGCCATGGCGTTTCCGCTCCCTCAGGCTCGATACGGCGCTCTTCGCCAACGCAGAAGGGCTCGAACATAAAAGAGTGAAGATCCAAAAGATAGAGGCTTGCAACGGGGAGCGAAGAAGAAGCTTTTTTGGTCGAACTAGCTTCTTCAGAATTGACCCAATGTCTGTCAACGTCGCACTGAGCGAGCCCACCAAGAAATATTGCTTTAGCGGAAATTCGCACAAGCTTATGCCCCACAAGCGTAAGATTGATCTCTGCGCATTTGCCTTCGCTATTGGATTTTGCCTTGTATGTCTTGATTTGCGTCCATTTTTCGGTATCGAGGTCGAACCACCACAAGTCACCGAGAACAAGTGATTTATTTGACCCACCGTGTATCACCAGCGTTTGGGATGTGCTTTGCAGCATATGTGACTGCTTTTGAGCGTTCCAAGCTAAGAACATGTTAACATCATTTACGCTGCTGTGGTGATGGTGTTGCTGGTGATGTGGATGTCGATGATTCTGATGCTGCTCGCGGGGATCGGACCATGCAGAACTAGTATATGATTTTTCCTCGAGACTGGTCTGTGGCGTTTCTTTTGGCTCGAACATGAAATTTTCTCGCAGGTTCTCTAACGACTCTTCTTCCGAAGATTGGGCCTTTAAAAGGTCGTTCTCATATATCTCACATGCATGGAAAGCTCGCATGGGTGGCCATTTGCCGCTTTCAGTGTCGCCTCGTAGTTGAGAGAAAGGGGTGGCCAAAGCTGTTTCAGCGAACTTATAGTAGTTTCTCTTTCCTCGTGCAATAACAGTTACCTCTATTTTCCATAGGTCGTTTAGAGGTTCATAGTCGTCACCGTCGTCATTGCAATATCCGCCCATCACCAAGATTGTTGAGACACCCATGCTGGTAGAGATAGAAAGTTTATTGCTGAGATTTCTATCAATCGAGGAAGAGTTCTCAGACTGAAGACCCTCGTCAATAGGTTGCGATAAGGGAGACGAGGGCATTTCAATATCTCGCTTTGTAACATCGAGCTTATTATCTGCAGACATTGCTGTTGCACAAACTGCGCATTTTACTGTAGAATTCACCTTGACAGACACTTGAGAGTGTCCAAACCGCGGCGCGATTGATGGATACGAATTGAATTTCGTGGGCTGTGTAACAAGATCGACCTTCGTGAATTTGCACGTCAAGGCATCCAAGATGTACGCGCGGTTGCTGAGAACAGCTCTCTTTTTCAAACAGAATTTGCCCGTGCTGTCGTCGATTCGCGTCTCCGTTTTTATCTCGAATCCACCATAGTAAAATATATGACGTTTTGTGAGAGCTGAACCGGTCATGCAAAGTAGGGGAGGTGGAACGTGGCCTGACAAAACAGGTTTGACTACCCTTGAAGAAGCAGACGATATGACATACAAGTCATGGTTGTTAACCATACTGGGATTATTGACAATTGAATCGAGCAACGGAGGCGGGAGATTTGGCACACCGTCTACTTGATAAGCAGACAGGTCTGGCATCTCGTCCGTGTAGTAGTATGAAGGAGTGAGACCTCCTAATGTGTATATCTTATCCCCCACATCCACTGTGCATTGATACACAAACGGCGGGAGTTTCATTTCTCCAAACAACGGAGGTATGGTAGTTGAGCCGACAAACATGTTTCTACTTTGGTGATCTGTGTCGCGATATATGGAGACATTCGTGTTTAGACAAGAAGCAGTGAAGGCGGCTGCTTCCCTAGTATCATGCGCCAACAGCGGTCCTTCTTGTTTCGACGACTTGGCCGTAAGGTCCCATCTCATGAAGGGAATCCACATGTTATGACGTCTGATAACTTCTGTATTCTTGAGGCTAGGTATCGGGAGCTTGGAGCAATAATTCTTATAGCCGTTGTAGAAAACTTCCTGAGTATACTTCGACTCCTCTTCACTGCCACGAAGCGGTGTTCTCTGCTCGGAGAAACTCTGATGCGAGCTCTTGTTACCATGCTTCAACCTGCTACTTTTTTTGGAGTTTCCACTGCCTCCAGACCGATCTGTCGATCCACTTGTAACGCTGTCTTGGCGGGGAATGCGTAGTTTTGAACTGTAGTAAGTCATAAGCGTTCGTTCGTTATCTGCTTTACGACGTTCAGCTGAAATATTCATCAGCTCATTCCGCATGCCAGACACGTAGTTATTCATGAAGGGAAGCGCCATATACTGGTGAGAATGCATATGCCTGGTATTTAGAGTGGGGCTTGCACTTTCCAGATGCAAAGAGGAGTGGCCGTTGCTTAGTGGATTCAACGAGACCTGACTGTTGTCAGACGAGTCAAGGACAAAAGACATTTCAAGCCAGGGTTTTGAAAGCAGTACAACAAGAATAAGTAGGGACCAGCAGCTTGCTATCCCACTATGGTCTTGCCTGTGTCTTTGTAGAGCGACCAAGGGTCTAGCACTGCAAAGAAGCACGATTAGAAGTATTTACCTATAAATTCCATTGATTACTTCTACCTAGCCACGTGACCCTGGAAGACGTCTAAAAGGTGTGTCCATCCTGGCGCTCAAGGTCGCTACTAGAGTCTTGATGCTTAGAGTCGTTAGCCTCCAAAGTGATGCATATCTTTACGAGTCCCAGGTAAACTCGCTCCAAAATATTCCCGATGTTCTTGACCCTCTGAATAGTAATTAACCACACTCAAACGATAGGACCCCTCTAACCTTCTCGGCATTGACGCTGTTACTGGCTGCGACCGCTGCTCCATGAAGCTTGTGCAACGTACCTCATATAGCATGACTAGTTCATTATCAGCTCATCGTGAGTTTTTCTTGTTTTCCGTCGATCATCATATCATAGTGTCCCGGCTACGGAAACGACCCCTTTCCAAATTTATCCGTTCTGCGAAAGAACATGTCGCCCGTTCATTGCATGTATCCTTAAGCACCTTATTGCGAGCTCGAAAAGCCACTTTGATAATTTACCGCAAAACGGTTTATCTGAGAAGTCCGTTGTTTCTTGCTCTTTCGTTTCGTGTTGATGGAGTCACCAGCGGACACAATTTCCGATTGCGACCTTTTGAGCGCTGGTTTCCGTTTCTTGGAACCAGCCTCACCGCCCATGACGGTTCCTCGAGTCGAGTTGAAGGAATTCGCGTTAGTCACGATTATTTGGAATTTAGGCTGCTTGCGCACTACCTTTTTCGTTGTAGTTGGCTGAGAACTCGAGCTCACATCGCTTCTGAAAGAGCCCATTTTCGGCAGCTCCGGAATCCTTATCTGTGTAACATCCGTATCATTGCAACTCGCAGGCTTGGGTGTAGGCGATAGCGGTAGCTTGCCCATCTCAAAAAGTCGGCTGTCGATATCATTCGATTCTCCTTCGCTAGACCCCTCTTCTTGAAACGGCATCGGCGGAGGTGCACCCACAAAACCTAATTTGTTTCTTGCTGGTTTTGTCACTGATGAATTGAGCTGGATCGTCGTCGGCGAAGAGCCACAGTCTTCTGGGTCGGAATACTCAGCTTGGCCTCCAACTTTCGGCGATAAACTATTACGTCGAGCCTTTGCGGCCGCCAGAGAGCGACGACTGAGACGATGAACAGCGCTGTCGCCCAATTTTTCGTTCGGAGACATAGCCGAGCCAATTCTTTTCCTCGGTGTAACTTTTGAAAGGTTCGGCAAGCTTCCATTGTTGAGATTAGGAGATGAATGTGCAACGTCTTTGCGTGCTTTTTGAAAATCCACTAATGCACTATTGGACGACGCCAACAACTTTGCGTATGGCGTGCCTATGTCCGAGAGAATTCGTTTCCCATAGGGCGTCAAGGAAAGATACCTTTTGGAGGGAGACGACGACGAAGTAGGCGCCATTTTGTCTTTGGAGTTGAACATAAGATTCACATCGATATTTTTCAAAGGGGTCGCAGTATTGGGTAGCCCCTGAGCATTATTAGCGCCTCCTTGTTGATCATTAGAGGTCGGAGCACCAGCTGTACTATTGAAAAACCGGAGGGGAGTTTTTGCTGGCGTTCGATGCCACAAATTGAAACCCGCTGGGGACTCAAATAAGAACTCTTTAAAGTGCTCTGGCGAGGTAAGCATGAATTCATTCCCCAGTTGTAAAACCGACGATGGCTGCATGTTAATATCGCTTAGTTTACCAGCTCCTTGTGCTCCGCCTAGCATACTATTTTCGACCATAGAATGCTCCCCGTGTTGCATCTCGTCTCGTTTCGAACCGTCTGTTGTGTTTATTCCTCGAGCGTTACTGAAAAGCGGCATCTGGGACTGTTGCTGATCCGGATGAGTGGTGTGCGGAGCTTGCAGAAGCTGCTGCTGCTGTTGTTGTTGCTGAGAATACGGAGTTGGAAATTGCATAGTGGGAACAGGGCTTGTGAATGCGAATTTCATATTTTCAGAGATCACTCTAAAGAAGGCCTCTTCTTCGTTGTTTGTCTCCATGACTGCGGTAATAGGCTTAAAGCTCTTGCTACCTCCTGTTGTACCTTCCTAAAGAGCTAGTCGATCCCAAAGATGTGAATCTTTTAAACTTGAATGGCTACTTGGCAGTGTATGTCTGTTCCATCTTGTGTTTACGGATTTCGATACTTTCGCATCCTGCCGTTACCCGGAGGGAGCGAAATATATTGAAGAGGCCAATTCTATCGACAGCTATAATCAAAATCACGCGACAGATCCGATTATAGTGATGTCAAATGCTGGTGTCAGAGCCGATAATCTGTAAGTGTCGGTCAATGAAATACAATGCTGTCGTGTGCTATAAGATAGTTTTGATTTTTCTCAGCCTCTTAATTTTCCAGGCGGAAAAAATCGACTTCAGGATGGTGCTACTAGAGATGTGACAGAAATTTAAGAGCGAAATGGCTGAATTGATGGCAGATTTGAGTGTTATTGTTAGTTCCAAGATGCGTGGTATATATAATCATTACACTCAACTAGAGGAAGCTGTGTTTTAGGGTTGATTGTTTCGTCAACGGTGGAGACAAATTTGACGAAAAAAAAGAATGAGCATGAAGAGCGTGAGGCCGGTAAGGTTTCAAACGCGTGAAGGGAGAAGTAGTCGCAAACATGCAGAAAGAAGCAACCAAAACAATCACAAGAATAGCTTATGAATGTGTTAAATATAGAGTCACATGATCAACCTTGTATATAAACATAAATCACTAATATATGGAAAAGCACAGATACTGAATGTCCATGAACTGTGAAATCGAGCTATCGTGTATGTAGACCATGGGTGTCGTTGAATTCTTAATGGATTTGAGTGTATTTAGATCTTTCTATAGCTAATTTTAAGTGTAACTATTATTCTACAAGGGACAAGTGGAACATCAATCAGCTGCGCTATCGTTATCGTCCGTTTATTTCCTTATTCTTGAAATCAATCTTCTCATACCAATTACGAAACTTGGACACTTTCAAACAACCTATTCTTATCCCAGTCACCCAACCCACAATGACATCTTTCCTGAATCTTAACATGACATGGCATTCTTATTCATTCTCAGGTTGCCATCCACTTGATCCTCTAGCCAGTTCTCCAGATGATCATTTATCCTGATAGTCACGTTACTTATAGTTTTTGCTTATGTAATTTGCCGAATATTAACGCCAAACGTAAATACACAATGTTATATTCAATTGACATGTTGACAACGATAAAAACGATCCCATCACAGCGACATCAATTGGTCAACTAGTTCCCCTCACCTGCATACTCTCAGACAGGCTCTGGCGCTCCACATGTCTGCAGAATCCTCGCCATCGCGCCAGCTGAGTGAAAGCCTGGGCAAATTCCATATATCGTCGCCTAAATTCAAGCCATACAAAGAGAATGACGATTTTAGAGATTCGCAGTTTGATTCACAAGCTCAGAATTTTGCAAGCGGAAAAAGCTACGTTGGGAAGCTCGGGAATTGGTCTGTTAATTACGGAACGGTCCAGCAGCATGATCACAATAGCGAAAACGAAGAACCTCCACAATGGAAGCAATACATGCAGGAGCATGCAGAACGTCAAGAACCACAGCAAAATGGCATGAAGAGCTTCAATTATAAAGAAAACCTTGTGGTGACGTCCTCACTCAGCGATATATCTCTTATCCCAACCAACACTTTCAAGAATCGTGGAACAAAGCCTCAAAACGTAGATTCCGAGGGCAGTGTTGTACAAGAACGGGAGTCGGCACTTGAGACTGACGGAGATCCAGCTAGAGAGGCCTTGGGGGTCTTCAACAATGTTCTACGTCACCAGAGATCGAACTTTTTCGCACAAGAGTCGGAAAGTAGGCCCGAAAGATCCATCTCAGAGGACTTCGATTCAACAGGCTCAACAGGGTCCAGCTCATCCTACGATTCATTCAACCCTTCACTATCACCTAGTATGCGTCAGCATGGTTCAGAGCCACCCAAGTCGACCTCTAACGGAGTGCCTAGGCAGCAACAGGTTTCTCCACGCAGGCCGTTAAAACTTATAACACCAGAAGACGCGGGAATGGTATTCAATTACAAAGAAGGGGTCTGGGATCAGCCGTCTGCCGCCGGCGATACGTCCACAAGTGGAGCCCATGACGATACCTCTCAGGACAAGCTTGTGTCGTTCAAACTGCCGCGCGCCAGACCCGAACAGTCTATGATGGATGATACCCCACTCTCGACGCCCAAGGTTGATAACCGATTCATGCCTCAAGTATCAATTACAGATGAGCCCAACAGTAGGTCTACGTCTGGTAAAAGTACAGCCACCTTGCGAACGGCGTTTCTCACACCTGCAGATACTACCCATAACTTGGTGGATAACGTCACCAGCGTTTCAGAGTTAGACACGTCTTTTCGCATAGCGAAAGGTGCAGTCGTGTCCGCACTCGTGGACACCATACCGCGTAAAGAAATTTGGGAACGCATCACAGAACTGTCATTGAAGCAGAAACGTCTGGATAGCTTGGTGGGTCTTTCGGATATGACACCACGGCTTATGGAGCTAGACGTTTCCCACAACAAAATAAACTCACTACAGGGAGCCCCAGCCAAACTTATCACATTGCGTTGCGCATTCAACCGCATAGGCTCATATTGTCAGTTAGACGATCACCCGCATCTGGAAGATTTGGACATTTCACACAACCTTCTGTCCACGGACCTGTCTATCCTCGCCGGCTGTATTCATTTGCGCAACGTGAACCTTTCAAAAAACAGCATAACATCACTACAAGGTTTGGCAGAGTCTTGTGCAAGAATCGAGACTCTTAATGTAGCGCGAAATCGTCTAATTGGCCCATTAGACTTTGCAGAACTCATATCGGTGGAGCAGAACACGTCCAATTTTTTGTCACATATCCGCGAACTAGACCTTAGTGGTAACAAGATTACAACAATCAAGAACTTGCACTTGCTACGGAATTTAAAGGTACTGAAATTGGATGGTAACCCATTAGAATCGCTCAAAGGCAACACGAACCGGAGCGTCCGAGTGCTTAGTCTGATCGGGTGCTCAGCGCTGCATTCGTTGGGAGATTTCCCACATCTTCGGGTCCTAAAAGTCAATTGCGAAAGTCTACAAGAGCACCAAATTCCAGAATCCTTGGAACACCTCGAGATCGTGGGTCCGTGTCCAGCAATCCACCTATGGGATAATCTACCGTTTATGCTGCGAAGACTTCAACTGACGCGCACGCGTATCGTGGAGCTGCCTCCGCAACTGGCAGCGCGCTGTACAGGACTTCATACGTTAGTGGTGGCCGAAAATGACTTGAAGAGCTTGACGGCCTTGGTGGAAAGGCTGCCGGCGAATCTGCGGGTGCTGGACGTCCGCAACAATCCGCTTTCGCAGTTCCAAAGCGATGAAGAACGCAAGACCATGACTGAGGCGATGGCATTGGCAATGCCGGTACTGAAAAAGGTGTATTTGTAAGTGCAGCCTACGTGGGGAGGGGGGGGGGCCACAATGGTAAAAAGTTGTTTACCAAATAGACGGGACCTTTTGTTACGGATGCCCAAAGCGATCCATACGGCTTTATTCAGCGACTCGTAATCGCCTGCTACTTACTGGTTAAGGTAACTGCTGCTGAGAAAGCTGTTCGATGAGATGATTGATTCTGCCCGTACAAAATGCGCCACGGCTGAAAAAAATCCAGACACTCCACGTGATCTCGAGAACTTTCCGCAGATTTTATTCGCCAGCGATTTTGAAGCAGGGAAATACTGAATGAGACGATATTTTGATACAACTCATTAGCACAGGTCTAGACTGATGCGTTAACGATCTGCTGTTCCTCATTTCACTATGATTGCAACACAGCTTTCTGAAACACCTAAGCACAAGATGAACGTGTCCTAAGACTTCTTTCCACTTCTTTCCACTTCTATCGGGACCTCTATCAAAACCCGTGATTTTCGCTACTACCGGTATCCATGCTTTTCCGTCTTCCGCAACCACTTCCAGCTATCCGGGTAGATGTTGTTCGCTGAACCCGCACTTTAATCCCAGGCTGCGGAGCTTATAACTTTCACGGTCCGATAAAATGTATTACACACATGACCCGGAGGCCGTCAAATGTTATGTTGGATGAATGACCCGCTCGCTATACAAACGGTCCACACGGTCACGGCCGTGCTGACCATTCTCGTCTCACAACGCTACGGGCAAAAGATCGGACCAGCATAACAAATGAATTTACCAGAATAGCGGAACTCCGCTACTGTTTGTCATATTGTTGAGCCCGTTCGCCTGTCGCCCAACGACACAGTCGTTTTGGTAGTTTTGGTGGACAGAGAACAGGTCTACGAAACACTATATAAAGAGGAACATCCGTCTAGTTCTTGACCAGAAGCGTGGTAAACATTTTGTTATTTTGATAGTAGAAGTAACAAAGCAGACAACTAGCTTTAGCTTTCTTCACATTTATACAGTGAGTATGTTGAGATGAGCATTTCCAGGATGTATGGGTGCACGAGCAGCGGAGATCTCTTTTTTTTTTTCAGAAAATTAGTCCGTGTGGGGCGACATGCAGATTAGGGGGCGGAAACATGATAAAGCGGACTCGTGTATAGCGATCCTCCCCTTGTTTTTTTGTGTTTTGTTCCCAGGCGGTAAAAATTTGGACTATAAAAGGGAAGCGATATCTCATACGTTTGGTTCCTTTCTTGCAATCTTGCAACTAACATTCAGATTAAAGATTGAAGCTGCAACATAGCGTGTAAGCGGAAGTGCGAAGATCTGGAATAAGATACACTTTTAAGAAATCATAAAATTACAGCATACACACTCTTTGTCGCAGCGCTTTTCCTAAAATCATGTTTTCGAAAACGCTGTTGAAAACGGCAAACCCAGCCTTCAAAACAGGCTTGGGCTTGAGGTGCTATGCACAACTACCTTTGCGGGTTCCTGTCCAGATCCCTAACGGTATCGAGTATGAACAACCCACAGGGCTGTTTATCAATAACAAATTTGTGAGGGCCAGGCAAGGCAAGACGTTCGAAGTGATCAGCCCCGCAACCGAGGAGACAATCACGCACGTGTACGAGGCACGTGAGGACGATGTGGAAGACGCCATCACTGCTGCAGACGAGGCTTTCAAAAGCGGGGTGTGGTCACAGGCGGACCCACTTGTGCGTGCCAACGCTCTGAACAAGCTTGCGGGCTACATCGAAGAACACAAGGACATAGTGGCGTCGATCGAGACGCTCGACAACGGGAAAGCTATCAACAGCGCCAGGGGCGATGTTCAGCTTGTCATTAACTACTTGCGGTCTTGCGCTGGATGGTGCGACAAGGTGGACGGCCGTGTGATCAATACCGGCAACACCCATTTCTCCTACACCGTCAGACAACCACTTGGTGTTTGTGGACAAATCATTCCTTGGAACTTTCCGCTCTTGATGTGGGCTTGGAAGGTCGGTCCTGCCTTGGCTACTGGTAACACGGTTGTTCTCAAGACCGCCGAATCGACTCCTCTTTCTGCTTTGTACGTTTCTCAATTTGTGCCAAAATCCGGCATTCCACCCGGAGTTGTGAACATTGTTTCTGGATTTGGTAAAATCGTTGGTGAAGCTTTGACTAACCACCCAAAGATTAAAAAAGTTGCTTTCACAGGTTCTACTGCCACCGGTCGTCACATCTATCAGAATGCCGGTCAGAACTTGAAAAAAGTCACTTTGGAATTGGGTGGTAAATCTCCAAACATTGTGTTTGCGGATGCCGACATCAAGCAAGCTGTTCAAAACGTCATTTTGGGTATCTATTACAACAGTGGTGAAGTGTGCTGCGCAGGCTCCAGAGTTTATGTGGAGGAATCTGCTCACGATGAGTTTGTGCAAGAATTGAAAGCTGCTGCTGAAGGCCTAAAGGTTGGCGATCCATTTGACGAGTCCACTTTCCAAGGTGCTCAGACTTCTCAAATGCAACTCAGCAAAATCTTGAAATACGTTGAAATCGGAAAAGAAGAGGGCGCTACTTTGGTCACTGGCGGTGAAAGACTAGGCACAAAGGGCTACTACATTCAACCTACTGTGTTTGGCAACGTCACGGAAGACATGCGCATTGTGAAGGAGGAGATTTTCGGACCTGTTGTCACGGTCAGTAAGTTCAAGACTGTTGACGAATTGATTTCGATGGCTAATGATTCCGAGTATGGCTTGGCTGCAGGCATCCACACCACCAACATCAACAAAGCTCTTGAGGTTTCTAACAAGGTCAACGCCGGCACCGTATGGGTCAACACCTTCAACGATTTCCACCATTCTGTACCATTCGGAGGTTTCAACGCTTCTGGTATTGGCAGAGAAATGGGTAGCGAGGCTTTGGAAAACTACACTCAGACCAAGGCCGTGCGCGTGAAGATCTCTTTGGAGGCGAGCCCATAAACAAGAATAGGACAACAACACCACTATTCACTTGAAACAAGTGTAAAGCGGTTGATGGCTTAAAAAATGGGACGCGATTGATATTGCGCCGCATGTATGTAACGACGATGACAATTTACATATTCAAATCTTTTCAGGACAATTTAATTCTCTTTCATGATTGCGCCATCGCGTAAATTGGGTGCTTGAGTGGCCTCTGAAACTAGAACTACTCTGGCGTATGCTGGCTTAAATTCTTCTCTTCCAAGGTGACACGCAATTCTTAAGTAGCATGGAATTGAAGATTAAAGCTCTAATACCCTCGCTCGAATTCGGTGCTTAAACAAAAAGTAATCGGTGAAGCCATTTTTCAGCTGTCCAGTGGTGGCTGCCCACCCACTCCCGTTTTATTTTGTATGTATTTTTCGTCTACTCTAAAACTACAAGTATAGATTCGGTGTACCAATCAATGTCAAGAACCAAGAAAGGAGAGAATTTAACATGACACATGAATTACATGCATTCACAATTCAATCTTCTTCCATTAATGAAATCTCCATTTCCTCTTCGTAGTCGCCATTGGATTCGATAGGAATGACTTTTCTCGACAACAGATGTGCGTGTGGGTCATCTTCCTCGGCTGAGCTTGCTATAGAAGTAGACTTGGCAGTCTGTTTTGACGATACCGAATTGCCCTTCTCAGTAGCCCGGGGTTTCTCAGTCTCCGTCTTGCTGCTACCTTCTTGGCTCATCAACATGATCTTGATGAGAATTATCGCAGTTAAGATAACTACAACAACGGCACCGATGCCAAAGACGATACCCTTCAATAGATCGTCCAGCAACATGAACTTATCAACCAAAACTTGCGTAAGCTTCTGGACAGGCCCCAAAGCTTCCTGTGAGCTCATTCTTGTTCGACTTTTATTTCACTTTTTTTCATCCCCTTAGGAGGAAGAAAGTGCTAATAATATACAAAAGATTCCAATGTCTTCAAGTTTATCGCAATCACGACAAAAAAGGCATCCGCAGCAACTTGCCGTAAAAGCGTTGACATCGTTTCCAGTAATCGGGATGCGATACGTCAAAAACTTGAAATGGCGGTTACAGTCGCCAATACAGCGAATCTTGACACTAGTCTATGATTATAGGTGGGCTTCTCAAAGCACAACTCCGAGTAATTTTTCAAGCATTTTCGAAAGTTTAAGAGATGTCTTGAGCTGTTGTAAGGAAAAGGATATATTGTAGAAGTCTTTAGCTTTCAAACATAGTCGGTGTAAAGTCGCAGTTGTTCGTTCATGGACACTGACGGCCATTCTTTTGTAGCCCGTATGGTTGTCAGCGATTTGAAAAAATTAGCTGGACTGGACTAGACAAAACCCAAGATTCTGAAATGTCAAACCCTAGTCTAGATTAGGCCTCAACATCATCGCTCAATAGACCAAATAGATTTTGGTTCGATGAAGCTGGCTTTTCCGGTTGCTCGATTTTCTCTTCGATCTCATCTTGTGAATGAGCTTCGACGTCGATATCGTTGTCCTCGTGATTAGATTCCGCCTGTTCTTTTTCCTCATTCTTCGCCAAAGCTCTTCTGATGCTTTCGTTGGTGCTTTCCCAACCAGCTTTACGAGCCGCTTGCACGTATTTGGCTCTTGCCTTTGCCTTTTCCACTTTACCGTCGAGCCTGTTGGTGATGTTCAGAGCTCTGGCCACTCTGTCGCTGTCAAGGTTTTCCAAAGCGCCCTTCTTGATGTCTTTTTTCCCCACCTTCTTCCCAGTCCTCTCTTTCTTCTTCATCTTGGCTTCCAGAAGCCTCTCGCTCTTGGATGCTGTTCTTATCAGCTTGTTGGTGACATCGAGATTCTGGGCACGAGGAAGCTGTGCCAAGGTTTGCGCTTCGGTATCGAGCGCTTCATAACGACGAGAAGCTCTCGAGTTCTTCGAGACTTTCTTACCCATGATTCAAGCTTTTACTGGGGCGTCTTGCTTGTATCTTTGGTGTTAATAGCATAGCGTTGATGCTCATCTCATCGCTACTTCGAGATTTTTCAATAATATACAACGAATACATCGTCATGTGTAAAACGAACTTTCGAATACATTTGACGTCGGCAGGAACCAACAATTGTCAAGAGATGAACTAGCAGCTTCAGACACTAACGAGGCCTTGATGGACGTTTATCAAATTTAGCTGATTTTTAGGAATCTCGAACGTCGTTTTTTGGCCAAATGGAAAGGCTATAACTGTGGGTGACAGTAAAGTGGTTTTTATCTCACCAAGGTCAAATAGAAACATCACTTATTCGTTAATGCATTATCGTTATGACTACATATTCAAATCGGTATTCATGGCTATCTTTTGATTCATACGTGATTTTGGTGTAGAGAGTAAATCCATTTGGGTTGACTACAAATATGATATTTTAAGCCCACAATAGCTATATACCGAGCCATACGATACGTCGTTATATTCCATGACAATTAGCTCTTCTTCAACGCCAGAACAAAAGATATTCGGTAACAAGATGGGTGGCAGAGGTGGCAGCGTAACATTTCTTATCGCCTGATCAAGAAGGCTTCAAAAAGGTGTCAGCGGTGATGACCTACATTTTCAAAGACTGCCTTTCTCTGCTTTGATGCATAGCGACTGTAAATAACCCAGTAGCTTTTTATGACCAGCGCTGTACCTTATGCTTCAAGAAACAGTTGAGAGTTTTGAGCTTCGCATTCAATGCAAACTTCACAAAATGGTAATGAAATAATTCGTGATCTTCGCGCTATCTTGTCGTGCAACACATATGGGTGCTTTACAGAGGGTTTTTCTTACCTGCCTTTGTCAACATGCTAGACACCGGTGCTGATATAGCATTTGGAGCTTTAGATTGAATTCTTCAGCGGATACATAAATCGGGACTCTTCGCAGTTCTTCCACTGGCGAAAACTTACTCGAAATTACCATTGTGCAAATCCCAATCAAGGTCGCATAACTGCTATAGACTACGTAAACCATGTATCTACGAAAAGCTTGAGTTGGGCTTCATGGTGTGTTTATCAAAGCATTGAGTTCGGTCCTTAATTGATTCAAGATGCACTGCGAACGCATTGACCCGTCTACTGCCTGTGTTTCTCCTGGAAGCACGCTTAAACGAAAGCTTTAGAACCACCAAACTACTTTTTATCTCATTATATAACCTGTATAATCTGCGTAGCACGTTTAGAAGACATCACCTTGGTCGAACATAGCGTCAGCGACTCTAATGAAACCCACCAAGTTAGCACCCTTGATCAAGGATGGCAGAGCTTCAGTGTTGCTCTCATTTGTGTACTCACGGGCAGTCTCCAAACAGTCGTTGAAACAGTTGACCATAATCTTCTTAAGTTCTTGGTCAACTTGTTCTCTAGTCCAGGACATTCTTTGAGAGTTCTGGGCCATTTCAAGACCGGAAACGGCGACACCACCCATGTTGGAGGCCTTACCTGGAGCGTACCAGACGGCAGGAGAAGAAGTGCTGGCAGCACGTTCACCTTCGAAAATGTGAGCAGCTTCAGCTGTGCAACCCATGTTGGACCCTTCAGCAACAAACTTAACACCAGCAGCAACCAAGGCCTTAGCTTCGTCGCCGGAAACTTCGTTCTGAGTGGCACATGGCAAAGCAACGTCGACCTTGCCGACGTGAGTCCATGGACGAGCACCAGCGATGTATTTCACCTGGCTGGAAGAGAAAGCGGAGTATTCACCGATGATTTGTTCCAAGGTCTTGAACTGGACCTTGGCACCGATGATGGCATCAATCTGCTCAGCAGTGATACCGGATTCGGTGACAATGGCACCCTTGGAGTCAGATAGCGACAAGACGGTACCGCCAAGCTCGATGACCTTCAAAGCAGCGTACTGGGCCACGTTACCAGACCCGGAGATAGCAACACGCTTACCAGCGAAAGACTCCTTGCCTCTGGTGGCAAAGTCGATCATGGCCTGGGTGTAGTACACCAAACCGTAACCGGTGGCTTCAGGTCTGATCAAAGAACCACCCCAGTTTAGACCTTTACCGGTCAAGACACCTTCCCAAGAGTTCTTGTAGGACTTGTAGGCACCGAACAAGTAGCCGACCTCACGACCACCCACACCGATGTCACCGGCTGGGACGTCGGTGTCTTGTCCGATGTGTCTGCTTAGCTCTCTCATGAACGAGTAGCAAATTCTTCTGATTTCGTTGTTGGATCTGCCCTTCAAGTCAACACACAGACCACCTTTACCACCACCTAGGGCCTGGCCAGTCAAGGCGTTTTTGAAGATCTGTTCGAAACCCAAAAATTTCAGGATCGACAAGTTCACAGTAGGGTGGAAACGTAGACCACCTTTGTATGGACCCTTGGCAGAGTTGTACTGCACTCTGTAACCGGTAGCGACTTCCTGTTCGCCGCTGTCATTTTCCCAGGCCACTCTGAATTGGATGATTCTTTCAGGAACTGACACCACTGGCAATACCTTCTTGTATTTAGGTTCTTTTTCGAACAAAGTCGAGTCTTGCAAGGAAGAGACGACTTCTTCGTAGGCCTGTTGAAATTCTGGTTCTTGAGGGAAAGACATTATTATTTTGTGTGATTGTAATGCAACTCGATGTGGAAGCACCTGAGCTGAAACCGGAAAGGAATCAACTTCTCCTGAAGCAAGCTGAAGCTATCTTGCGAGATTGTCCTGCTTTTATAGATTTCGACCTGGAGCTTGCTAGCTCAATCTACGCTGCTCAGTGGCAGAGGCGACCAAAAAGGAAAAAAATTTTCCCCGATTACCGCATCGTTCTCGCATACTGCCGGTCGGGTGCTGAATCTTCAGGTTCTGGGTTAAACCAAAAGCTGCTTCGGTTCTGGAGTCCATTAGCAGTTGGATCTTCACGGTTCAGATTGGATATATCAGAGACGTTATAGCGAACTTGACTGGGGATCACGTGACAAAATTACTTAATTCCATCATAATTAAACAAAATTTCAAGGCAAAAAATGGAACTTTTGGCTGCTTTTTCGCGCATCTTAGACCGGCGCTCAATAACGACCAATCAAATGTTTTAACGCGCTCTGATAAGCCCTGGACTCATGACCGAGAAGTAGCGTTAAAAAGCGAAAAAGTTTCTGATAGAGCCGAATGAGGCATCGATCTAATCAGTGGCCAATAAGACTGGCTAAAAAAATTAGAAAAAGGCGTTTGGAAGAAAAAAAGTAAAACGCCGGTACCGGCCAAGATCTCGCTAGAAGGAAAAGGCAATTGTAGGCGCTTTGGCTGACGCTTTGGTTGGTGGTAGATACAAACAAGATGGCGGAGCTGATGTTGGTGGTTGGTGTGTCAAGCAGCGCGGGGAAATATCATCTGTGGGAGACAAAGGAGAAAGGAAACAGACAGAAGCGGCGTAATGCGATAATGAAAAAAGTGGAACAAAAGAAAGAAATCGAATTTTTCTATATGTAGATGCAAATTTCGGGAATGAAGCGAAAGCTGAGACGAGAGGTTTGTGCGGCTGGTTCGCACGCACTTGACAATGTTAATGGAAATGGAAATGTTTTTGACTTTTTGATCACTTCAGACGGGTCTGACGCTGTCATCTGGAAAAAACGTCACTGGCGACGAAAGATACTCGGCAGACTATCGTGTGTGAGTCGTCGTTCCACCTCGTGAAGAGAGAATACTCAAATAGATTAACTTCTTTCCTTCCTTCCCAAATTCTATCTTTACTAAATTACACTATTTACTATGTCATTAGGTCATTAAAAGTCTCCAGCGCGTTGGCTATACGGTGGTCAGCTGACGTGGAGCTGAACTGCTCAAATGGTCGCCCTCTTCGTTATCTTCGGGAATCGAAACCAAAAGAAGGTCACCACCGGTGGGCTTTGTCATGCTTTCACCATGTGCAAGCGTATATGTGGCAGGTCTGCGCAGGTACGCGCTGTGTTCTACGTGCTGACGGGCTCTGGCCACATTGTCGTGATCGTACACCTGGTAGTCCTCGTCATATTCGTAGTCATCGCTGTCATCACTGCCATCGCTGTAGTCCTCGTCTTCGCTTGCGCTGTCGCTTTCACTGTCGCTGTCGCTGCTGTACTCGTAGATAGTGTGCTCAGGAGCCGCCGGCAGCGTGAATGACACGTGCGTGTTGCCGGTTACGTAATTGGGTGTTTTGTCTGTGTCGTCGCGAACGAGGTGAACAGGCTCATCGATTTCGTCGAAATTAGGCTCATCTTCTTCCAGCTCGGTATCGTCTTGAGCATCGTTGTTATGCAGAGACTCCATGACTCTGTCCAGTAGATTTGCATGGCCAACCAGTAGCCGAAGATTAAGGTCCTTTTTGCTGGATTGCGCTGCACAATTTAGCAGCTTTGTACGTGCTTTGCTCGCAAGAGCGTATCTCTCTGTAGTTGTTGTGTGCTGAGTGTAACCAATCATTGTTGTAAGCTATCTCTTGGTAATTAGTTGGGTTTCAAAAAGAGATATCTGATTCATGGATGAGACTTGAGCGAAAACTTGACTTAACTTATATGCTTGTGTATTGAAATCCGAGTTTATAAGTGACATTTGTCATTACTACCATGTTTTCGATTTCTTGCTCATCACCGAGCCTCCGCTATGGTTCCGAAATCCGTAAAACGGATATTAACTGTCAAGGCCTCCGAATCCGCTAACTAAATTTTTTTCCTCATAACTGACGGCTCGGCCATATTACAAACTCAATGCTCGTGCGGCCGAAGCGGATAATGGTGGAAAAAAAGAAGAGTCATGTGGGACGTACGAGGGAAAAGGGCCAAGGATCCGTTCTTTTCTCCGGAGCTTAGCTATTTGGCTGGAGATTACACAAAGAGCAGCAAAATACAAGCAACACCTACTGCTGAATTTACTAAGCGGCCGAATTATATGGGTGTTTGGTGCTTTCTAATAAATTTTTGAATCTGGCATCAAAGCTTTGGGTTGCATCAAACCAGTAATACGGCCCAAACGAATTTTTCGTTTGAAGCGTGAGATGCGTCACCTGCTCTTTTGGAAATATTAGTGTTGAAAGAAAAAAACGTTTCGGAGCTTCAGATGCAACGGAACCCGCGGTGGTTCCGGGGAGGAAAGAGACTTCCGCGGAAGAAGGGATGCGAGTGGAACGGAAGAAGGCAAAGGTCGATCGTTGAATGGGATGGGATGCAGGCAAAAGCCGTCAACGATTGCGGAGATGGAAATAAAACTTGCCTGGGGAAGTAAGAGCTACAGAACCTTATTTTAATTTAAAAAAAGGAACCTGCTTGGCGAATCGGTACTTAGAACATAACTTGGGCACACGTTGAATCTTGAGTTACAGGACAAGTGGGTTCCGTCTCAACTGGGACTTTTAGCACTTGGTCAAGGAGAGTATTACTTATGGCAATTACTCTAAGATACTTCTGTCTGGGACGTTGCACGAACCGAACGCACATCTATATCTTGGACAGCCATCAAAGAAACGTGTAAGTCCGCGACCAAATCCTGAACGTTTTCTAGGCCCACAGACGCCCTCATTGGTGCGCTGTTAATCTTTCGAAGCATTGAAGCATCTTTACTCAATAAGTGGTAGAACCCCTCCGAAGGATGCTGCATGTTGAAAAATGTGAAGCCTCTTTAACAGCGCAATACATTGATCCGCGGTTCGCAAGTAATTGAAATCACTGGGCTGCAACCGCTTCTGTTTTGAGTCTTGACATAGTATTCAATCTGTAAACTAGCGTGACGTACATCGGCCAACATACTCGGGACTTCAAACGCGTGCTCTTTCAAGAACTCTATTTGCGCACAGTTCATAGACTGTCGTTTGACTCTCATTTCCAAGGTCCGTAACGACCTTAAAGTAATAAGCTTTCGACATTCGGAGGCATTGTGCCCAGTGGAACGCATTCTCTCTTCAATTCCGAGCATGCTGCTCAATTTTTATGCATTTAACACCACACAGTAGATCAAAATGCCCGCCCCAGCATTTTGTTCGGGAGCGCATACAGATATCGGCGCCTAGCTCCCAAAACAAAATTGCCTTTCTGATGCACTCTGCGTTCCAGCTCTACAACATTCACTCTTTCCAAAATGGTTCAGTGGATCCTCGATATGACTCTCTCTTAAATAGACGTAGGTATGGTTGGACTCTGTGACACCTGCCCTCAAAAGCCCATTATTGTAACGGGAGTTGGTATTGATGCTACTTGGTGGCCCAACGTCCGAACCTCTGTTAAGTTGATCTTCTGCGTGGATGCAGTTGGCGTCAAAGCTAAGCATTTCAGGATTTGAAAGTTTGTAGAGTTATGCGCCAAACATTAATTTTGACTGGAAAGCTGGATTTTGATGTTGGAAGAGAATATGGAAAGTATGATGAAGTAGGTCTTCTTGATATTATACAGCTCGAGTTAAAGAACCTCAAAAACTTATCAAATGAAACCTGTGTTACCGTGTCTCAGTCTTGACTTCGCAAGAGCTCAAAATCACCTGTCTCAAACGTTATTGGGGTTAAGATCCACAATTTTACGAGAACCCTTGGTGCTTATAATGGTAAGATATCGTGAATTTCAAAATCGAAACATAAAATCACACAGTTCAAACATCATTTTGAGACGGCCTCGCTGCTGGACGTTATGTCTTTAACGGAGTTCCGGCGAAATTATGTATTTGACACGAAATTAATCACTACCAACAAAAACTGTCGACGTCTCAGCTTTTGGATTATCTGAAAGATATAAGAGTAAATAAAAACTGCACTATCTTGTTCCGCACATATTAGTAATATTTACCGCCTACCATGAAAACTGACGCCTTGACTTGATCGTCTGGACTTACTTCAGGATCTAAACTTATTTGTCTTACATTTTCCAAGACTCTAGAGCCAGCTCGAAATGGAGTCAACAACAACCACATTCGTGTCAAGTTCAAACGCCCGCATGCATTCTGTGCCCTCGTTAATGATCAGAAAGGCCTGGGTTGAATTCGCGTTAGCTTCATCACCTTTGTTCTTGCTCAGCTGTGATGCGATAGGCTTCACTCAAATGGCAGAACATTCATGAGTGTCCCCCTCTTGGAGACGATTTGAGAAGCAACAACTTTATTGGGCTGATGCTTGGGTATAATAGATTCGGGTTGGCTAAAGATATTATACTATCTATTTGGGCGCCTGAGCTCAGCTCAATGCATCCCTAGTTTCCGATACTTATCCACCATGGACCAATACATATGCTTCTGACTATTACGGAAGTATGGTCCAGCCTTCAACATTACCAAAAAGGTCATATTAGCGGCTAGGCACAAAAACGCAACACTGATGAAGCACTTTTTGTAGCCCAGGTTTGTGACCCAGTCTGTTATCCCGTAACTAACTCCGAAGGACATGCAGTTTCGAATCATGATCACTACAACCATGGCCTCTGTGTCAAGCTCCTTGTAAGTGTCCACCACGTACGTTGCAGCTGCTGCAATAGCAAAAATACCGCATCCTCCTAGAAGACCCATACCAAAAACAAGACCAAACCAGTGAACCTCGTAATAGGCGCCAACACCCCATAGTATCGCGGCAAAGCACCCTAGAACGCTGTAAATTACTAGGACCCATAGTCTATCTTCCGGCTTACTCAATCCTGTTCCCCTCCAGATTGCGATACGTACCTTCAACCAATCTGATCACATTCCTGATAGGAAGAACATTATTAAGCTGAATAAGGTCGGAGAGAGGTATGCAATTCCTACCGACGAGGCTGGAAAGTCATAAGGTTTACCTGATAAAATCAAAGCAGCTGTTCCGTTGAGAACATTGAACCAGACAAGGGAGCTACCATAGAGGAAACCTGCCCATAGAACCACCGGAAAGCGGGCCATGTAAAATGGAGCGAGAGCGTAGTGGTGCAAAAGGAATTTTTCGCGCCTTCCGCTGAAGAGAGAAAGCTTTTGCAGATACGTCTTTTTGGAATACTGAGCCGGAGCGTAGGTAGCTGAATTGACAATCTCGACATTGCTAACCTGGTTTGCAATATTCGTGTTCTCCCGATACTCATCGGTCCCTGACAAATCTTCCAAATCATCAACTTTTGCTTGATCTTTCTCTTGCATGCCATCAGAAGATCTTGGGCGGCTCATAATGGCGTCGATGTTTGTGACCACATTGCCTAACTGATGTTGTCTGGAGTTGATTGAAAGCACTTCCCCAGTGGCAGCGTCGACCTTCAACTTGCGGTCGTAATTAGTTTCTTCCATGAAGAAGAAAAGCACAACGAATGCGACTGCATTTAGAATAGCACACCACCACATTACCCATTCCCAACCCTGACCTTCCGATATGAAGCCAGCTACAAAAGGCGCTAGAAAGGATGCTGACAACAACGTTAGTCCGTACAGGGAGAGTGCAAATGCACGTTCGTGTTCGAAAAAGAGGTCACTCATTGAAATTTCAGGAAGAGATTCCACTGAAGATGCCACGAGTCCTTGTAGAATCTTAGAAGCAATCCATTCACCATTTGACTTTGTGTATGGAGGCCAAACACAAATCAAGGATGTCGCGAATATTGAGAAAAGGTACACTGGACGTTTTCCAAATTGTAGTGCCAAGGGCTGAAAAATGAGGCACCCGATTCCGAGAAACAGGAACATGTAGCCTGTACCGGCATTCAAGTCCCCGAGCGTGATATTGGTCTTCGCTTCGATGTTAGGGAGCACTGAGTAAATTGCTGCGGTAGGAATGCAGGCACAAAGAGTGTAAATTAGAACACAGGCGACGGCAGTCCACTTACGGCGTGGCGACCAATTTAGTGGATCATCGGGATCGTCTGATGGCGTAGGTATTAGCACGATTTTCTTGCCGCTGGTTCCTTGTGCGTTTTTTTCATCGAAGTCTACGAGGTGGGAGTCACCAGGGACAGCATTGAAGTCTATTGAAGTCGAAGGCATTCTATTTGATTGTCCTTGCTCTTACTATACTTAAAATATCATCTTGATTCTCTTCTTGTTCGAGCAGCTGAGGCCGCTTTTTATAGTCAACATTGATTCTTGTTGCCACGGCCAAGAGGTATTCTCTCGTAACCCGAACCAACGATTTGGGAGCATCTCGGTAGATTGATTAACCTTAATCGCGTTGAGCTCATATCGAAACTGATCCCCATCGCTATTAAGTTACCTAAAATAATCATGCTAACGTATGATGGACACAACAATGCACGTCTGGCATGCTTTTGACCAGATAACGATTTGATGTCAGCGTTTCCGAATCTCGAAAAGGTCTATCAAACGCTGTAATTTAAGTCCTCCATCAACAGATAAGCGATCGGTCATGAGACTAGTGATATCATGATAGCGACCCACACGCTCTGTGGAATTGAACAATGGTAGATTCTAATATCATTAGCAGGCACCATTTCGACTCGAATGAAAGAAGTTTTTTGGATGCCAAGCGACTTTCTAGGTGCCCATTTTCGCTCTACCAAGAATCAAAGTGCATCCTGCAACCAAAAGGTTGCTGCTGTTCAGCTGAATCGAGATTCATCAGTTTCAATCCGATATTCGATTACGATGTCTTGGTTGATGCTCCAGGTCCAGCCATTCAGTCTATAATGTCTACAAAGACCGATAAACTACATAGTCTTGTTATGATGTCCTTGCGAGCGAAGTTTATGTCGACTAAGTTGGGCCAACACAATCGCGGTTAGAGGGATAGTTAAGATCTAAAGTTCATTTACGGTAAGTTCGTCAAGGCTTGGAAAGTCGATCGAGAGCACATATGTTGCCAGTAAAACGTAGCTTGCTGTAGGTGGTAAAGTACTCGACAAATAGTTTTCACATATTTTTCAATGGGTATTTATCAAAACATTAACTTTATCACTGTGCACGTGACGTATTTATCCTAGCTAATATATCGCAGCTTTTCCTATCTGTTATCAAGCAATCGTATTGCCAAGATGCGTCGTCATTGAACACTAACCCTCATGTCTTCTTTGAATCTCTCAAGCTGGTGAGAGCTAGTTCACTTTGATGCTTTCTGGTTCATAAGCTATCCTGGAAGTTCAACACGGTGAGCTTTGGCAGTGTGTGTGATGCCGGTCATCAGATACAGAACCGGGGCCAAAAGCTTTCAAGACGATGGTATTGTGAGGCGGACCGAAAGAAGATCCAAAAACGGATGTCTTACGTGCCGTCGAAGGAGAAAGAAGTGCAACGAAGTTACACCTAAGTGCGGTGGATGTGCAAGAAATGGTCTGGAGTGCGAGTGGCCATCGCCATTCGTACACTTTGGGGCTGGTATAAAACCAGAGTTCTCGTTCGTTCATGTTTTGGAAGAACAGCTCACGACAAGAGATGCTAGCAAAAAGCTAGAACAGGAACGTGGTCAGCGGGGTTCAAGAAAGGGATGCTCTAAAAAGCATGAAAATTCCAAGGATATTACTATATCAACGAATGTGAAGCTCACTCGATCACCCAGTTTACATGATGACTTTATACAAGAGATACGACCCCAGATTTCCCGAATTCTGGGTTCAAAATTGGATTCATCCTCGTGTCTGGAGGAAAGCAGCTCGAAAAGACCAACTGAAAGCCATCAAGTGAGTTATTCGAGATTTAATACTGGCAGCTTTAACGGGGGCCAGCAACATTCAGCTTGCAAAGAGAGCGCGATAGCTACTCGGAACCCTTTGACTTCTTTTAACACCACCGAAACGCTCCCCGTCAGTTTTTACACTTACAACACTGCTGCAGACAAGTACCTTGAGATCATTGATGCTTACGACAGGGGCAAAACGTTCTCAGACATGAATCCCGAGGACGATGAAGAACTACTTTTTTACACATGCGTCAACAGAGCTATCCCCAATTTGGGCACTCAGTATACACACCCGCTCTTAACAACGTGTGCCACGTTTCTACCTCAAGTTGAAAACAGTGCGCCTCTGAGAGAAATATTTTTGTGCTACGGGGCAACATACCTGGAATGGTACGATGAAGCCAAGTTTTCAGCTCTGTCAGATGAACTCTACGAAAGCTCCAAACTGCTCATTAAAAAACAGCAGCAGGAAGCACCCAAAGAGTATTCGGAGCTTTGGCTACTTCCGTCTTTTTTGCTGCTATGTTTGCGGTGTAAAAAAGCATCTTCAGGCTCTGTGGATGAGTGCGTGAAGTGCCTTGCGGAGGCTTATTTGGTCATCAGGAATACGATCTGCACTGAACACAAAGAGCAGAATCAAATGGCAGCTGGTCTGCAGAATTTGACTTATGAAATCGAAAACAAATTTTTGTCCAAAGTTGGAGACGAACTTGTGAAAACTGATTTCGTGCTGCGGCCCTTTGAAAGAATGTTTTTGGAAAGTTTCATCTATAACTACTCTGTTGCAATTTTGTTTGCAACCGACTTAGTGGCGCTTCCTAGTCCATTTTTCATATTCAAAGAGCTGTCTCCTTTTCTTAAGCGGCCGCTCTATTACTGCTCATTCGAATGGATGAACAACCCTGTCTTGGGCCCTTCACTCGATGCATTCGAGATTTTGGCAAAAGTGTCTTATATCGCCCGGCTTCCTATGCCTCTTACTCAACAATCCGCATGGTTTCAGAAGGCCCAGCGCCTACATTCTATGGCATTCTATTACACTGGGCCGGTGCTGTCGCCAGTTTTGAGGTCTGAAGACACCCATATATATGAGAATGCGAAGGTAAGCTCCAAAGTCGGCAGCATTGTGGCAAAATCAAGCTATTTGTTGGTCTCCAAAATTTTAAAGTACGACGACTTCGACATACAGCGACCGTCGATTCAAAGGGTCCGTTGTGAGATTTTTGAGGCTTATACGTGTATCCCATCTGATAGTAAAACTTGGGGGCTTTTGATCTGGTCCCTCGTCATCACAGGCTGTTTTTCGGTAGCTTCGGGGGAGAAATACCAAATCCTAAGGTACTTGCTGAACATTGGCGAGTATCTTCATCATCAAAATGTCAGCAAGATGAGAAGTTTTTTGGAGCGGGCATGGTCACGTCCCATAGATCAGCGTCTCGATATTCTATTCGACCGTGACGAACTTTGTAACCTTGCCCCATAATGAGCTGCGCAAGCATGTTTGAGCTAACTCGTGGTAAATGTGAAATATCAACACAATTATGTGCAGAGAAGATTTATATCTGCTTTCGTATACCCAAATCAGTTCAGTTCGGCTTAGATAGTGTGTGTACAATTCTTCAAGAATCACCAGTATGGCTAAGTTACTCTTTTACGGCTTACGTGCTGATACTAGTTGGGCATGCAGGTCACTGCTAAAAATTCAAGGAAAATGCTAAGGTCGTAAAACAAGTATCCTTGGTGGGTGTTATTTCCATCTCGGCACCAGAACAACCCGAAAGTTGTCATTAGGTATGCTTAATTGCAAGACGTAGATTTGTTCTCAGCGGTACGTATCTTTCGAACTCTTGCTACCCTGTTGAAGGACTTTAAATTCTAAGCCTGTCCGTTCATCTTGATTCGAAGCCCTGTCCTAACTTCTGAACACCTCAAGTTTATTGTGCTGTTATTAAGAAAGAAAAAAGCCTTCCGGACTGTGAAGGCCCTTTTTATAGATGCTGATTGTGGAAGTTTATCGAGTGATGATGAGTCCGCTTGAAACAAGTTCAAAACTGTAAAAACTGAGACTAATGTCGATAGTTTTCTAAAGAAAGCCCTTCTGTACAGTTAGAGACGATCTTCATTGGAAACGAGTACTCGAGGAGCTTCTAAGCTTCCTCCAATAATGAATCATTGATGTAATATGAGCTTGTAAGTTGAGCATTAGAAACCCAGAGTTAAGAGTACAACTGAAAGGTATGTCAGTACCAAGAAGAAAAGCATGTGTTCCATGCTTCAAGTCTAAGGTACGATGCGATCAGAAGCGGCCTTTTTGCGCGCGATGCATTCAACGCGAAAGTCAAGACCAGTGCACTTACGCATGGCCGATTACTCAAGAGCAAAGCAATGCTTCCCAGTTGACGAAAACCGGGGCTGTCCAAGAGCGAGCGGAGGATTATGCGGGTGAGTTAGAGTTGAGTCCAATTGATGTTAGACCAGCGGTCTTTCAGTGCTCTCAAAACGAAAAACAAGGTGAAAGACGAGAAAGTGAATCTCTGAATCATTCGACGCAGCCAAATCACCAACATTCTGACACCACAATATTGGGGCCATTGGAAGTTTTGCAAAACGAGATTCCTGTACTTTTTGAGAATCTAGACCTGGTTTGCACAGTAAACTCCGATGAAATACGAAATCGATGGCTTAATGCATTCGCTCCTCCTTTAGATCAGACAGTGAAAGCATACCCACCGGGCGTTGTGGTTTTTGTTTCTCGAATGCTCAAATCGTATACCTCAATGCCGTCCCGACAGAAGGTGATGCCACCTTTTGTCCATCACCTTCAACAACGCTCGTCAGACGTTCCTGATTCATTAGCTAACTGTTTTAGTCTTCTTAAGCTTTGCGAAGGGAGACTCTCGGCCAGTGAGCCTGCTATAAAACGTTTTTTCATGCAAGAAATGGATCGATTGTACGCACAGTACGAATCCTACGATGAAGCCAATCTAGTGGCAGCTTTCCAGGCGTATCTCATCTATTCTATGACTATTTTCTTCGAATTCCGCGAAAACGAAAGCATCGGTTTGCACAATGCCATAGTTAATCTGCAAAAAATTGCCAGTGAGGTTTCTTTGCGGGGCCTTGTTTGTGCAGCTGAATTGAAAGGAATCAGACCTAAATGGGAGTCCTGGGTTTTGGCCGAGGCGAAAAGAAGGACATTATTCACAATGTACTTGTTTGATAGCGTCTTGTGTGCTCATGATAACTTGCCCACATTCCTAGCAAAGGAGCTTCAAGGCGTCTTGGCGCCCTCCCAACAAAACTTATGGGCTGCTGAGAGTAGGAAATCCTGGAATGAGCATTATAACGATTTTTTGTCAGAGTGGGGTTCTGAGGGTCCATTGCTTATTGACGAATTATGGCCCATATCGATGGAAGCATCTGAGGTACAGGTGAAAGCGAGACAAATACGAATAGATAAATGGCTTGCTGCAATTGACAACTATGGGACGATGCTTTTTGCCGTCACGTCATGCACACATGATGCTTAACAATTACTTGTCTTGTGATCAATACGCCAAGAAACCAACGCTTCAAGCCGAGCAGTTCGATAACATGGTTGCAATCCGAAAGTTTTAGTGCGTGCGGTTCGCTATAATGTGCACATTACCAAATTTTGCCGGTGGGACTGATACAGCTATGAGAAAAATGAAACTCTGCGTCAAGCAGCTCCTACTTTATGCCAGAAGAATTTCCACTAGAGTGGTGGCACACCATGCACTATTGACAACTTTATGAAGTTGCTAGTGAACCTCTTCGTCTTGTGAAAGAAGCTGTCACATGGGTGTTAGAACGCTCCGTCGCTGACATCTATGGAAATAACTATGAGGGTCGCAATGATCGATGAATTTTACAGCTTTGATTGCCACGATACGCACAGGGACTTCTATTATGACAGAAGCTTTGCTTACCAGAAACGGCCTGTGCTCATTCAGGACAGACTTTCATCAGCTTTTATCTCTTCAGTAGATAGAATGTCTGGAATTCTCATATTTTCAAATTGGCATAGGTTGAGGCATCAAAAAGCTGGAATTAGCTTTCGAAAAAAGGTGCTCGACTGTTGGCCGCCATCGAAATGGAAAAGGCCTTCGGCTGTGCAATTCCCAAGTATTCCCCCATTCATTGCAATGCTCGCAAATGCCTTCTGCGATCACATGAACGAGCGATCTAAAATTGGCTTACAAAATGATTTCGGAACTCCGAACAACTATTTTCGGAATACCGAAACTCAATAACGATCGTCTAATGCAGGTCTTGAAGCAGGTACAAGAACAGGGCCGTTGGTGCTTAAAGAATCGCTTTCGATCAAAAACTATGTTCAGTTTCCTTTGAAATGGTATTCTCTTAAGTCGTACCTAAACTTATGACATCTTCATCAGGAATTAAAGAAGAACGAACCTCGTGTGTGAAAAATGGTGAGCTCTTTAGCATATACTCCAAGCCGGAAAAAATACTGGTGGCCGCTTTGGTATCAGTAGCCGCTAGCTTTTCGGGATTTGCATCCAATATCTATTTCCCTGCTCTCCCAACGATTGCAGAAGATCTGGCGGTTTCTAATGAGCTTGTAAATTTGACGGTAACAACCTACATGATCTTTCAGGGAATCGCGCCCACTTTTTGGGGCGCAATGGCGGACGTACATGGTCGGCGTCTCGTTTATATCGGTACCCTTGCGGTGTTTCTCACAGCCTGTATTGTTCTTGCGAATACTAAAAATTATGCCACCCTCATTGTAGTTCGGTGTCTGCAAAGTTCAGGCAGCGCCAGTACAATCGCTCTTGGAGCTGGCGTTATTGGTGACATTACCGTGCGATCTGAAAGAGGAGGTTATATGGCAATGTTTCTTACAGGCTCCCTAGTCCCTGTCGCAATAGGACCAATAATAGGCGGTACGTTGTCCAAATCTCTAGGGTGGAGATGGGTTTTTTGGATTTTGGCAATATACTGTGGGGCGTTTATGCTAATTTTGATTTTGATACTACCGGAAACCCTCAGATATTTGGTGGGAAACGGCTCCACAAAAGTTGAAGGCTTCAAGAAATTTCCTCTTGTATTTTATCAATTGAGATACCAGAAACGGTCCGGAATAAAAATTCATGAGCCCGACTCCAGCCAGGCGCACACAAATAAAGTTAGTTTACTGGGCCCTTTGAAGATATTTTGTGATCAAAAAGTGCTCTTTGTGATTACTTTTCTTTCCCTGCACTACACAGTTTGGCAGATGAGTATCACAATTCTTTCAAGTCTCTTCAAAACCATTTACGGACTCGACGAAACAAAAATTGGTCTCACATTTATCGCGAATGGGATAGGTTCCATCTTGGGGACTTTGCTGACGGGAAAAATCTTGAATTTCGACTATAAAAATTACCAAGCCAAGCATGCAGATCGACCAGTGGTTATTCGTCACGTCAGACTTCGCACGGTTTGGATTTGGAGTGGAATGCAAATAGCGTCGATTATTGTCTTTGGATGGACTTTGCAGAAAAGAGTCCACATATCCGTCCCGATAATCGCTACTTTTTTCACAGGTTGGGGCGCCGTTGCAATCCAAAGCGTAGTGTCCACCTACCTCGTAGATTTATACGAAAATAAAAGTGCATCCGCGACTGCTGCATTGAATTTAGCTCGGTGTTTATTAGGAGCTGGTGGCACAGCAGTTGTTACGCCCCTCCTTGACGCTATTAGCATCGGCTGGGGCTTTACGCTCCTGGCAGCGGTTTTATTAGCCGTACTGACAGCCAACTTGTTGCATTTATACCTCAAAAAAGCTGAGCAAAACAATAAAGAAGTTGAATAAACTTCGTTTTACATGGAGGGTGTGTTGAATTACAATCAACATCTGTTTTTGAGATGTGAATACTTTCTGGCAGCGAGAGGGCTTCAATTATCATGAAAGACCAACTTCCTCTTCATTTTCGTGTCGCTGTCGTTTGAATTTGAAAATTCCAAGTAGGTCTAATTCATACAATTGTGCTCTCCATAGTGTGAGAGTGTGAGAGCACTAGCAGATATTAAAGTTCCACGTCACAATCATGGCCATTGATGATGAATGTGCTTTCGTTTCTGTTCTCTCGTTTCTGATTTACAGTTGACACATATCTCGTCAATGTGCCAAAGATTGGAAATTATGGTCATGTCATCCATTGTTCACAGACTGAGCGGTAAGAAGCTAACGTTCAAATTTCGTGAAAGTGTTGAACAATGTTATTGAGTCCGTTCATTCGCGAATTTTCAAGGTGATACGGTTTAGAATATCGAATCAGTCTGTATAAGCAATATGGACCGTGGCATTTCAAAAGTCGGCTTTGGTTTAAAAAACATTAATTTTTTTACTTTACCCAAAAAATTCAAAGTTCGAAACTTTTGCCAAAGGACGAGGAAGACGATTCATCTTGAAGTTTAATCTTCTTTCTATTTCTCTTTCGGGCCTTTTTCTAGACACACCTGAGATCTTGCGTCATTTGTTTGCACATGCAAGTGACAGTGAACAAATTGAAACTAAAACAACCACCATTATTAAGGTTCATCTCGTTACTGTCGAACAACACTCACAATTGATCTCAAGATGCAGCCCAGTGTTGCTCTTTGTAATACTCGCTCTCTTCTTGTCTGGTATTTATTGTATACTAATAAGCTACATTATATACTAATAAACTACGTGAGGTGATCTACATTGATAATTTTGGGCCTTAAGAAAGAAGAGTCTACACCAAGGCTCCGGTACGAATTAAAATAAGCTACACGCCTACAGTAGAACCACAGTAGCATTCGACATTTGAAAGCATCGAGAAATGCCAACTTCCATTTTTTTTGTCATAACGAATTTAGAAACCTCTAAAGAAAAAGCAGAGCATTTCAGAAGACACAAAATAAAAACAGCTTGTGCTTCTCAATCAGCTTGTCTCTCACGATGAAAACGTCCCATTTCTCTAGCTAAAACCGTCTCATCGATCATCATCAGAGGCTACGGCCTTTCCACGTGACCGAATCTGAAAGTAATTTAACAATAGCGCTAATTAAGTCACCTTTTCTTCAAGTGATGTTGTGGCTTTAGTTCAATGCCTTTCCTTCACAAGACACTGGCTGTGGAATTTGCCCTTACTTGTCAATTGTAACTTTCATTTCCAATGCGATGTGTATAAAAATCGAGCTCCAGCCGAGCAGAACGTATGCCATAGTCACCACAATGGGTGATTGGTTCGTCACTTTTGCCGTAACGATTGCATTGTAGAAGGGCGTAGACGATGTCATTTTCGTACGAGCCTGGGCCAACTCTGGCGACAGCATATTCAGCAATTGGCCCACAACAGGGCGTCGACGATGAACAACAGCGTGAACAACGAGATGTGGGCAAAAGCTGGGCTGAAAGACACAAGATCTTATTAGTCGAGACAGCACTTTTCACCAACGTTTTTCTGTCGGGCTTTGACAGCACTATCACGGCATCTATCTACCAGCTTATTGGGGATGAGTTTGAAAATGTCAAAATTGCAAGCTGGATCACCACCGCTTATTTGGTGACATGCACGTCCTTTCAGCCCTTATATGGATCATTTTCAGACACCTTGGGCAGACGCAAATGTATGTTTTTCGCCAACAGCATATTTGCATTGGGCTGTCTCGGGTGTGGACTGTCGACAAACATCTTCACGCTGATCTTGATGCGTGCCATCACAGGTATAGGCGGAGGCGGGCTGATCACTCTTTCGACTATCGTCAACTCGGACATCATCAGCCCTGAAAAGCGGGGTATCTACCAGTCGTTCCAAAATATTCTGGTCGGCACCGGTGCAGTCATCGGGGCTTCTAGCGGTGGAAGTATTGCAGCCATTTTTGGCTGGAAGTGGTGCTTCCTTGTTCAGGTCCCCATCTCAATAGCAGGCACTGTCTTCGCCTTTTTCTTCGTTGAAAACCAACCAAACCATGCCCATGTTGCAGGTATTGACCGGTGGAGAAAAATAGACTTTAGTGGTGCTATACTTTTGATTGTCGGACTCACAACTCAGTTGATATTTTTAACCATGATCAGTTCTACGGCCGACAATGGTCCGAGTTTTTTGAACTGGAAACTGCTCGGATTCTTGATTTTGAGTATTGCATCCTTATTGCTTTTCGCATACGTCGAGAAAACGACACCTGCCTACCCGATAATTTCGCATCATCTATTGGGAGGCTCAACGGACAGCATTTTGATCATCGGATTCTTTGTGGGTTTCGTAGCATACGCCTATCTTTTCACTTTACCACTTTACTTCCAAGTAGTGGGGGGAGATTCAGCGGCACAAGCCGGTCTTCGACTTGCTATCCCTGCATTTTGCACCCCGATTGGGGGTCTTATAATGGGAATATCTATGAAAGACACGAGTCGTTTACCCGCTCTACTGATTGGGGGAGTGGCACTAATGCTTTTCGGTAATTTATGTTTCCTTTGCATTGACCAATCGACTCCAGGCTGGCTGACTTTTCTTCTACTGATCCCTGCCAACGTTGGGCAAGGCATAACTTTCCCTTCTACCCTTTTCTCCTTTCTATTCGCATTTTCAGTCAGAAGACAAGCCACTGCCACCGCGGTGCTTTATCTCTTCCGAAGCATTGGTTGCGTTTGGGGTGTTGCGGGAAGCTCAAGTCTTGCGCAGGCCCTGGTAAATAGAGGTTTGAGAAAGGGTTTAAAGAACTCGGCTTCGGAAGAGGAAATTAGACTTCTACTTATCAAGTTGAGTCAAAACACGTCTATCATTCGCAAGCTAAAGCCCGAAGTCAGAGCAGTAGTAATAGCGAGTTACAAAACAGGTATTCGCGGTGTCTTTCTCTTATCAATTGCGCTTAGTTTTATCGCCCTCATTCTGTCAATTCGTTCCAGAGAAAAAAACACCGAAAACAAGGCGCAAAGCCTTGCAGCCCTTGAGCGTCGCATTAGTTTCTGATCCTTCTGCTCTTGCCGCTGGACGTTTCTCCGGGATAGATAGAAGCATTAGTGAGAAACTTCATACGGAGGATTCTCGCATTCATTGATTTGATAAAACATCATAGTTTATTATAATTTCGATGTCGTTATGAAATAGTGTCCAATGGATTCTTGTTTGACGGGATCACTCCTGTTGGTCGGCCGTATTTTTTACTGACACTTTAAATCAAGCGATCACCGAGAAATAAGCTATTTTGCAAGTAGACAGTGTGGAACAAAATTCCAAAAAAGTTTAGCAATTAAGGTTCACCGGCCGGGAGGAGAAAGGATTGTGAATTTGGATTCTACGCGCCAATTAATGCCCCGATTTTTACGATGTCACGAAAAGTCTTTGGAAATTTTGATTCTGCTCGTAGTAATGCTCATTGATTTTAAAAGACGTGACTTTCCTCAACAGCGTGAAGATGTGGCCGATTTGGAAATTAAGCCCTGTTTCACAAACATGTGTTCCCTCTCCTTCACGATTACGAAGCTTTGATCATACGACCATTGGACTACCTTGACCCCAGAAAGACTCCACAGCACATTGAAAGATTCAATATACAAATCAAGTAACTCTAATGGTTTTTTTCCCTTATTCTCACCAAGGTCTACCACCAACTGCACCCAAATCTATCCACAATGAAATATGATCTGGAAATACAGTCGAGATTACGTATTTTAAAGAGTTATTATATTTCCTATCGTTGTAGAACACATTAATCAACGTTAAAGAAAAAAAGGTTTCGGCCGCGTGGTGAAAAGCACTGAGATTGTTTTTCTCGAGCTGAAACTACGCTTGTACCTTTGCGTAGATGCAATGCATCAAGTACACCATTGGTGTTTGTATATTCTTGCGCATTGTTTAGCTCATTTAAGAGGCCATGCTAAAATATAATCGGCTCGAAAATAATCAGCTCGAAAAACAAATTAGCTTGAAGACAATGCATTGTTCGCTTCAAAGACATGATGACTTTTGATCAAGAAATCATAATTCTCGATATCGAAAATATCAATTGATCATGGAGAGAGGCTCCAAACATAAGGTATAAATATGAAGTTGCTCCCACGCATGGTATCCTGCCTTTTGCCAAAAAGTTGAGTACCAACACAACAACATGTCACCAAAAAAGCCCAACTTTCTGGTGATTGTAGCCGATGACCTGGGATTCACAGATGTTGGTTGTTTTGGTGGTGAAATTCACACTCCAAATCTGGACAGATTGGGTCAAGATGGCCTGAGGTTTTCAGGCTTTCACACCGCCTCTGCCTGCTCACCCACAAGATCAATGTTACTTTCGGGAACTGATAATCACTTAGCTGGTTTAGGGCAAATGGCAGAATATGCAAGGGGATTCCCCGAAAAGTTTGCCGGAAAACCAGGCTACGAGGGGTATCTGAACTTTAGAGTTGCAGCGCTGACCGAAATTTTGAGTCCTGAGTACTACACGCTGATTTCAGGCAAATGGCACTTGGGACTCGACGAACCGCATTGGCCAGATAAAAGGGGGTTTGAAAAGAGCTTCACTCTGTTGCCAGGAGCTGGGAATCACTATAAATTCGACATTGAAGAGAAGAACTTCATGCCCTTTATCTATCAGGAAAATGGTCGCCGCCTAGATGTTGAAAAAGATTTGCCAGAAGACTTTTATAGTACGGAATACTTCACCGACAAGTTTCTTGAATATCTGGACGACAATGAACAACGAGATGAGAGACCATTTCTGGGGCTTCTTACTTATACCGCTCCACATTGGCCCTTACAAGCACCTCGCGAGACAATAGAGAAATATAAAGGCCGCTATTCAGAAGGGCCTTTGGCGTTGAGACGTAGCAGATTGAGAAACGCGGCAAAGCAAGGGATAATTGAAGAAGGAGTCATACCGCATTTGGTCGAAACAAAAAATGATAAAGTGTGGGATGAACTCAATCAAGAAGATAGGGACATCTCATCTCGCATAATGGAGACATACGCTGCTATGGTAGACGAATTGGACAAAAACATTGGACGTGTACTGGACAAATTGGAGGAGACTGGTGAGCTTGATAATACGGTGATCATATTTATGTCCGATAATGGGGCAGAGGGCATGCTTCTCGAGGCCCTTCCATTTGGAGGCAAAGTTTTCGGGGATAAAATCACCCAAAAGTACGATAACAGCTATGCTAATATTGGCAATGGAAACAGTTTTGTTTTTTACGGCGACCTGTGGGCACAGGCTGCCACGGCCCCGCGGTATATGTACAAAATGTGGGCTACAGAGGGCGGAATCAACTGCCCCTTGATTTTTCACTACCCGCCACTAACGAAAGAACGGAAGTCCGGAAATGTGATTGATGAGTTCACCACTGTGATGGATATATTGCCGACGTTGCTAGAGCTAGCAGGAACACCCCACCCAGGACCACGATTTCAAGGCCGCGAGGTTCATACTCCTAGAGGCAAATCATGGCTGCCATATCTGCAAGACTCGCTGAATCGTATTCATGATGAACACACCTTGACCGGATGGGAGCTCTTTGGGCAAAGGGCTATTAGAAAAGATAATTGGAAAGCGGTTTACATCCCTGAGCCAATGGGTACGGGAGATTGGCAACTCTTCGACTTGTCGAAAGACCTTGGTGAGACCACTGATGTCAGATCCGAATACCCTGAGAAGCTCAATGACCTTGTTGAATATTGGTCAATTTATGTCGCAGAAACAGGGCTAGTGGAGATAAACGAATATCCTGAAGGTACTGAGTACAACAGAACCATTATCAAGGACGATCTATCAGAAACCTTCAGGGAGGCGGGAGCTATTTCTTAAAGTAGCTACTGAAGAAGACAACATGAGTATCACTGTTTTTTTATAACGATAGACCATACAGGGTAGAGAAGCTACACTGGGGTGTGTATCTTCACAATCCTGTCCGGCGTAATGCAGGCATGACAACATCTGTCTTCTATAACAAGCAACATTATGCTGGACCAATTGTTGAAGCTGATCATTGTCACTCCGTGGAAGACCAAGAATGCCAAGTTTTGATACGGCTATCTGAAGTTATGATGTGATCAAAATTTCCTTGTAGGATTTTGAACTAAGCGTGTATAAGTCTAGGAAAAGGGCAAGCGCCAAATGACATCGTTAAGCAGAACAGTACCACTTATGGATAGCCGGGAAGCTGTGACGAAGTAAAACCTACTATAATTGTGGGTCAACGGTAGCTGCCGGCCTGAGAATTCTTGCCAGCTTGTTTCCACCCAAATGAGAAGTTTGCTGCCAATGGCAGCTGCAAACTACACCTGGTTCCTTGACGTCGTCTCGCTGCAGAAAAGTTCTGAAAGCTAATTTTCAAGTCGCTTTGATACTTTCGCGGATATCGGAGAGTTTGCGTTTTTGTATACCGTCTTGGAAATTATCTGGGCTCAACCACTGTTCCAAAGCTTGTTTGGCCACGGGCCACTCATCCTCTACTATGGAAAACCACTGCTGGTCCCTGTTCCGGCCCTTGTAAATGGCAGATTTGCGTAAAGCCCCTTCGTACGTGAAACCCAGTCTCAAGGCGCAATTTCTGGAAGGCTCGTTGAAGGCATCGCATGTCCATTCACTTCTTCTATAATCCAAATCGTCGAAGAGGTATTTAAGCAGCAAATACTGAACCTCCGTGGAAATGACAGTACGTTGAAGTTGAGGGGAAAATATCACAAACCCAATCTCGGCGGAAGCATACTTAGTATCAATTCTTTTCAGACATATCGTTCCGCATGGTTGTCCAGTTTTGCCGTTTATAATCGCAAATGGGACGCAATGATCCATGTTTAAAAAGCACAACATAAACTCTTTATAATCATCGAGCGTTTGAAATGGTTCAATTGGCAAATAAGTCAGAAGACGGTCGACGTTAGTTTCCGAAAACGCCTCGAAGAGCTCCACACTGTGCTTTTCCACACTTAGAGGCTCTAATCTGCAATGACGGCCCTGCAAGGTGATTCGTTGAGGAGATTGTCTTTCCGCGCAGTTCAGAACATTATCGTCAACTACTTGACCGTAAATGTTTGTTTGAACCATTCGTGAGCAACCAATCAACAAAATTAATGAAGCGTGAGCTGTTGTTGTTGCCAAGACTGAGAGATCTGCCTATTAATATGTCAGATGCCAATTGATGCTGAGTCATAAAACCTTTTTGAAAGGCAGCAAATCAATCGGGCAAAACACTGTTTAAGCAATGTTCTTATCCATGTTCAGTTAAACAGATACTGTGACGGCGCATGTGATGATGAGAATGACTCATCCGAAGAATCTTGCCGAACTTATTTCTATGATATCCCTATCTTTCGAGTTCATCTCTTTGATTGAGTGTCAGATTGGTAGCAGAGTGATCGGACTGATGTGATTGGTGACAGCGTCAGGGTAGATTAAGAGTTAGCTTTGAGCACCCTTGCCCTGAACTTTTTAGCACCTATGATGCAGCGAGAAACATGTGGTACCACTAGGTTTGATTACACTACTTCCGAAATGGTCTCATCAATGGCGTTGTGATCATGTAGATAATGGATTTTTCAAAAAGATTACATGAATTTGTAGTTTTTGAATCAGATGATGGTTTTCAGCTTAGTATTTACAACATGCCAGCTATCTAAGCTAGAATCAGATAAAAACCATGAAAACGTCACCAGCTTTTCCTGATCTGAACTTCAAACTTTCCTACTCTATAAGTTTCATTGCTAAACCTTCTGCTCACCTCCAAACTGCATTCTCAACGAGACAAAAGGCGTCAAACTGGCCCTTATTAGGCGTACTATCCAAAAGACAGAGCCGGGGCTATGTTTATAATTACAGATCAAAGCCACCGATCCGATGCCATCCTATCCCACCTCCGGGAATAATCATTAATGTGAGACCTCTCAATCCAGCGTATTTTCTTGAAATTAACTTTCCATTCTGATCATAAGAGTTCCTTCACGTACCTCATTTCCTACATCAACCAGCACTGAATTCTCCTCAAGAGGGAGATCACTATCTCAGTAAGGATATCCGCAGTGGGCACAATGGCACATTCCTTCGTAAGCATTATTAGCGAGGTAAATTCCGAACATCACAAATCCACACATTTGAAATGCTTGAGAATTTGAATCTTTCAGTATATGATGATAAGACGCTCAAGGAACCTGGCACGAATCCGAAAATTGAATGGGGGTCCTGGAAATGGTACCGAGTACGAGCTCAAGCCCAAGGACAAGAAAGGATTGCATGCTAAATACGCCAATGAGATTTCAAATGATACAGTTCTCGACCATTAGCGGTTCCTGTTGCGGAGAGAATGCGCGAATCATCGAAAAAATAAAGAAGTGTACATATCGAATTCGCTACAAATTTCAGAGCCTATGGCAATCAATCATTTAGATTGTTATTGTTTTAATTTTTACCGTTTCGCGTGTTTTTGACATATCATTATGGATCCCAGAGTGGATCCCAAATTGTGAAAATCGGGTACTTTTCGGATACTTCTCTCGTGACTAATGATCCCAATTTATGTTCAAGAGTCACTTACCCGGACGTCAATTGGGATCCACTATACATGTTTGTCGTTAATTAGCGAACCTTCTTTGTACTTGACGACGTGAATCGTAGTCTAAAAAGCCCGATTCGTCCTCCGTTCGGCTCAAAACTATGAAAAAACTACTGTTCTAGGATACCTTGTTCTTGGTATTTGGTCCTCTTCCCGACTGATCGTTGACTCCTTATGTTTAGAGAGTCCATTGGTGGTCGTAAACGATCGCAATTGCCATCGTAGGAAGGTGATGATCTTCGGTACTTCCAACGATACATAGGTTGACATGATAGTTGATTTTCACACAGCCAGCTTATTTTGCCATAACTGCACCGGGTGCTGACGATTTGCGGGAATTACATCGGGCTATTGTTGTCGAAGCAATCTTTTCTTAGATGCTATACAGACCTACTAACAGACAACGACTGTGCCCGTGGTGAGTAGGAGCAAAACTCATTCCGCACCGAGCCTGATGACTGCACCCCTCGCTCAAGGTACTTTCCGGACTTGGCTTTCGACCATCTCTTTACAGGAACCGAGGGACGACGCTGCTGGCTTTACGTTTGTTTACAAATCGAATCGTATCTCCACGAGGCATATGCTGCGAGACTTTATCGTTTTCATGAGTATCACCCACCAACACTATACGTGCTTGACAGGTATATCGAATGCTTCTGCAAAAAGACAGCCGCAAATCCTGATTTTCGTGAAAGCGAGCTTCAACTTCCTTGCAGGACTCCGAGTATTAGCCGTATGGCCAAGCCGTATGGCCCTGCACTTTCTGCGCATGGTCCTTCATAAAGGATGACGTGCCATCTCGTATTGAACACGCTTTTCAAATTGCCTTTAGCGATAATTGCCTACTCTGAATTGCCTATGAGTTTTCGAGTTCCCCGAGTCCTACCGAGCGGCGATAAAGGTTATTTTACGCAGAAGCCACAAATTCTATGCAGCTTCTCTCGTATTCCGAAGCATCGACATGAATTAAGGAGGCGTTCATTTGGAGAAGAGTAAATCCGCCAAGAATGTTGATACCTGTTTAAGGCCCAAGGGAAGTAAAGTGCATCAAGCTTTGTTCGAAGGTGGAAGTTACAGTGCGGCTATACTGCTACCCGAAGATGTCAGCAATCGCAAGATGGAGATATGTGCCTACCAGATCTCGAAATGGGTTCCAAGCAGGTCAGACAAAAAGTTCAAAATACTACCGGGTATATTCCATTTTTAGAAAGATTTTCATCTTCTAGAGCAAAATGGCAAACAAGATAACACCTCCTATTACACAACTTTCTGAAGCGGCTTCATGCAAGTCAGAAGATGCAAATAGACGACTATCAGGTCGTGCACCTAATCAGGACTAAACTGGCCAAGCCTGTTTAAGGAAACTTTAGCTCCGTTTTTGTCGGGGCGTCTTTTCCCGGATCTTCCCGAGCTTTAAACTTCTTCTTCAGTTTTATCTGAAATATCACCGGGTTCATAGACTCCCGGGCGTTAAAACTCCGTCCGGATTTTCACGGAAATAAAACTGCGACAAAAAGGCTCATAAACTACGAACCACTTTATGCAAGTATGCATGTTATGCACGCCCAAAGCAGTGCCTGCATGCGCTCGGGGTTGGGCAAATCCCGAGATGGCTTTTGCAGTACATGGTTTTTCCGGAAACGTTACCTATTCGTTAGCTTTTCGAGAAAACAAGCGAGTCTTCTGTGCATCTGTGTTTGGTAAATAGGCTCTCGAGCTTGGCACGCTCATTCACCAAACCAAAACCCTTTTCAGAAATTATAAATAGTGCCCTGAATATCGGAGATCTGGCTCCTTCGATATCGCATTCCTTCTAAAATCCCCAATAGCAGAACATCACGGCAGGCACTATGAGGAACCCTATTCCCAAGATGTCTCTGCTGACTGTTTTTATACAGCTTCTGGTTTTTTTGCGAGTTGCAACAGCTGATGGCCAACTTGTTTGCTTACCTTCAGGTGACAGCACCCAAGGTTTTCGCGCGCGCCTCTACTCTTATAAGATACACGACCTTACTGCTGCGTATGACCGCCAATACCTATTGTCTGATTACAAAACAAAGGCTTCCTTGCTAAAGGAGTGGTATGGGGTCACTGATCCAAACTTCGGTACTTCGGGCGCTAGCGCCGGCTTGTATTACGGAGATTTATACGGCCAGACCGTCACGCTATCGAATTTCACCTTGGAGCTGCTTGGTTATTTCAAAGCTCCGCAGTCGGGCACTTACACTTTGACAAATGGTGGTATGGATGACGGCGGTCTCATTCTCTTTGACAACAAAGGTGCTTTCCAATGCTGCAATTCAGATGTTGTGTCTAGTAACCAGTCAGACATCACAATAGACTCTTTTGCTAGCAATCAGGCCGCACAATCCGTTAAAGTCGATCTTACTGAGGGATTCTATTATCCTTTCCGCATATCATATGCCAACGCACAGGGAAACAGAAAACTGCAAGTTCTCATGACTTATCCCGATGGAATTGTGCATAACACTTTCGAAGATGTGTCTTATTTCAGCGACTCTAAGTCAGATCAGTCGTGTGATGCTATTTTGACAACAGTTACTTACACAGGAACTTCAACCTTAACTTCAACAAATTCGGGAGGCCCCACAAAAACAATCGTTGTCAGTGTTCCATTTTCCACCAGTACAAGCACCTGGACGGGTTCAGATTCTTCGACTTCATATCTCACTGGTACTCAGGGCTCAACCACAGGCGTCGAAGTTTTTGTCCCTACTCCTGCCACCGTAACAAGCACCTCGAGATGGACAGGTAGTGCTACCTCGACTTCGTATGTCACGAATTCCGCGAATTCTACAACGGAAGTAGTAGTGTACATTCCAACGCCTACAGCTACTAAGGCCTGGACTGGACAAGCTTCTTCAACTTCATACTTGACAAACTCTCAAGGTGCCACCACCGAAGTGTATGTGTTAACGCCCACTACAAAAGCATCCACAACCGTTAAAACTTGGACCGGGACCAATAACCTCATCACACCTTTGACAAACTCTGCCGGCCAGACTACAGTAGTTGAGATTTTGGTCCCAGCTCAAACGAGCACAACGACATGGACCGGCTCCACTCCTCAAACTTCTGTCTTCTCTAATTCTGCAGGCGATATAACCGGAGTTGAAGTTTACCTCCCGGTCACTAAGCAGAATAAAACCTCGGCAACTCCTTGGACTGGCAGCGTCACCACCACGTATTCCACTTCGCTTTTCACCACAACCGGCACGGACAACGAGGTGACCATCGACACGTTGTACTATGTTAGAACACCGGTCGGAACCACTACTGTGTACACCGGCGGTTCCTTTTCAGCAACCTCTACATATTCAACTGGTCGTACTACATTTACGGGATCGGACGGTCAGCCAACAGTCGACACTGTTTACTACGTGAGAACTCCTAATGCAGTCACCACTGCATACACTGGTGGTAACGTTACTGCTGCAACCACATATTCTACTGGTGCTACGACTTTCACTGGGTCTGATGGAAAGCCAACGACGGAAACTGTATATTTTGTCGAAACCCCAGCCGTTGTTAGAACGGAATACACTGCTGGTAGTGTAACCGCTGCGACCACCTACTCTACTGGTGCAACCACATTCACTGGCTCCGATGGTGAGCCTATTACTGCAACCGTCTACTATGTCGAGACACCAGCTGCAGTCACCACCGCTTACACGGCTGGCAACGTTTCGGATGCGACCACCTACTCCACTGGTGCCACCACGTTCACTGGATCTGATGGCGAACCTACTACTGCAACAGTCTACTTTGTCGAAACCCCAGCCGTTGTTAGAACGGAATACACTGCTGGTAGTGTAACCGCTGCGACCACCTACTCTACTGGTGCAACCACATTCACTGGCTCCGATGGTGAGCCTATTACTGCAACCGTCTACTATGTCGAGACACCAGCTGCAGTCACCACCGCTTACACGGCTGGCAACGTTTCGGATGCGACCACCTACTCCACTGGTGCTACCACGTTCACTGGATCTGACGGCGAACCTACTACTGCAACAGTCTACTACGTCGAGACACCAGCTGCAGTCACCACCGCTTACAGTGCTGGAAGCGTGTCCGCTGATACAACCTACTCTACTGGTGCCACCACATTCACTGGATCTGATGGTAAGGCAACAACCCAGACTATCTACTACGTCGAGACACCAGCTGCAGTAACCACCGCTTACACTGCTGACAATGTTTCAGCTGCAACCACCTTCTCCACCGGTGCTACCACGTTCACTGGATCCGACGGCAAGCCAACAACTCAGACTATCTACTATGTCGAGACACCAGCTGCAGTAACCACCGCTTACAGCGCTGGTAGTGTAACCGCTGCGACCACCTACTCTACCGGTGCTACCACGTTCACTGGATCTGATGGCAAGCCAACAACTCAGACTATTTACTATGTCGAGACACCAGCAGCAGTCACCACCGCTTACAGCGCTGGTAGTGTTTCAGCTGCGACCACCTTCTCCACTGGTGCCACTACATTCACCGGATCTGACGGCAAGCCTACTACTCAAACCGTGTACTATGTCGAGACACCAGCTGCAGTAACCACCGCTTACACTGCTGGCAATGTTTCAGCTGCAACCACCTTCTCCACTGGTGCTACCACGTTCACTGGATCTGACGGCAAGCCAACAACTCAGACTATCTACTATGTCGAGACACCAGCTGCAGTCACCACCGCTTACAGTGCCGGAAGCGTGTCCGCTGATACAACCTACTCTACTGGTGCCACCACATTCACTGGATCTGATGGTAAGCCAACAACCCAGACTATCTACTACGTGGAAACACCAGCTGCAGTAACCACCGCTTACACGGCTGGCAATGTTTCAGCTGCAACCACCTTCTCCACTGGTGCCACCACGTTCACTGGATCTGATGGTAAGCCTACTACTCAAACCGTGTACTATGTCGAGACACCAGCCGCAGTAACCACCGCTTACAGCGCTGGTAGTGTAACCGCTGCGACCACCTACTCTACTGGTGCCACCACGTTCACTGGATCTGATGGTAAGCCAACTACTCAGACTATCTACTATGTCGAGACACCAGCTGCAGTCACCACCGCTTACAGCGCTGGCAGTGTAACCGCTGCGACCACCTACTCTACTGGTGCCACCACGTTCACTGGATCTGATGGTAAGCCATCTACTCAGACTATCTACTATGTCGAGACACCAGCTGCAGTTACCACCGCTTACAGCGCTGGTAGTGTTTCAGTTGCTACTACCTACTCCACTGGTGCCACTACATTCACTGGATCTGATGGTAAGCCAAGTACTCAAATCGTGTACTTTGTTGAAACACCAGCTGCAGTAACCACCGCTTACACGGCTGGCAGTGTATCGGTAGCAACCACGTATTCTACTGGTGCCACCACATTCACTGGATCTGATGGTAAGCCAAGTACTCAAATCGTGTACTTTGTTGAAACACCAGCTGCAGTCACCACCGCTTACAGCGCTGGCAGTGTTTCAGTTGCTACTACCTACTCCACTGGTGCTACCACGTTCACTGGATCTGACGGCAAGCCAACTACTCAAACCGTGTACTATGTCGAGACACCAGCTGCAGTCACCACCGCTTACAGCGCTGGTAGTGTTTCAGTTGCTACTACCTTCTCTACTGGTGCCACCACTTTCACTGGATCTGACGGCAAGCCAACTACTCAAACCGTATACTATGTTGAGACACCATCTAGTGGCTCTGACGTGTACACACCATGGACCGGTAGCTTCACTTCTACCTACTCCACTGCTTTGAGCACTTACACTGGATCCGATGGCAAGCCAACGACCCAGACTGTATACTATGTTGAGACTCCATCGAGCGGCTCTGACGTGTACACACCATGGACCGGCAGCTTCACATCCACGTACTCCACTGCTTTGAGCACCTACACTGGATCTGACGGCAAGCCAACAACCCAAACCGTCTACTACGTAGAGACACCGGCTTTGGAGTCCTCTGTGTTCACAAGATGGACTGGTCACTTCACCAGCACATACTCGACCAGTTTTGCGACTTTTACCGACTCAGATGGTCTTGCTCATACGCAAACGGTATACTACATCGAAACTCCGGTAGCTGCGTTTTACGGCAACTCATCTAGTTACACCGGCCCAACGCGCTCTCCAGGAAGCACAATGAAACCAGTTACATCATCTGGTTTGCCGGCAATTACAAAATCCAGCGCCACCACTAGCCACACATTGTCGCCTTCTTTCGTTCCCTCATTATCCAGTTCCCAACCAGGTTCGGTTATGAGCAGTTCAACTGGTTCTGCCCCTAACTCTTTGAGTCCCGGTTTTGGTTCAGGTTCTTCATCGAGTTCCTTAACTCCTAGTTATTCATTGTCAGGATCCAGTGCTAATGTTGTCCCAACTTCGGGCTCGAACTCTGGCTCTGGTACCAACCCTGGTTCCAACTCTGGGTCCAACTCTGGTTCTGGCTCCAACCCTGGTTCCAGCTCTGGATCTGGCTCTAGCTCCGGCCCTGGCGCCAACTCTGGTTCCGGCTCTGGTTCCAACTCTGGTTCCGGCTTTGGTTCTGGCTCCGGATCTGGCTCTGGTTCCAACTCTGGGTCCAACTCTGGTTCTGGCTCTGGTTCTGGCTCCGGATCTGGCTCTGGTTCCAACTCTGGTTCCAACTCTGGTTCCAACTCTGGTTCCAACTCTGGTTCCAACTCTGGTTCTGGCTCTGGCTCCGGCTCTACTTCCAAGCTATCACAAGCAACAACGATTGTTCCCGAAACTGAAGCTTCAAGTTCCGCGGTCAGTACTTCTTCTACCAGAGCTGGGTCCACAGACTCGCCAAAAGTTTCGATCTATGACGGCGCGGCCAGCAGGATTGGCTTCAGCCTCTTATTCATGCTGCCTTTAGCCCTCATCTAAGGGCACAGATACCATATTCAAAGATACCCGGTGTTTTCAGCAAGACTGAATGCGTTTTGCAAAGCACCAAAGCAGAAGATACATAAACTTACATCCTAGGCAGGAAAGACTATCCAAATATTGAATTCAAACATAGTATTCTTAATCGAGCTGGTAATAAAACGACTTTTTTGGCGTGGTCGCGTCGCAGCAAAATCTGGGTTGAACTACGGTAGCCGGGAACATGTAAACAGCTTTTGATTGTTACAAAAAGCGAGTCAAAAAGCATTCTGTAAGCAAAAATTGGAGAAGCGCCAAAGACGTCTGTGTCTCCGTTTAAAGCAGCATTCTCGATTGTTCTTCATCTCGTCCACTCAATGCTCGCATATGTTCTTCTGCTGCTTCCACTCAAGTAGTGACGGTCTCGAGCGACGACGACAACATATAGTCCAGAAGTGCGTTGTTTGTAGCATCGATGCCACTAAAACACTTGATAAAGTAATCGAGATCATCGAAGTGGGTGAAGTGCCTGATTGCAAAGTTCGGAGTTAGTTTTTACAACAACAGTTCAAGAGTCTTAGTTTTAATTTCATTGATTATAGTTGTCCCATCAAAGAAGTATGACATGGTGCCTCAACTATTGTTTTTTCGGGGTCGCTCAATGAACTTGCATTTTGCACTCTTGTTATTCATAGCCTTCGGAGTTTCATTGCAAAACGGTGAGCGGCAAAGCACACCACGCGAGAAGAAAATTCGTAGCTGCAGGAGCACGAATGCTTCAAATAAAAATCTTACGTGGTCAATACTTTGATTACTCTTCAAAACTACTTTTTAGTAGCCGATTACAGCTGCAGTCTTGCCTCTAATTGTACCAAACGGTGCCAAAATAGAAAGCTTTGGGCATTTTTTGCACAAGTTCGAGCTTACACTTGGTACGCCAAATAGGCCCAGGGAGGTTTATAGTCTCAGAAAGAGTCTCAATTTCATAGGTACATTTAGATGCTTTTTCAAAGGTCATAACGGTAAGATAACAATCTTGCTTTGACACAGGTGTTGAGATCAAGTTTTCAAAAAGCTCAAATTGTATGAGCCCATGCCGCAGGTCACCTCAAATCTTAATCGGGAAGAGGAGCCATACGCCTTGAGTGCCCAGACATTGCCACTTTCTGGTTGGGCCATGGTTAGACACCGTGACACAGTAGTTCAAAGGTGTGAAAAAGGGCTTTCTCATCGAAATGTAAAAGTCTTAAGCTGGTGAACGCATGAAGATACGCCAAACAAAGGTGGGCCAATTGGCCACAGCGATGCCGAGAATGACATGAAGGCGCACTGGAGTCAATTACAGGTAACATAGGGGCGAAAAAGGTTCGCCTCTAGCGTTAAGTATGTTCCCGATTAGTCGAAAACACCGGCTTGAGAAACTCACCGGGCAACTTTATTGATAAACAGATACTCACACAGTTCAATCGAGCTATTGACCAAGAAGTGTGCTTCAATCATTCTTCCTGGGGAAATAGCTATTTGAATTCGGAGGGAAACGGTGCGTCGACTATTGACGCAAGCGGTAACAAGGATTCCGATCGCGCATTCTAATGGAGAGACTGACAGTACCCGCTGTGATGGTTCGATTCATACAAGGAGAATCTGGCAGTAACTAAAGGACTCTTGTTAGCTCACTAATGAGACAAATCGATGGGAAAGGAAGAGAATCGATGTGATCAGAGAAACAAAACTAAAAGAACATATCATGACGGTGTACTCGATCTAGAACGGAGGAGCAATTGTCAGAAGCCAAAAATCATTGAGCTAAAATCGATTGCGAGACTGCGGTTAGTAAGGACTGCGCTAATTTGGGCGCAGTTAAGTCGCTAGAGCATTTGTAGAACCGATCGAATTGCACACTAATTAGCATCAGGTTGGATGGCCTTTAGTGATCTAAGCGCCCTCGAAGTATGGTGGTGATACCTTCGATTGAGTGCTCATACTGAAGCCGCTTTCTAGCGTTTGAACAGAACAAACAGTTTCCATCTTCTTACTAGTGCGGGCCTTCAGCAGTAGATTATCTGCAATGAGAGTGCTCTATAATTTATGCAGTAGCGGTGAAACGGAAATAGTGCCGTCAACACCACAGGGCTTTTTGATTTCACTTTCATCAATGGAAAGTTTGGTTTCTCTGAAAACATAAAGAGTCCTGTTTGGAAGGCCGTCGTCTTCACCGTTGTGTCAAAATTCGATGAAAACTACGACTTATACAGGAGCAACGACCTATAATTCGTTGCTGCGTTCTTGGATCCGAGTATCAAGATTGACTATTTCATCTAGCTTTAGAGTGAGGAAGATGGCGGGGAGCATTTTCGGAGCGTGGAAGAATATGTCAAAAATGACCTCAAACAATGCCAACCCAAGACACATTCGTGTTCTCATACTTTACCTTAGCCTGTGAACACCAAACGCGTTGTCAAGTTCTCAAGACCAATATTGCGTCTTAGGCAACCACGAGAGAGGGTCTTTAAAGTTCTGGAAGAAAGGGAGAATTATAAGGCTGATACCAAGTTATCCTCATACTTCTTATAGATGTTTTGAAATTGTGGTATTTCCGACGTCTGGTCAACCCTCATTTGATTCCGCTGGCTATATCCATGATATAAACGGAGTTTAGCACTTGCGGCATTGAACGTACGATCTCTATCAGTAAAAAATTAATGAGAAGCGACCGCAGAAGTCTTGGAAGCGCTAATGCCAGAAGAATTCTGATCTTGAGAGACAGCTTTCTCAATTTTGGCATTTACGGCAAGGGTCTCCTGCTATGAGGACCAAGCGAAACTGATGAATCCATTAATAAAATCTCCGATGAAGACCCATTTGAGAACGATGATGATGACGATCTTGATAGACGCTTGGCACTCGAGTCAGCATGTTGACCTGTATGCAGCCTGATTATTAGTTTACAATTTCGTCTTCAGTCCATAACTTTTTCAGCCTAGAGGATAAGAAATCATCACTGCTTTCAATTATTTAGATAATGCAGGGTCTTATCAACCCGTTTACGACGCAGTCTTCGATTAATGAAACCCGCTCCAGGGTCTATAAACATCTACTTATCACTAACCAGAATACCTGCTCCGTAAAAAACCACAGCCCGCTTAGGACCCGTAGGTTGTAACTTGGGTTGTAAAGTTTTGATCCGGAGTAACTCGTTGGACAGCACTGCTGTCAGTAGAGGAATCCACGCCCGTATTCGAGGATGTAATTCGCGAACCCTGGATGCGTGGTCAATAAAGCCATATTTGCCGGATCCGTACACAACTCTGGATGATTTGCGCTTTTACCGGAAATGGGTTTTGGAATCTTCTTATTATCGAAAAATGGATCTCGAAAGATTATAATCGCTGATCCGGCCGAATTTGCAACCGCTCAGATAGCACAGTCTGCTCTCTCGGATAGTGAAAAAAAACTGACTATCGTTTGCAGAGGTGAAATTCCCTTCGATTTCCTTCCTCTTCTTCTTAATTTTCTTGAATACGTCAATGATGTAAGATTCGGTTCTCGTAGTTGTTTCAATTGTGTCTATCCCAATTTATTTTTCAATACAGTCTAGAAGAAAGCTGCGATTGTTATGACCGCCGGCGTAAGGGTGACAAGATTCTTTTACTACCTCACACCCCTCAAAGTCTAGACCAAAATTCTTACTCTGTTCAAGCATCAAATGTCCTGATGACATTAGAGTGCGCCAACCACCAGGCTGATAGTTATTCATATCTAGCGTTCCCAAGGTATGTCCGAAAGATGAAAATATGTAGCCTGAGTTTTCATAAGCCATCCGTTGAGCGAATTTAACCTAGACTATTGTCACGCCTGTGATGAGACGCAACACTTGTCTGGTTGCCATCATAATGGGTTAAAGAGAAATTAGAGCTTTTTGTCCCTATATTAGCAGCGAGAACGTAGATTGGGATACCATCAAGTTCTCAAGTCATATTTGCAAAATTGCATAATTGCTGTCGCGAATAAAATATGCCTTGTCGCGGCCAAGTTGAGAGTCATATGGCCTTCTTGCTACCCATGAAGCGCTCATAAGGAGTCGCGGTTGCTGACTCTTTGCACTTCGTTACTTATTGCAACCACAGTAGTTGTAATTGCGGCGCCTGTCATCAAAAGAGCCGAGGTAGCAGAGAGGGCACAACGCCTGGCCCCGTAGCGTAACCCTCCGTCGTCATCATAACAGTTTTTGAAAAACGTATTCCAAGAGTTGATGGCGGCTCCGATTATTATCAGAGCTGCTCCAGCCCCTAACAACCGGGTCTTCTTGTCAATATCATGAGTTACACTCATATCTGTTATCTTTTGACCCGCATCATAAAGGCAGGATAATGAAAAGTTACTGTTGTTGCAACGTTGCTGGGGCCAGTGCTCGGCATCCATCGTGGCTATGCAGGTCTCATTATCGCCACACAAAGACGCTATACAACTACGAGAAAGCCTTGAAATAACATCATTGCTCAAATTGCGGATAAGGCGCGTCTGAAATTCCACATGCTGCGTGACATATACTAAAGTGGCGAGATTCAGAATGAGTAAGATGAAAGTAGAAATACTAATGCAAAGCTGCACAGGACTGATTATGCGCTGACTATTCTTCCCCTTCATTTTTTTTTCAGTATTATCTTGAGGGCTTCTAAAGAATGGGAAAGACCTTGCCTATTTATACAATTCCGAAATTAATCATTCTGGTTTGTGACCTGCTTTCAATTAATTCGACGTGATATGGGCTCGAAAGTGCTTATATCCGATGTGAGACTAAAGCCAGTCCCTAAGTCCTGCCATCGTAATGTTCCGTGCCTATCCTGCATGCTACCTGCGTGCCAAGACCCTCGCTTTTGAGTCAGATGCTACGGAGGAGTGACATAATCAAAGCTCATTTTTGGTTAAAGACTTACATGAGCGGGTCATACATACCCAGTATTTGAGAAGCTCTTTCATTGGCACTTTAGAGATCAACAGTAGAGAAACTTTCCTCAGATGTGAGATGTTCTTGACTCGATCAAACTTCTATCCACAAGTTCGAACAGTCTCTTCACTTTTTCTCTGGGTGGTTTATATGGGCTGAGAATCCCACGACATCGGGTTCGATATCCTCACGTAGCGCAAGTGAAGGAATCTCATAATCGCCGAAGTTTTGTCTACGGTAAGGAATAGGTTCAGTGGACTCAAGAGTGCGCATACGCTCACGCAGTTCCGCCGTGACTGCCTCTAGCTTCTCGGGATACATCTTGTGGGAACGATAGACCGCAAAAGGAGGAAGCACGGTAAAGTCAGGATAGAAAAGCACTCCGTGGTTAATAGGAAAGAGCAAATCGTCAAGAGGCCCGTTAATTCCACGATCCCCGTAATGCTCCTTCCATCCACCTATTGTGACGCAAAGCATTGCACGCTTACCAACAAATTTTCCCTCACCATAGCGTTCGCCCCACCGGTGGTCACTGTGTTCCCCAACACCGTAAGCTAGTCCGCAAGAATAGACACGTTCTACCCATCCCTTTAGAATAGCGGGCATCGAAAACCACCATAATGGGAAATGTAACAACAAGGTGTCAGCCCATAACAGCTTTTCCTGCTCTAGCTTGACATCCTCGGTCAGATTGTCTTGTTCGTAAGCCTCACTGGAGAGACTCACCACCGATAATTTATCATTCTCCGAAACCTGTTTGAAATCCGAACGGTCAATTGCAGCCTTCCATTTTTGAGCATATAGGTCTGTGATTTTTACCTCGTGGCCCTGAGATTTGAGTTCTTCGACTGCAACGTCCTTCAAGTGCGCGGTAAGCGACTGAGGCTCGGGATGAGCAAATACGATCAGCACTTTCATATTGTTGAACGATGACTATGAGCTGTTTTTATAGAAAAGAATGACAGTTGCACGTCTAACAACACACACTGTGAAGCATGCCTAAGAATACCTCAGGCAGTGCCTTATTGAGTTCTTAAGTAGCCCATACTGACACAGCTCAAAGCTGAGTAATCGAACAGCGGAATTAAGCGGCCGCGCCAAGTTGGCTTGCCGCTAAAGAGCTTGAAACTTCGTTGCTAGATTGTCAACAAATGTTCAGGCCTAGGAAAAATCAACTGCGTTACTGTAAGTCCTGCTGAGGTGAATTAGTAATGTTAAAATGTGATAAAAGCTCTTGGAGCGTAAACGAGAAGTTTATTTGACACTGCAAACATTATACGGCCGAATGTTATGTCCGTAGTGCACACAGTTCATTCAAGCTGCTTGGTTTTCGTGAGGCCATCAAAGGTGGAATCCCTGGAGGTCAATGTAATAGGATATCACCTCCGGGCAACAAAAGTAGTGAGCTTAAACATAACAGTTTTTCCCTATCCCGCTAAAAAGCCAGAGTGATGCGGCAGGCAATTGGTTCAGCACTTATCTGTGGTTTCACATTGGCGAATGCAACGGCGGGGCCACTTAAGCAGCCTAAGTGTGAATTTACGCTTCCTCGTGCATCCTGGGAGGCGGTTTAAAGGTGAAGAGACACGAGCAGAATTGATATTTCAAATGCGGGAAAACCTTGCCCTTCATTGATTGCCGATCCAATGTTTTGAATCTACAATGGTCTCTCTCCAAGTATCACCGCTTCCGATGTTGAGGTAGGTATTGACTAATGCGTTTAAGCACGACGGACGTGATTGAGTCCTTGAAAAGCTCGATACTGAAAACCAAGGTTTTAGAATGAAATCTCCATCAGGGATTATTCTTTTCAATGGAGTTAGAGTTTTAGGTACAAGCTATTGTGATGGAGACTGTCGAGTTTTACTGAAAGAAACATACTTGAAAGATGAAGTTCATTACAGACGTCACATGCTCATTGCGACTAACGTGCATCGGTGGATCTTTTAGCTATAAGTTGATTCTAAGTATTATGCATTACCGATGTGGTAAACTAGAGGGATGAGCTAGAGCTTTTTACCCAGTGTCTCCATTTCCGACCGTCCCATTCAAGTCTTCTTGGCGCGACGTCTACGCCAAGACAGATAAATCCGAACTGCAATATTTCGTGCCTGGAAGGCAAATATATGCAATGGTCCACTAATTGGTGTAGGGTAGACTCTAAGAGAAGGCACAATAATCGTAATCCGTCGCATTAAAGGTTTGAACGACCTACCCAGTCAGGCTTAGGCACAGGAAGGTCGGACTTAGGAAACAATTTTTTCTCGAGGCCCTTGCGTGAACAGAAGCCTTGATTTCGAAGTCTGATTGTTTAGAGTTCCTGTTGATAGTTCAGGTGTTTCTGCTTAGAGGGTCTTAAAAAACACGCCGGGCTCACCAATCACTTATAATGTGATCGAACTTATGCACTACTGTTGATTGGATTAGCCACTGCAATTACAACCTCTTTTAACGATGGGAATTCGGCTGTATACTACGACGCGACGATGGGATAGAACTTTGCCAGCAATTTGTCCAATGCAGGCGAATACATTCATCTCCCTAACCTGAATGGTATGGGCCCAATTTACGCTGGCGCTACTTGTACTATAACCACCAACTTCAGCTCTCTTGAAAATTGCACAGGGTTTTCAAAGAGATTTGATGCTAAAAAGTACCCCCAGGAACGCATCCCTAGTAACGCATGCATCCACCAGTGGAACTCAATCTACGAAGTATCCTGATATATCTTTGAAGTACACGCAAAGATGGTCCCAAAAACTATCCGGAATGTAGATACGAAGTTCAACACTTGGAGGTCAGAAAAGGATTCGCTCAAAGAAACCATAGAATTTGTACAATCTGGAATTTGGCAAATAACTTTCCCTGCAGATTCGGTTGGCCAGACTTGGACACGAGAGCGCATGGCTCGGCAAGACCTGCAGCGTCAAAAGTGCGTGAGAAAACACAACGTGAAAATAGGCCCCCACTCTGTTTCATGAGGGCCTTACATTCATAGTTATACCCCCAGCACTCAAACTTAAAATCTAGGTGTGTTCATAGGTACGGGCCATGTTTAATGTTGATGAATTATTAAGATGATAGAAATTTACGAGCAAAATATCGAAGTCTTTCCCTTGCCAGAATTCTCATGATATGAGAACCCAACTTCTACGTAGCGGTGACCAAGCGTAGCAAGATATACTATTTATTTACAAGTTTGTACAGACTGCCAACTTCTAGGACGCCATGCGCTCAACACGAAGCTGCAGCTCCTTGACCATGTCAACACCAACCTTGGTAGCCTCATCTAGGCTTTCAGCTGGCAATCCGAGCAGATCGTTCTGGGCCTTGACGGAGAAACTAATGGACGATTCAGGGTAAAATGCTCTTGCGTACAACAATTTGCTGAACCCAGCCCTGTTGCCTGCCTTCACTAGAGCCAGACCGTCTTCATATCTTTTTGTGGTGTGCTCGTGGGTAATGGTCCAATCTGCATCAGTGCTGCCTGTAACACGCTTGACACTCTCGAACATTTCATTTTGATTAATCGAAAAGCTCTGAATGTACACGCCCTTTCTCAGAAACGCGGAAAGAGTGAGACTTTTATCGTTTTCGTCCTCAGGGAGTTCCTTCAGAGACAAAACTTTAGCCACGGCGCAGCCGACTTGCGATAAAGTTGAGGTGGAAATCTTGGTGTTTCCGTCATCGTAAACTGTTAACGAACGCTTGTCAAAGTTGAACCCAAAACGTGAGTCTCCACCCGCTAAGCTGTAATCATACCAAAATCCACAGCACATCGTGACCCACTTCATGCCAAGTTCCTCAATCTCATTCCTATTGGCCTTGCCAATGGGACCAAGCATTGTGTCTTGGCCGAACTTCACGTTGTCAATGTCACCTCCATATTCGTTTGGCATAACGTAAGGAACACCTGCCTTAGCTGCCGCCTGGACAATCTTGCTATGGGTGTCCCTAGGAGCCGTAGGGGCCATGGTTATAATCAGAAATTGCTGGCCCTGGAGGGCGCCTACAATGGTAGCCTCATCTTCATAGTTCACCGAGACAGTCAGAACACCCTTTGGTAGTTTGTTGCCGCTGCCTTGACGGGTGAGTGCCGTGACGGTGTGCTTTCCAGTCTTTAAAAGAGCGTTGGTGATGTGCGATCCAACGGTACCTCCGGCCTGAGGGTGTTGTTAGTATAATGGTTTAGAGTAGTTTACACGAATAATACGTACACCTATAATGGCGACTCTTTCAATGGCATTGGTGAAGTCGATGGGCTGGTCTTTAGCGTAGTTAGGCATTGTGGACGAGTTGATTAGCGGGAGTAATTGAACCAGGTCTTCGAGGTGTTCAAGCTAAAGAAGTAGAAATATGAGTAGGAAATCCCGGGATACCAAAGACCATCCATAGCCTACATTTTATACATTCGGATTGCTCACCAAACCCTTCAATTTCATAGCGCTTTCTCATCTCGCAGATCTGACACTCGGATATAATGGAGATCGCATATCCGACTTAAAGGCTTTGATGTTCAAAATGGTCTTCCGGAAATAAAACAGACCACAAATCATCTTGAAGTTCGCCGGTTAGTATCGTAGAGGTTGCGGCTTAGTGGCCATGTGTATCTATGCACCAAGGTATGGTGCTAGTATCAAGGACAGTTGTCATCATTTGAACTTTGATAGTAACGGCTTCTACGGACGTAGTGGCTTGCTTATATTCTGGAATTAACGTACTGCTTAGAACCTTCTTATTTCCGTAGATGTCGAGGGTTCCTCTTCTTTTGGTGGTTTTGAGTCAATTCATGAGGTCTCATCAGGCTCCTTCTCAATGGTTGTGTTTTGGAGCACTTAGAGCCAATGTCAGTGAGGTTAGAGCCTTTATCAGTCAAAACTTTCTATAGAGGCTGCTGTCCCTCGGCGGTTTGTTCGGAACATGTCCATGTTTTCTCTTCCTTGTGAGAGGGAAACGATCGAAATTATGATGTGCATATGTCTATAAGTCGTCTATTTACTTTAACATTTTACAAACCCTCACTTCTGCGTTTCAACAAGTTGTTCTTCCGTCCTTTGAGCAGCTCCAAAAATACGAGTGATGATATTAGGGCTGTAATACGCCAACCCAAAATTCCAAGCAACAATTGTTAGGAGCTTAGGAACATTTGAAGGTACTTTGTGAGCCCCTTTCACTGCTCTCCCGATCGCTCACTCTAGTACCTCATCGTATTTTCCATACAAGTCCTTCATGAAATTGCGAAACAATTTCTGCTTTCCTGTGGCGGCTATCATTTCGACGTCTTGATTATCCAACTTGAAATCGAAAATTTGGAGTATTTCCGCAATCCGCGCTTCATTGCCGGAGGTAGTTATTGGCACTACGCCGCTCTGAATGCTCCAGTTGAGCAAGATTTGCAGCTCGGATTTACCGTACTTCTCGGCAAGCTTAGGCAGTATCTCGTCCAGTGGACCCGGTTTGCCGCCAGTCAACGGCGCCAATGGCGAGTAGCCTTCCACCACAATTTCGTGCTGCTTGCAGAAGTCAACTATCCCTGGCGACTGCTGCTGAAGATAAGGGTGAAACTCGATTTGATTCACGGAAGGCATGTGCTTTGCTATTGCATGGATATTTTGCAAACTTTCTACGTCGAAGTTGGAGACACCAATGTTTTTGGCCAGTCCGCTCTCCAGGATCTGCTCCATCTGATTCCACGCTTCTTGCAAGGTGATTCCAGAGGTTTCAGGCGTGATGGCGGGTGAATGTAGCAAATACAAATCAACGTATTCCAAACCCATGTGAGTCAGAGAATTTTTCAATGACCACAAAGGACCCGTGCTTTTGTTCCAAGAATACGACCATGGGGCGTATTTGTCAGTGACCCATAGTTCGCTTCTGGGCTTTTCAGACTTGCGAATTCCGGCACCAACTTCTTCATACGTCTTGTATGCTTCCGCTGTGTCTATATGGTTGAATCCCAGCCTGATGGCATGGTTCACCTGTTCTGCAAGTTCCTCGATGAAGTAATCTTCTTTGTCCGCATTTTGCGACTTCAATATTCTCCATTTGGTTCCGGAACCGAACCCAATTTTGGGAAGCTGAGCTTTAGTGCCCTTTAGCTCGACGACGGGGATGGAAAGTGTCATAGAAGCTTATGTTGAAGTTGGTTGGGGTTTAATGAGCAATTTGTATCTGAATAACACAGCTTTTCATTCATCGAGCTTTAATAAACTCTTGGCTTCCTACCAGAGCTGTATCATTATGTACAGCTTTCTTATCTAATGTCAATCGGGTAATTGAGAAATCAGATCTGATTAATAACTTCACCAATGAATTCCTTTGGTAGGTCAAACCCAGGTTGGTCATCTTTCCCTGCGTAAGTAACTAAGCGTTGAAGAATTCAAGGACGCTAGTTGTTGTGCTTCTAGAGTGTGGGCATAGCTCCATTTCGAACTTGAATTCATAGCTGGTCATTGCATCTGACCAGAAAGGCAGAACATATCTTAGCGACTTCTAAAGCTTATTTTGGGCAGCGTATAGTTTCAGTAATCAAAGCAACTGCCGACTGGCAGGAGAAGATTGTTTTTCGTAAACAAGAGTTGACAACGTCACGCTGTACTGAAGTTGTCACACCCATCTCCAGACATAATTTATCATTGTACACTTATCATTGCCCACACCTGCCATTAACTGGTCAAAGATATAAAGACATCTGCACTCTATCTTGAACAAAGTAAAATAACTTGGTACTTCGAGCCTAAGGTCAATCAATGACCAAGAAACTGACACTTCACACAGCCTTAGTGGTTAGGAACACAGGACTTCTTAATTAGTTTCTCTGAATTATGAATGTCCTTCTCAACGTGCGACTCAGGAAATCCGTCAGAAAGTATAGGCTTGCGGCAGCTATCGAAAAAGGTGGTGGTGTGGCCGTTCAGCTCAAGAGCCACCATCATTGGAACGATTTTCTCGGCATATTGCCTTGTGTTTTGAGACAACAAACCAAAAGCGCTATTAACAACGAAGGCTTATAGACTCCTTGCACCCAAAAAATTGTTACAAATAGCAGTCCTTAGCAAACCTGGATTCACAACATACACCCCGAAGTTGGGGAAGCGGCGTGCAGTGTCGTGCACAAGGGCCTTGTTTCCTGCCACAGTGACCATGTGTGTCTTCATTCCTTCGTAGTCCACAGAAGAGGTAAGGTCATCAGGACACCCTTTTCTCCGCCGCAAGAAAACCCTTAGATGAAAACTCTTGGCTTTTTGACCAGGTTTGTGTTAGTTTTCTTAAGACGAGGTAGAAGGTTGCGACCAATTATCAACCTGCTCAAATAACTCACTGCTATATCACTCTTCAGTTCTTCCGAAATCTCCTCGCGCTTAGGAGCAGCTCGGTAACCTGTTGTGAGAATGACCAAATCCAAGTTTTCTGCGCAAGTTCTTCGGCGACTCTCAGCCTTAGACATGGATGTCAGATCCGCTTTCACGAAGGAGACATTTTTCGACTTTTGGTCACTGGATTTTCTCCCGACAACTACCACATCTGCACCTCCGCTGCCGAAAAGTTGAGCCAAGCTTTGACAAATACAGGTGGTACCTTCACCCATGGCCGCTCTCAACGTTTTCGGGCCGAGCTTATCTGCAGGGTCACTAGACCAATTCACACTCTCATCGGGTTTAGCGTTGTGACCTTTTAAAGCGAAAGCCATTGCGTCATGCCTAGCTGGGGTTTATAAACAGTGTAGTTTGGTTCCTTACTGCTAAAACTCTTGTGTTTAAGTCCTTATGGTGGGATCATGCCATTCCTCAACTACGCCAAAAACTTGTCATCGCATTTGAGGCGTATGTCGCATTCTGGCTGTAGGGTGCTAGATTGGTTTTAGTAAGATTCGCGTTGGCTTTTAAACTTTGATACTGTCTATCTTGGGACCTCAACACTCCTGGTCCTCTCCAAAACTCCGTCTTCCTTCCTCTGGCCCCGTTAGCAGCACGGTACAATTTAATTGATATATCGTGACATTTCTTTGTAAGTGAAAAATCTACTGAGAAAGATCTCTACAAGAAGTCCCAGTTTATACAGTGCAACAGTGATTCTGTTTTTGAATTACTTATTTTAGGAGATAACAGCTTTCTAATTGATGGGATCGTTCTCAATACTTTGGTAATATATTTTTCTTGGCACTGATTGACGGTACTGCATCTAAGGTTGTGACATCCACACCTTTGCTACGCCTATAATTTGTGCCCTTTGAAAGTATTGGGGCAAAGCTTCTTCTTGAATGCATATTCAGTACATGCGTTGGCGGACTTTATCGCTGTGGCGTGAAATGTTCGGTGATATGCCTCTTATCAAATAGGTATAGAAAATTATGGCAACGAAAATGCAATAGCTTGGCATGCATTGAGGAACTCTTGGTTTTGCATAAAAAATCGAGATATAACACGTCTTTTATAACTTGTACATTTAGCGGCAAACAGATACATTTTATCAAACAATACATACATAGTTTATCATGTTGAATTTTAGGGTCGGGGAACTAAGATGAAATGAGCGCTGCATTTTTTAGCTGAGAGCTTTCTGATGATTCGATGGTACACACTTCCGGCAGCTGACAATGAAAATGGAGTTTCTGTCCTGAAATATACACGCTTTGTGAGACAAAAGAGAGCTGTTCCCCTTCCTAGCGTAATTTGTTTTAGCTTTTCAATCTGTTTACCAATGTTAGTGCCAGATTACTATGCCAGTGGTAGGCCTTTGTGACCATCTTTTGCCGTCGTCGAGAAAGCTCTGGCTATAAGCACTCTAGCAATACATCGCTAGCCGAAGCATTGTATTGGATCTGAAATTCGAGTCTCGTAACGAAAACCTCTACCTACATTGACCAAAGTGAGGTGACTCTTGTGATGAGACTTGTGAACACAAAGATGACTTTTAATGTGAATAAAAATAGTGTTGAGGAAGAACTTTGGCCACCGCCGTTAAGTGTATGATTGAGAAGTCGATTATTGGACAAGATTTCTTCTGTAGATACGATCTACCTTTGTTCGTTTAGACACTGATCAGATAGGCTACTTCTCCAAAGTCTTGTTCTAGAGTTGCATATACAAAGGCAGTGTCAGTATGAATCTTGAATGGTCCTTTTTAAAAGCACGTCAAATTTACCGCATGTTTTGTGAATATTTCATGCGCAATTGTTGAGGCACCGTTGGAGCAGCTTGTAAGTAGCTATTGTATGCATTGTGTTGTTTAATGATACCCCTTAACTCAAGGTTTGTCCCCAAGCACCCGAATGCATCTAAACACACCTTTTCCTGTGGCCATGATCGCCATAAGCATCACAATTTCGACAACTAGATAAGTCGCGTCCCCTAAAATGGCTAACGCTTCCGCATCACCATCCAAAGGGACTGCGCGGCCGTTTGTCAAGCCTAAGAGGCTCAAAAGTGGTTGTAACCAGAGGTGTGCTGAGGAGCGTATTGTACACCAGAGTTGAAGAGGTGTCTAAGCTGGAAAAAGCGTATGAATTCCCATCTGAATCGGCATCCCCGTTTGTCTCCTCGTCAATTTCATCTAATGCTAGCATTTGTGCTTCTGCTGCTTCCAACCAAGCAGTAGCGTTCTCCAATGTTGACAACAACATAAAGTCCAAAACTGTGTTGTTAGTGGTATTGATGCTGCTCACACGAATAGTAAAGTGATCGAGATCATCGGGGTGGGTAAAGTGACTAAACGCTGAGTCTGGAATTAGTTCCGACCACTGTTGAAAAGTCTGAGTACTATTATCACTGAGGATGTTTGTTATATCGAGTGGGTCAGACATGATGAATATTCATTCTCTTTTGGGGGAACACGACCTGCTTATAGTTGTTCACTCCTGTTATTTGTGCTTTTCGAAGTACGGCTTTAAAAAGCAAAGTGGCGCTGAGCATATTTTTTAAAACCGAATCTCGTGCCTGCAGAAGTCCGGAGATGCAGATACGAACATCAGATCGTCATTCGCCAAGAAAGTAGCTGATCTCTAACAACTCTATAATAAATCAACTTTAGATGGGTACTCAGTAACTATTCACTTTTAATTTGTTTATGCGCCATCATTTTCATCAGCAGTGACATCGATGATTAATATAATTTTTCACACCATGGCGTCTCTCAGAGTGTCATCAAGACAATTAAAGCTTTGTTTTTGCTCAGAGACACGTCTTGGCGCAGCCTTGGGAGCCTCAAATGGTGTGGAATCTTAGTTTCTCCCGATTATTAATTTGGGTTGAAGCGCTTCCCACTGTTACAGATCAACGACTCTCCACAATCCACGACTACTGTGATCCAAGTCTTTTCCAAGGGCTTGGAAGCGATGACAAATGGATGTGAGCGTTTAGCTCATTGAAATCAAGCGCTTAAGGTATAAAAGCAGAATGTTCATCGTGTCTACCAACAGTTTCTGGTCAGTAGTTATTCCCAAAGCAAGCAAGTTGAAACTCTCAGGTCTTCAAAATAGCTTAAAAAAACATCTAAGAACTCCTCAATCCTTAATGTCCTCCACATCATACTTCATCGCTGGCGGCAACAGAGGAATTGGTCTCGCACTAGTCAAAGAATTGAGTTCCGACACTAAGAACACCGTTATTGCCACTGCTAGACAGCCAAACTCTGCTAAGGACTTAAAAGACTGGGCTGTTAACCACGCTAATGTGCATATCGTGCAATTGGACGTCACCTCCAGTGAAAGCGCCGAGGCTGCCGCCAAGGAGACTGCCAAACTATTGCCCGACGGGTTAGACGTGTTGGTTTCGAACGCCGGGGTTCTTAAAGATCTAGGCAAGTTTTTGGACCACCCGGATGAGCTTTACATTGAGCAGTTCGACGTCAATGCTGTGGGTCCAGTCAGACTGGTGAAGGCGTTCAAATCCTTGCTAGACAAGAAGGACACCAAAGAGGTTGCCGTGGTGTCTTCACTTGTCGGGTCTCTCAACGTCGAGCTACCAGTGGGATTCTCTGGTTACGGGGTGTCCAAGGCCGCCACTAACTATGTTGTGAAGGGATTGATAGGAGAGCTTGCTCCCGAGGGCTACAGTTTCGTGGCCATCCATCCGGGTCTTGTCGGTAGCGACATGGGAGACGACACATTTGCGCAGTTGGGCGAAGAAGTCGCTGGCCAGCTAAAGAGCGCGTTGCCATTGCTGACGCCGGGAGAGTCTGCTAAGGCTATCAAGGAGAACGTTTTGACAGGCTTGAAGGCGAAGAACGCAGGAAAGTTTTTGGGCTACGATGGTTCCGAGCTGCCATGGTAGGGGGTGTGGCTGTAGGTAGTTGTTTATAAGTATGGGAAGCACTTAAGTTACTTACGTAGATGTTCAATTTTAGCGATTACTGATGGAGGGCGATGACTAAGGTTACGCTATTAGAGCAGTGAGATGATTTTTACCGCAGTGAACAGGCACTAGTTGGACTAGTAGATCGTGGCAAGGATCTTTCGTCAGATGAAAGCAGATGATTTCCGTTTCAAATGTTAATGCGCGATGAGCGCATATGACGATAGTATCACGTCCGTTCAACCAAACCTGTATAAATCATCAAACACCAGCGCAGCACTGACGAGATCAAGAAAACTGTCTGTCACTTAAAGCTTGAATCACCGAGATATGTGTTGAAAGTCATTGAGTTGCTGGTAAATTAGCTACTGTTAGGATGGGTAGAACCGTTTTTTTATTATCACCCGCGCCTCGTTTGGGCAGTCTATTATAACTGCTAGACGGGTCGATTTAGCTGGCGCAAGCTTGATCAACGGGTGCTTTAAAGATTTCAAAAGAATAGCACGGTCGGTCTGATTTTTGCACCGCCTGAACACGTATTTTCTTTTCAAAAGGGCTATTTTGAAACTGGCAGTATTATTTGATTTCACAGATTCTGTTGTGTCAATCAAACAGCTTCCAAGATTGATAGACACTGCCAGCTTTTAATTTACTGTTGGTAAACTTTGAAGAGCCAAACATAGCTCCTTTTTAATGGGGAGAGAGCTTGTGGTGCACGGGCTCGGCGTTTTCTCTAAAAACATAGCGAGACCCTATATCCAAAGACTTAGCACGCGATAAATGCCAGAAACCTTTGTATCATTATTGAAAGTGATTACACCATCAATCTGGTGAGAATGTATTTATTTCCGTGTAGCAGAATAGGAAAGCTCGTGGTAAAGATGACTAAATTTGAAACTATCTTATGTCAATCTCCAGTGCTTAGGACACACAGGCATCAAAGACAAGTGGGTGCGCTCTTATAACATGCCGTTGTTAGTCCGCTTTGTACTATTGAAATTGAGGGTCTCATTATGTACTTATAATCACCGCGACCGATCTTCAAGCATGTAAATACTATCCAAGTCTCTGAAATAGCTGAAAGGAATCAGATGTGTTTGGCATAACGAGGACCAGTAAGTGCTGACACAGTTACGTTGAAATACTCATCCGCTCCTCGTCGAGCTCGATAATGTGATTGATTTCTTACTGCAGAACGCACAAAAATGATCAAGAACACCTTTTCTTCACAGTTCCAGGACCTTCGATGTTATAAACCGCGAATCATCTATTTTCACCTTAATTGTTAGTCTAGGTTATGCATGGGTATAGCATGTACAGCCCAAACACCTTGCTATCTTTCAACATCTAACGCTAACTCTTTGCCCAAAGATGCCATTGTTCAGAGCTAAAGAGCGATGACCTAATAGGGTGCGTCATAAGTCCAATGAGAATCACGCAAATAGTGCATTTGAGTAGGGTTTTCGAGGAGTCTGTCAGCGGTCTGTCATAAGCAAGAAAGCTCTAAGATTCCTGTTTTCATAACATTCATAAGTTAAGAAACAATCACCTACTCACTACCCTTTGATGTCCTTTACATATTGTTTTATAGCTGGCGGTACCGTTGGCAATGGTCTCGCACTAGTCAAACAAGTGAGCTCCGAAACAGAGCACTGTTATTGCTACTACGAGGGAACCAAACTCAGGACTAGGTGGCTATGCTTTGCTTTTTGTTGAGGTACTGACCTAGTAAATAACATTTTATTTCTCAAGGAAAGTGTCATTTGTAGTTCCCTGTTATGAGCTCGTATAGCTGGGTGGTCGATATTGATAGGGAGCCGATAAGATCACATGCTGATAACCTCAAGGCATCACATGCTGCTTATCTAATCTCTTATCACCCGCGACAGAAGCTCACATAAGTGATTCGTACCACGTGAAATCGTGCTAGCGTCGTTACTGGTGATTTGAAAAAACTGTCATGTCACTGAGGTCTTACCAAGCTAGTTTACCAAGCTACAAGCAATTGGAGTATTGACTAGTCTCTTGCATGATTTTGGCCCTATAATCGCGGCTCTAATCCAGCGACATGCCATTGAAATATAATATTTTGGTCGAACATTCAAACTTTGGAGGTTAGAGGACGTGGCGTAAAGCACGGGGAATCATTGCAGGATACGATATGAACAGTCGATGTGATCTATTCAGCTGTGATTCCGCGAGCCTTTAAGATCTTCTACGCGGCTGATAGTGGAAAGAAATTGATACAAAAGTCACGCAACGCCCTCTACTCCATATTCTCGTTCGTCTCAACGGCTTCAAAATTGATGATCTTTGTCCAAGCATGGACACTCCTGATCGGATTCGCCGAAAACTGGATGCGTTCAAACAATTTGTGGTCTACTCTACGCTATACAATAGTCCTGACAAAAATGTGCAGTACTTTACGGAGGATCTTCCTTCGGAATGGGCTTGGATCAAAAGTGTTTACCGCCAGCTTGCAGCAGAGCACGAGTCAAAGCTGCCCTTCAGAATCTCGCATCAGCCCCCGGATGGCGTGATTGTTTCGGGAAAATCTTTCTCCCGTGGGTACATTCGGAGTCATTACTCCACTTGTGAGGAACGCTTTGGAGAGATCGTCAAGGATATCACCGAGTTTTATCAAATTCCCACAGTAAAAGAAGCTGCATTTGAAGTGTTGGATGATCCACGTGAACATTTTGGAGAAGACTTGTCGGAGCCAAAGCTGGCGTTTCAACAGCTGGTCAGTCGCTCCGCAAAATCAAGAATCAACCCCAAAGAGCTGAAGCCCGCGGGCTCTTTCGCCCCGGATTTGATCAAGTCGCTGGATGAGTGTACAGTGCTTCTCCTGTGGATGATATTCTTCGCGTGTGGCGCTGGTGTTAAAGTTTGCGGGCAATGAAAGAAATGTTTTTGTCGACAACAAGACCAGGTGTATTCAACTACTGACGACGTACTCTAAGGTCCGAGGTCACAGGACTATCATAAAGCTGCTTTCGAAACAGACATCCAATTACGCTTTCTTCTACATTATGGTGCTTCGACCTATTCAGGTCCAGCTAGCAGGACGGGACTACGACAAGATCTCGTCAGAGGTGTGCGCCAGCACACCTCGCCGAAATTACCATACTAATGGCTTGTCGTGACTCAATCTACGTTTTTCTCCCACATTACTAGTCTCTCAAATTCACCGAAATTCAGTTTCCCGAGTACAGCTACGAGTACCAAGGGCCCCAAAATTGTTTTCTGTGTTTAACTGTCTTATAAGAATCCTCGCGCTAAACCATGCATTTCTATACACTTGATGTAACATGCAAACACCCACCTTAGCTGATGAATCTTGGTTCCAAGAAATACTGGTCACGCAGGCACGTGCTTGAGAAGATGAGTACACTCGACACACACCTTCACGAGTACTCAGTCTCTCACGCGCGCACGTGCTCAAAGATGAGTACACTCGACACACACACTCACGAGTACTCAGAGCTGAGTACAGTCGACACACACACTCACGAGTACTCAGAGTTGAGTACAGTCGACACACACACTCACGAGTACTCAATCTCTTTTTTTTGAACTTAGACCGTTCCCACAGTCCTTTTTTCAACCGTCCATTTTGAAAAAGAACGACCGACCATAAAATAAAACCAACAGGCTTTTGGCTCTACTCCACAGTTCACACAATTCACACACATACACACAAGAGTTTCAATGACGTCCTTAAGCCTTGAGTTTCCCAGCTGTTCTGGGTTTGCAGTCATCGACGGCTATGTCGTGAAGATCGATCTCTCTGCTAAGCAAAAGCATAGGGTATATGCTACAAATTCCTTTCAATTCCGAATGGCAAAGGCAATCCGTATGTTTCTCAAAACACAGAACCTGAAGAACATCTACGAATACTATAAGGAGCCTGGTGATCTTTTCAGTTGTACCTCAAAAACCCTGTTTGAAGTGGTTCCTTGCATCGTGGTCTCTTTTTACTGGATGAAGGTGTATTCAAATGCTGCACAAGGTGTGCCATGCCAAGAGATCCAATTACAAACGCGAAGATTCCTCTTTACTCTTTGAATGTGATCCCTCTTTACTACAGTAAAGTTGGCCGAAAGTTCCTAGTGTATGTGCCTGCGCATCTCGAGCAAATGCGCCCGCAACTTCATTTTAAAACCATTCCGCTCTTAGGCGACGAGGTTGCTAGACCCTCACCGTACCAAAACCAGGAGCTGGCTTCCGAAAAACTCAATACCATCTTGAAGAACGTTTTCATGGCTGATACTTTCCATTTTGATAATCGGTCAGACTCCAAGATACTCGAGCGTCTTCACATAGTAAGACAGCACTATAAGGATGAGTGTCGCCAGATATTCACAAAAGCTTACCAACTGACCATGACCCAGCAAAATTCAAGATACATGCGACCTGCCAACTTTTATAGCCGCAAGGCAGTATCTCTGGTGAGGAGGTACAAAGCAACCACCATTGGCGGCTACGCTTCTAGGTTTGCAAACTCCTACTTTTTGCTTCTACATGCTCACGAATTGTCTTTCTTTGTATATCCAAACAAGGAGTACTTGTCGGAAAGACTCCAGCCCTTGCGCATCATAGAGGACATGCCGTTCAGCATGGAAAAACTCAAAGCTGTTTCCGCATTTTCTCGTGACATGCTCAGTGACCGTGATGGTCTGGCTGCACTAATTGAAACTTTGGTAAAACTTATGGCATTCAATTTTTCCGAGTCGGTCGACAACGATGAAAAGCTTTTCAAGCCAGAACTGAGTAGCATCAACATGCTACGCTCCTCGCTCGATGCTCTCAAGTTTTTTCTCATCAACACAGCGCTGTGCTATGACGACGGTGGTGAAACTCTTCCCTTTGGTAGGAAACTTGAGGAAAGATCTGCTTTGCATTCCACCAACATCTGGCTTTATGTGAACGAAGTGTACAACAAGGTTGTCCAGGAGAGAATGGTAATTTCCAAATAT